TGGCTAAAGTCCTATGTAGGTTGGAGTTCATAATGAGAGCATATTGAACTAGATTATTGCACTGATTAAAGTCACTATATAAAATATTCATTTTGTTTATAAGTTCTTGCCTTTGTTGTTCATACATATTGCAAGATAAAAGAATGTGTCTTTCATCTTCAATTGAGCCTGTCCCACATATACAAAGTCTGTTATCAATGGGAGTTGGTGGTCTACAGTATCTGCCAGTCTCTATATGGATTTTGCATGTGTTTTGTGTAGCCTGTAGGTACGTAACTTGTTACCATTTATTGGAGCTTTGCTGTCATCCCAGAGATTATGCATCCATGTGGTGTGATCCGCCGAAATAAGCAGTTGCTTGAAGGCTTGAAGTTTTGTCTTTACATTAGATATATATGGTTCATTGAAGTATTCTGTTCCAGACGATTCAAATAACAAGGTAGTCTGCATTTCCCATGACTTTGATCGTCCTGGAAAAGTACATGATGATGACCATATAAAGACTTTCCTATTGAGACGGTCATGGTCCATGTTAGTTAGCCTACAGAACAGACGTGCAATTTCCACACGCTGTTTAGTGTAAATTGATGGCCATGCCATGTCTCCGGTGGTGGCTATGTTTGGTGCACATTTCCCAAGGCATAGAAAATAACGACATGCTCTGTTCTGTATGGCATTTATGCATGAATACTGTCTTGTACCCCATATTCCAGCTCCATATAGGAGAATTGGCTGGACCATAGTTTCAAAAAGTCTTGTGTATACTTTATATGGGAATCCTCCAAAGGATTTAAATTTGGCAATCACCGCTCCAAGAGCTCGGTTGGCAGATTTTGCGAGTATTTTTACTGATTCATTATAGTCCAGATGTTCATTAAAATACAGTCCCAGATATTTATAATCATGTGTGTAATCAAGTGTAATTTCACCACATATAAATTGTTTCTGGCATCGATTAACATTTTTGGGGCGGAAATGCATTATTTTGGTTTTGTCTTTATTAATCTGTACTCTCCACTTTTTGCACCATTCATTTAATATATTAAGTAGTTGTTGTAGATTATCTGGGCTTGGGGCGATCAAAATAATATCATCTGCATATGCTAAAATACCTATGTTAGTCCCTCCAATGTCAATGCCATATCCAGTGGTATTGATTTCTGATATAAGGTCATTGAGATATATCGAAAAAAGCGTGGGCGATAATTTGCACCCCTGTTTCAGACCACAGGTCACGTCAAACCATTCTGTACTGCTGCCGTCACTCATCCTTACTGCACACTGAACATCCTTGTACATTGATGTAATTGCAGCATACATACGTCCTTTAACACCCATGTTTGCAAGTTTGAGCCACATGCAGTCTCTATTGATATTGTCAAACGCACGGCGGGCGTCCACTAGAGAAACGAAGGTAGATTGCTTGTTATGACCAATTGTACCATGTAGTTAAAATATAGGTATTTTATAAAGATTATGAAGATAAATGCTGCATGCTGGATGCCAAGAGGGTCCTTCAATAAATGTGAGCCTTCTGGCCTTCAGGACAATTCTGAATGGGTGAAATTACGGATGTCCCATAATAATTGCTTATATCATCTTACACACCCAGGGCCAACCTAAAATGAACAATTTGCGTGAGATTTCCAAAAATTGTGGTACTTTTACGGGAGATTTTTCCAAAATCTGGTAGTTTTTACAGGAGGTTTTCTAATAAATTGGTAGTTTTCGCCATAGATTTTTAAAAATCGGCAGTTTTTGAGGTAAATTTTCAAACAACTGGAGTTTTTACGGTAGTTTTGAAATAAAACGGTACTTTTTAAAAAAAAGCGGATTATCTCCTGTTTTTTCTAATAAAAGCAATAGTTCTTGCGGTTCTGCAAAAAGTGGTACTTTTGTGGGAGATTTTTGACAAAATCTGTTGTTTTTGCAACGAATGTTGAAAAACTTTGGACTTTGCCATGAATATACGCTTTGCATGGCCAGATTTGAATATTCACGCGAATTACATGTACGTCACGCATTTACTTCGAATTTGTGTGTCCCTAACCACCTAATTTTACATATTATTTGATGTTTTTGGTTCGTATAGTAGAAAATAAATTTTGTAGACCATAATGCATCTTGGGTAAGAGTAATGCAACAAATAGGTTTTAAATATAGCTAATAAATAGGTAATACTCTGATAATTCTAATCTAACACTACATTGTTGTTACAATGTAATTTTCATTTTATAATCAGTCAATATTCTACATGAGCGTTGAATGGTAATAAATACCTTATTATTAACACCTATTTATTAACCTAATTCTCTCTAATTTGCATGATAAATTTTTTAGGTATTTGTTAGCTGAGAATTAACAGAGTATTACCTGGTAACAAATACCTTATTATTAACACCTATTTATTAACGTAATTCTCTCTAATTTGCATGATAAATTTTTTAGGTATTTGTTAGCTAAGAATTAATAGAGTATTACCTATTTATTGTCAATATTTTCCCATTGATTTTTTTCACTTGGGATGGCACATTGGCCAGGTGGCTTTACTAAAACTTGAAAAGTAGTTGAACGATTTTGAGATCAAAAGTTCGATGGGATTTGCTCCACCTCGCGTTGCTGTGATCTAGTTCTGAAATGTTTCATATCTATGTCTAATTATAGTTGTATAGATGTGTTTGTAATAACCTTTATGCCCTTAAAATGTATATATTCAGGGGGGGGGACATTCGTGGGTTCAAGTGGACCACTCCATTGGCCAAATATTCTCTCAAAATCAGTACAATTTTTCACGATTCTGAGCATTTTCAAGATTTCTGGGCCACTTGAAAATTGTGAAATGTTCACCCCTTGATCCTTTTGAAAAACTTAAATTGGCAGAAGCTGGTTATACGAACCTGATATGACCTAGCTTGCAAGCTTTTTCTTGAGTTTGTGTTTATTTTCCTTGTACCCTTGCATGCTTTGGATTTTGTAGGATGCAAAACAAAGAATCTACTTACTGTAAAACGGGTAATTTTGACACCGGGAAATTTTAGCGATTTTTCAATTTTAGGGGGTTTTAGCGCGGGAAATTTTAGCGAAATGAAGATTAATCTTTAAAAAATCAAATTAGCGAAATGCATTAGAAATTTTATCATTTATGGCAGAAGAATGAATAACGGACATGACAGAGGAATAATCAAAATGTAAGACTTCTAACGCACATGGTATTGGTCCAAACTACTGTAATCTCATCTGACTAATCACAAAATCACGGTAGCATTTAAAATCGTTGATTTTTCGGTCCAAACTAATCTCAAATTACAAACCAGAAGTCGAGCACTGAACGAAAAGCTCCCTAAATAAAAGTATTCATGTAGTTTCCCGGGAATTTGCAAATTTTAGCGCCTGGTTTATTTTAACCCCGGTTTATTTTAGCGAATTGAATTTTTAGCGAAACTATAGCAATCGCTAACAATCGCTAACAATTACCCCTCGCTAACAATACCCGTTTTACAGTATTTAGTTGGCATTAGATTCTTAACTATACAAATCCAAATTGAATCAAAGTTGATAAAATCAAAAGACGGTTCTCTTTTAACTATATAAAAAATTTGACCTCCTGAAAATATGCACGATGCGCCACTGTTACAATGTGATGGGAAAAGCACAAATATTTTTACTGAGGAGGTAAGAAACGTTCACATTCGAATGTGCTTGAAAACATTAAACCTGCACATCGCTCTAAAACGCAATATGTTGACATATATTGTTTTTACATTTTCAAGCTCAAATATAAAGTTTATGTAAATAAAAAAAAAAAATTATCTGCGTAATGTCAAAGAACAATCATTTAGTTAAAAAAATAAAAAGGCGATTGCGGGATTAGAACCCGAGCCTCACGCATGCTAAGCGAGCATTCTACCGCTAGACCACCGTGATATTATGAATGGTGGAAGTAATTAAACGCTACTTATTTTGATGCTATGATTCGGAAGTGACGTCACGTTCTTCATTTAAAAACCTTTCCAAAATCATATCGCCGGCTCCGATCGAAGCAATTCAATGAAAAATCTTTGAAATGACACATTTATCGTAAGTATTTCTACACAAGATTTGCCCCATTTGTTCTTCATTCTATAATCTTTCATTAAGCTCAAAATGATAAAGTTCATCATGAGAAATAGAAGGTCGAAGGGTTTTTATAAAAATATATTTCAAAAATTCTTGACACGCTGTAAGTCGTAGGTTGCAGGGTCGAAGGGTCGAAGGGTTTTTAGTACATTCCCTCTGGGAGCCCAAAAATCAAAGAAAATGCATTTTCTTGGTGTTGTATTTTCTAAACTACCCTAGAATTCAAAGATGACATACACTTATAATTTCAGGCCGTCCAACTGTCCCGCAATTTGCCTATTTGTCACGCATTTGCTGGAAAATTTGAAGTCATGCAAGTTTTTTAGCGTGACAGAGTATGTCACGCAAATACACAACAGGGAATCCCCTTTTAATCCAACTGTCATCTTGAAAAGTGATGGTATCTCTCTCAATGAAAAAGAAAAATGTTCTAATTCTGACGATAAACCCAGATAATTGTGGATTCAACTACACGAAAAGAATGCTAAAATACCCAGGAATCTATTGAAGTAGGTATCGTAAGAGGCGTAGAAAATTCTCCCATCTTGTATTAAATCATACAGGCAAAAGATTGAGACGTTCTCAGGATTACAGTCCTGGCACGGGATAAATCAACATCCTTCAAATCCAATTTTCAAAAAATAAATTTGAAGAAACAATAAAAGGTAAGTGGAATTAGAAGATGGTTTCAAGTTATTACAGAAGTCAATTTGAAAAAGTCGGGTAACTTTTCACACTGGTATCCACCAGCTTAGTTTTACTTACTTTGGGAACATTTTGGGCCTCATTTAAAAACATAGGCCCCATTATCCCCATAAATGAGGGAAAATAATGAAATAAATCTACACTTCTCAGAAATTTTCTGATAAAAAATTGGAATCTACCTTGATTTCCACCTCCGGGGTGCTCATTCCAACACCTATCTCCATATCGACAATGTCCTTGTTGGTAAAACCTACAAACTACCATCGTAGATATGCCTTACAGCTGGAATAAGTGGATTATTATGAATTTATTTGAGGATTTAAAAAGTTTGATATGTTTTCTTAAAAAGAACAATTCATGTTTAGATATAGCGAGTTATACCGGAAACGGAAACGGCATGGTAATTTTTTTACATTTCTTATTATTTTTATCAAATTTAGAGCTATTTAGGCAACAAGGTGTCGTTATCAGCTGTTGATATTTTTAAAATTTGTAAGTTAGTCATTATCTTAGCCACTGGTACTTGTAACATCAGTTCGAAGCGCCATCGTCCAAGTTTTTAAATGATTTAGAAATTCTTGACAGCTGAGCAAATTCTTCACGAAACAAGACAACCAGGATCACAGGAAGTTGTATCAAGACCTTTTTCGGCCTCTACGAAGCCTTTTGCCCTTCCCCAATCTCGTAACAGAATTCATCTGTTACGAGATTGGGGAAGGGCAAAAGAGACCCTATCTGTTGCAAGCATAGGCTAAGGGTTAAGTAATAGTAAGCTGTATATATAAGAGACAGGTCCACAAGTAAGATTGAAAATTATTCAAATTTTTTTAGTCTTGGCACTAGTTCTCCTTACTGGTATCAAATTTTATTCCAAAATTTCTCCAAAATCTTCTTCAAAGTGTTTTTCAAACTTATATCATTGTTTTTTTCAAATCTTTATCTAAAAACTGCATATTATACTGCATATAAAACAACAACTATGGAAACCTACAATTGCCTGGCAAGCTGAAACTGATTGTCACTGGTGGAGGTCAGGGAGGTCAGCAGTGACCAATCAGATCACTTGTTTACTAATGAACTTGCCAGGCAATTGTAGGTTTTCAGAAATTCTCTCTTTTAGACAGCATTATTCACTCTATATCATCTGACTGAGTTTCAATCTTAGGTAAGAGCTACAAACTATCAATTTTATATCAACTCCCCATGGCTTTTTGAAAATAATACACTAAATATTGTTGAAATCTCCATCTTAACAAGTGGTCTAAGTCAGAGTTGTTCACCTGTCTCTTATATATACAGCTTACTATTACTTAACCCTTAGCCTATGGTTGCAAGACTAGAGATAGGGGCATTCTCGGCCATGGGGCATTCCCGGACAAACCCTTGGTATCAGGTGGAAATCTGGGACAAAGTTAGAATTTTTACAATATATAGCACTACATCTATAATATGATGTGTCTAATACAAAGTTTCAATAAAGAAACCATATAAAACAAAGAATTATTGAAGATCGTCCGACAATGCCCCATGTCCGAGATTACCCCTATCTCCTCTAACGCCTGGCGTAACCGTCACCATGTTATTCAGTGTTTTTAAATAGCGGAAGGATCCTGCCATGACCGTGGTAATGTTATCGTGAAAGCCTGGTATAAACACGACAATGCTGTATTATATTGCAATGCCTGCCTGACTGTGACAATGTAATTTACTGTAGTACTGCAAGGCCTGGCATGACCATGGCAATGTTATATAGTTCTGCAAGGCCTGGCATGACCGTGACAATGTAATATAGTATTGCAAGTTCAGGTGTGAGAGTGGTAATGTAGAAATTTACGATTAGGACTGCTATAACCGTGACAATGTGTATTGCAAAGCCTGGCATGACAGTGGCAATGTAATATAGTACTGCAAGGCCTGGCATGGCCGTGACAATGTAATATAGTATTGCAATGACTAGTAAATATGGAATATCCTTAACAATTTTAAGTGATCGTCATTACAATTAAACAGTTTAATACTATGATCATGGTGTCTAACTACCTTAATCATGTCAAAATCAAAATTACTACATGTACTATATATTTATATTAATGTTCACATTCTATTATAAACCACAATAAAGGCTACTTTCACGCCAGGCTTCCACAATAACACTTCCAGGGTCATGACAGGCCTTGCAATATAATACAGCATACGGTTATACCAGCCTGTCACGCTTATACCAGGCTTACACGATAACACTACCATGGCCATGGCAGGATCCTTGCGCTACTTAAAAACACTGATTAACATGGTGACGGCTGTGGCAGGCGTAAGTCTTGCAATAGATAGCATGTTGGGCAAAAGGCTTCGTAGAGGCCGAAAAAGGTCTTGATACAACTTCCTGTGACCAGGATGAACTTTATAAACACAGGTTCTGACTAGACAACAGGAAACACATCACGGCGGGACTATTAAACTGTATTATCCTAAGCAGAGGGTTATCCCTTGCCAGGACTATAGTCCTGAGAACGTCTCAATCTTTTGCCTGTACGATTTAACATGGGAGAATTTTCTACGCCTCTTACGATACCTACTTCAATAGATTCTTTGGTATTTTAGCATTCTTTTCGAGTAGTTGAATCCACAATTATCTGAGTTTACTAGCAGAACGAAGAAATTTTTGTTTTTGATCGCAATATTTGCGTGTAATATTTAACTTATTTCAATCGTCAAATTCCTCCATTTATTGGTACTTCCGGGCCACTATCGGGTGAGTCAAATGGGGAATCTCCTTTAAAATCCAACTGCCATCTTGAAAAGTGATGGAATCTCTCTCGATGAAAAAGAAAAATTTTCCCGTTCTGCCGATAAACCCAGATAACTGTGGATTCAACTACGCGAAAAGAATGCTAAAATACCCAGGAATCTATTGAAGTAGGTATCTAAGTGTAAGAGGCGTTGAAAATTCCTCCATGTTATAATCGTACAGGCAAAATACTGAGACGTTCTCAGGACTATATAAGTCCTGGCATGGGATAAGGCAGAGGGTAGTTTATAACTAGACTAAAAAAACCAGGAAGCTCAGAATTGTACTTGATATCAGTCTTCTTTTTAACTCTGGATTTACAGTTTGAATTTAATCAATCGAACACAGTATTAATCTGCTGATATCACTATATGGAATTTGTAATAATATCAGATTGATTTGTAATTTCAGATAGCAGTATGGCCTCACAAAGATTAATAAGGACTAGCTCTAGAATATTGTTGTACTGTCAAAGTAAAACAAAACCACCTTGTAATCAATTATTGGATCAATATACATCTTCAAGTTATAGATACTTACATCAAAGTTCCAAACTTTTATGCAATGACAACTCAAAGTTGTCACCATCAAGTAGAAGCAATGAGCAAGAAATTGACTATTTCCGGAAGTTGGTCAGAGACTCAAAAGATACTTCAAATAATATTATGCTTCAAGACAAACAAGATCAAACAGATGACAACCCAGAAGAACACACAGTGATGTCACATTCAGAAAATCAACTAACCACACATTTGCAAGGCAGTGATGATATAATAGTGGATGATGAAAACCAGATTGATATCTCTAGCTTAAGGCCAGCCCCTAAACCAATATCTCTCAACCTAGCCCCATATGTAAATAACTCTGAAACCTTATCATCTTTAGTGAAACTTGGGGTTGACTTATCAAAGCTAGAAAAAGCTCCAGGTAATACTACTGAAAGCACTGTCTCTGAATGTGTATATTGAAGTGTGTATAAAAAAGCACAACAAACAAATAAATTATAGAATCACAAAACCAATGATGACTGCATCAGTTTTATGACATGTTTCCTCTTTTCAATGATATGTCATTATTTCACATTTGGTCATGGTTGGCTGAATTGAATCACTCTTTAGCACAGTAGGTCCATGTTGGCCCAGGAGTCAGTTTCAAGTTTTAGAGATTTGCAAAAGTCAAGCAATTGTTGGTGCTATTGGAATGTCTGCTGAACAGAATAGTTTTGACTTTTTCCTTTTGGGCTATGTCAAGAGCAACATCTCTTTGGCCCATTTTGCAAGAGGAATGATTAAGCCAATTATTAAATAAATGACATATTATTGGAAGAGGAAAACATGATAAATTGAATGAAATTGTGCAGTCATTACTGATTTTGTGATTTACGATTTATTTGTTTGTTGCATTTTTGATATGCATTTGTATAAGTCTTTTCCTCAACTTAAGGGATAGATAACACTAACAGCAAATATATGGCTAATTTTAAATCATAATTGTTTGGATAAACTTCTTTATCAATCGCTAATCCCATTCTTTCTATAAGTCATGTAAATACAAATAATACTTTGCTTTGAAATATTATCTTTTTCTAATTTGATTAGATGTTGCTGACAAGCTAGTCCAGAAAGATTTCGAGCGAGACATCAAGCCTTACATAATGTTCCTGAATGACAATGATGTGCCTGCCAAAAAATTAGGAGTATTTATAACAAAGAATCCTCGTATATTGAACCAAGACTTGGAACATTTACAGGTAAAACATGGAGCTGATTGCTAAATATTTAGTAGCTAGAATAAACCTTAAATATCTTATTCAAGGGAATGTAGAAGTTTTACCCATATATGGCAATAATATCAATGTTGCATTCTTGGAGCCAATCCTCCTTGGGCTGTAGATAGTAATGTACAGGGTGTCCCGAAAGTATGGGCCCCCCCTAAGCAGACATATTCCAGTGTCCTCATAGTATGTGTCATATATCATTTTAAAGCTTATCCAAAGTTACATTGATTTGCCAAGTATCATGGTTTAACTCCCAAATGGGAAAAAGTTACAGTCATTTTAAAAGTTAGTGTTTTGTCAAAATAAAGTTCAATTTTACACCACATTACTAGTCAATTTGTCCCCCCTTGGCCATGTTAACAGCAGCAATTATTTTCAGATATGACCTTAAAAGCCCTTCAAATAGGGGTGTGGGATTTTTTAATCCTCTTAAAACTGTTAAAAATGTTTAAAAGGTTTTTTGATAGACTACCATCTTTTGTTTGCAGACAAGAATCAACTACTTGGAGTCAAAGAAGTTCACTAAGGCAGACATTGCCACAATACTACAGAAGGCACCCCTCTTTCTCAACTTTACTACATATGTGGTGGACAGGAAACTAGGTCATCTTCAGAAGGAATTTAAACTTACAGGTAAGATGTATTAGTATGCTATATTGTATGTTAAGCTTCTAAATGTTGACTACGCCCCTGTGTTTCCCTTGTCCCCTTTCATTTATCTTCTGTAAACTTGTTTGAACAAATTAATACTAGTACTACAAAGATAACTTCATTCGAAACGCATGCAATTCACTCCAATTATATTTATTCATGTATTTGCATTAGTGAGGGAAAGGGATTTGATTATAAAATTGACGGTGGTTGCGAAGTTGTGATTTGGGAGGGAGGGGTATACTATACTAAGGTGTTATAAGACCCAATAATTAATATAAACAACTAAGCGCCTTCCTGATTGCATCCTAGCTCATCCTGTCCGCCAGTCTATCTCGATCGCATTTGATCAATGAATTTATAATTCCTGATTAAACTGACTCTTGATTTTAAAATAGGAATTCTCAATCTGTTACTAGTATTTAAAAGTTGGTGTCTATTATGATACTGGAAATTGGAATACTATATTTTGTATTACTATTCTATCTCCATCTATAGTATATAAATATGGATTTCTAGGTCTACAGTCTGTCATTCCCACATGGGCTTCATTGAAACATACGACATTGCAAAGTTTATCCATTTCAAACAAGCCAGGAAAACAGATAACCTAAGTCTTGCATCAGACCCCGCAAATGTCCAATTTTCTCTCGGGAAATACATAAATATCAGAGACATATTTCATAGCCAGAGGCCAAAAATGTCAAAATCGATATAAAATCTAAAAAGGATAAAATGTCCCCCCGAATACGGTACCTAGGTTATTAAATCTAATACTTCATAGTTATCGCATAATAAGCATAAAACTTTCATTTACCGCTTGTATCGAAATTCACGTGATCCCTTATTGAAGTTTTACTAAATAATTGAGTTTGATCATTTAATGCTGTTGGATAGAATCATGGGCTCTGTGGCTGAAAAGAATCAAAATTTTAGCCCATGTCTGAGCGAATGGTATAAATTCACATAGTTCTGATTACAATGAGAATTCTAAAAAAATTCCTGGCATTTCCTTTACTCTACGTTTATAATCACGTATCATGCTTATTAACTAGATCAATACAGACTCGATTTCCTTTGCCCACCTTCAACATTGTTATGTAATGACGGGAAACAGTCACTGTAATCTTCTAATCAGCCGTTTGTTTTTATTGTAATTAGGAAACTAAACAATTTTGATTTCATATTGTTTCAATGAACAAAAAAGCACATTAGTTCAGCATTTCAAGGAAGGGGGGGGGGTGTAAACAATTACTGACTGTCAAGTACATGTATCTCTCACGAGGCCCTATTTCCACAACCCTCCACTCATGCATACGCCTATCATATAATGGATAGGGAAATATATAACATTCCAACAGATACTGTCTGTGGACCTCCTACCCTTTTACACCGGGTCTCTTCTTGAACCCCTCCCATATTCTAATGTTTCTCGAAACTGCTCATGTAAACTTTGTAAGGCAATGCAGGGTTTGCTACGGGTGTGACTTGAAATGTATAACTTACTTGTACTTGTATAAGAAATAAAAACAAATAAACAAACATAAAAACTTGTGCTCATAATTAATACGGTGAAAAGCAACAAAACGTCAAAATAAAATTTTGAAGTTTCAAAAACAGCCATGCACTTAACCCTGCATTTTAGCTGAAATTAAATTTATTCCAAATAACTAATGTAACGAAATGGAAATGATTCGAAAAATAACAATTCCATGAACATTTCACAATGAAGCAAACAAAACCAGATAGTAAAGAATTATTCTAATTTAAACCGACGTGAAACCTCAACCCTAAAGACACTGGTGACATTTGAAAGACTAATTTCTTAATCTAATTTCAACATAACAAATCAAAACCTAAACAGGTTGACGGTCGTTCTAGTTAATAGACTCAGGCCCGTAGCCAGGGGGGGTTCGCAGAGTTCGGACGAACCCCCCCTGGCCAAAAATTCTTTCAAAATCATGCAGTTTTGCACCATTTTGAGCACTTCTCAAGTGATTTTAGCCATATTCGGGGCAAACTTGTCAAATGTGAACCCCCCCTGGAAATTTTTGAAAACTGAACCCCCCCCCTTGGCAAATCCTGGCTACGGGCCTGTAGACCATGCTAACAAAGTTTAAACATTTTATTTACGGCTTATTTAAAACATGCAAACGGGTGTATTTACTGAAGGAATATGTTAGGAAATATATTTAAAGTGTATTCATGCCTGCAATCATCGCTGGTAACACCTGAAAAACAACTTCTTAAAATACAAACATAATTCACTGCACTGCTGTATACGTCTACCTGCTCTCAAATCTAATAATGAAACGAAAAAAATAATGCATGCCAAACTTTTATCTATTGTAAAATTATCTATGGTTATTTCAAAGTTTTACTCTTGCATCAAGCAACTGTGCCATTTCCCCAACGGTCCTGTCTTTAAGGGCTAACACTTTACTTGAGGCAAGATGCATAAACTTGAACTCCCTCAGGCCTGGGCTATAACTTGAAGAACGGCGTATTGTTCTTCAAACTGGACTTGAAATCTCAATTGTCACTGCTTGTGTGTCATACTCATTGGCACCTGCAAAACAGAATAATATAATAAGAATAACATCATGATGATATCAGATATCATATTTCATTTGGAGCCTTAAATATTAAACAAGGCATAAACATGAAAAATGTCACCACCCGCCATTTGTTACAGACGCTGAACGCCGAATCCAGACGCTAAACACCGTACATAAAAAAGTTGGAGACTTTAACAATATGTGGCCACTTTTGGTGGTGACATAAAAAGGGGAAGTCCCGTCTAAATAAAACTCCTGATTTCAAGTTTTTTGTAAACATACACCATTGCATGTTGATGGTTGGCATGACCTGCAGGTCACGATGACAAATGAATGTTACGTTGTCAATAGAATATAGCGTTTGACCATCTCTGATCATAAAAATGAGTTGATAGAAATTCAAGTAACATGTATCAAGTTCATTTTATCACGGACTACAACTATTGATTCCAAATCTGGTTCACTGAACGCTCAATAATTAGTAGTAAAGCGTATTTTATAGAGTCAGTAGTCTGGTGGCAGTTTCGAAATCCCGCGTTCGAACACTTAGTACTATAATACTCCTAGATCTTAATATAACAATACGGTTTTTGCAATACGTTGTTTTTATTCACCTGTAGACGCACCTGGTGATCGGAAAATATGAACGGATCGGAGGGGGTGGGGTTGGCGAAGATTTGTTGAATTTTCTATCAAAAATGGGCTGACCTCCCTCCTCCGTTCATTTTGTCCGATCGCTGGGCGTGATATATAATGTATTGAACATTTTTATGTGTTTCTTATTGAATGAAATGTGTATTTTGGACTAATAATGTAATTCATAATAAATACAAGTATTTCAAGAATTGCCATACTGCACGTAAAACGGGTAGCCGTAGCTTCTTCACTGATGTACGATCGGATATACTACATGTACTTAAAAAAGTTTTGTTGCGACTAATAAAACAGATCATCTTTAATGTAAAAATAACAGGTGCACTTCATTTAATCAATTTTAGATACTGTATTTAGTAATATTATAAATCCCAAACACAACAATTAAATGCATGTTTAAGTGTCAATTAGCCTATTAGAATAAATATATTAAAACTATTATGAACAGATAATTCATTGATATGTATTTATTCAACTCTAATGGGCTTTTCTCTTTTAACTGCTACATGGCTCTCATTTTACAGATTTACAGATTTACAGATTTCGAGCCATCAAAGTCAGATTAGGTGGAGCCCTTATCTCAATTAGAAAATAATATTGGTAAGGAAGTCAGACATGTTTGATACCATTTCTCATCTCTTTTCTGCTTTTAAAATACCGACTTGAATCACAATTTGTGTACGATCATTGCATCAGATCTGAAAATATCAATATTGTACTCACTGGTTTTGTGATCGAAAGGTAGTTTTTTCGTATAACAAATATATGAGTTATAGATTATATAATTTGTGTGTTTTTTATGAAAAATAACATGCTACCCGCAGGTGACAAATATTTTGACCACAGCCGTGATACTGTTTTATTTAACTCGTATTTGAAAACAGATTGCGGAGAGACTGAATTGTTCATTTTCTTTTAAAAAATATACGACTGAAAACTTACTTCGTCAAATTTTGGCCATTGCTATCCCCCCAGCACCCGGATACATTCCAATATAAAAATAAATTAACACCATCAAATCTTTTCATTCCAAAACACAAAACGCCTAGGCGCGTGCCGGTGTGATTTCAGGCATGATCAGTACTGTACATTTCTTAGAAGAAATGAGATGTCATGGTTTATCATGATGCATTTTCCGATCCACGTTGGAGTTGGCCAATGCATCGAGGAGTGCACCGATCGACGTAGCCAGCTTTCAGTCAGAGATTTTTTGAGCGTTTTGGCTATTCATTGGATCCCAGACAGTTATCTAATTCTCAGACATTTGATGAGTCTAGATATTTGTACTTCCTTTGACCAGTGAATGGTGTGACTGAAATTCGAATCTAATCTGTTTCATTTTTATGTAAATTGAAAGAAAATAAAGTTTTGTTTTTAATGTTTTAACAATCTTAACGTTATGCGTGCAGCGCAGCTTAATACGACAATCAAAGGAAAGAATAAGAACATGTCTTTTATTTGTTATTTCAGCTCGTACAATATCCCCGTTATAAAACCAAAATACGCTCCTTGGTCATCGCAGAAATGGTCTTGCAACAAACCTCTATGTGCCCGCTTGTCTCTGTAACTTAATAAATAAAAATAAAAAATACTAGATATAAAATACTTTATAAGAATGTGGTTTGCGTTATTTATTTATTTATTCATTTATACGAACGCGCTCGTCTTTTGAACTGAGTATGGAAATACACCAAGCCAAGTGGCCATTAAGTAATAGTAATTATTGTACACGTATTGCTTTCCAAGAATTATTAATAAATGTACGTTCCCAAATAAAATAAAAATAGAAGAAGAATCTGGACAGAATTCCCACTTCTTGCAGTCGATCAATCCAATAAACAATATCAAGTTTAAAATCAGACAATATGCGCCGGCCGTAAAAGCTTCTGAATTTAATAACAAAGTACATGTGACTGTGTAATTATATCCATTGATGTTGTAAACTAGACTACATGTAGGTTCAGGTAGAAACATATAAAACTGCTATATATCTCTGGTTAAAGCAAAACAATTAATTTAGCTTTTAATTATCGATCCTCTGTATATTACACGATCGACCAGGAATAATCGCCACTGTACAGTAGCATTCGATTTAGGCGGCTTTTATTAATTCATGAATTTTGTTCAAGAATATGATTTAAATATAAAATACATTGAACAATTGCCGGTTGAATAAGACTCACAGTTGTCCTGTCTTAATTTTGCATCGATCGATGCATTCCTCGATCCACCGATGCACATTGGACGTTGCATCGAGAAATGCGTCGGTCGTCGCATAAAACGTGCCGATCGGTGCATCGTTAAAATGCGCCGAGATGCATTTCGGCGCGCCGATGTTGCATCGATCGTCGCATCGATCGTTGCACCGAACGGTGCGTCGATCGGTGCATCTATCGTCGCACCGAGGTGTGATGGCCGCTCTGGTCTGTACTGTACTTTAGAATGATACAATATCCAAAAGCCATTTGTTTTAATCTGAATCAGCTGATCTGCAGAACAAGTCCATAATTCAGTTTTCACCAGGGTGCACCCTATGCAGACAGAGCCTGTGGGAAATATTGGGTGCGGCGCAAATGAGCGGAGGGTGCGGAGCTAACGGTCATTTTTGAATTTAAAATTGGGATATTTCTGAAACTTAGCCGTTTTGGGACTTCAAATATACCAAGATATGTGTATTTGACACCAAATATCAATAAAATTGTGAAAATAGTAGTGCAATTCATTTTATAGCGACACAGTATGCTCCGCACCCTCCGCTCATTTGCTCAGCACCCAATATTTCCCACAGGCTCTGTCTGCATAGGGTGGGGTGTTAGAAATTGAAAAGACTCACCTAGGCTACATTTTGCTGAGAATAAGATGATTGCCACCCAGTTAAGAATTCTTGAATATGCAAAGAATATTAACTTGTTTTGCAGATCAACTTCATTTACTAGTTTACATCTACATGTATATTTATTAAAACACCAGTTGGAAAGTCATGACACTACATTTCCTGCTTTTTCTACTTGCTAATATTCATTGCACATTTGAACATCTTAAGTCTTATACGAGTAAAATGAAACATTTAAATGTTTAAGGTGATTAAGACCCAAACTGTAAATTATAAAATCATAAAATTGGATGAGTAGTGAGACTTACCAATCAGGATTGAAGGTTCTAAAGACTGATCAGTAGTTTTCAGTACTGTTGAGTAGTTCACACTGCCCAACTAGGATTGTGTGTGTTAACAATTTACATTTAAACTGAGGTAAAACACATAATATGACATCTCTCTGATTGTAGGTGCACAAGTCCGTCAAGTGACAACTCATTGTCCAAAGTTAGTTACATGGCCACTTGATCAGCTAAAGCACACTACGTTACAACTCTCAGACTTCTGTGGATTCACTGGATCTGAGCTGAAGGAAATGTTGCTCTTACATCCTAAGCTCTATTTAACTGGTAAGTGGACTATCATCAAATTACAGTAAAACCTCTCTCTCTAGCGAACACCTGTATCTAATGAACGTCCCTTCTCAGTACATACGAGACTCCACTGACTTCTGTATAAAATTACTTCTTTGTAGTGAACCACTGAACACCTACTTGAGTGAACACATTTTGTTGCTCTATGTACACAGTCCGTGTTCATTGTACACAGGTTTTACTGTATGTCATCTAACTTCATTGAATCATGTCATGTCACATATAAGTAAGGTACAGTAGTCTTAGTTAATCTTATGTACATATAAATTATGCTCCAAATCTTTTTGTTCTGTATTTAAAATTGTCATATTCAGTTCAATTGTTCATAATTTCAAGTGGTGATGTATCTGTTCCATTGTGTATACTCCATGTCAATGTAAATTATGGCTTTCCTTGTCATTCATATCACACACGCTATAATATTGTTTGATTGTAACAAAGAAGTAATACTGATGTTTTCTTCTTTTTTCAGCTGAGAGCCATCTACTAGAGAGATTTGACTATGTACATAATACAATGAATATATCACATGAACTCATATCAAAATACTGCAGAGTTTTACGGACTAGGCTTAAAATTATCAAATCTCGTCATCTATTTCTGAAAAGCCTAAATAAAGATCAGTACGATCCTACCAAACCTAACTACATCTCACTGCAGGCCATTGTACTTCCATATTTGGACAATTTATGGTGCCGTGATATTGCTGATGTTCCAGTGCAAGAATATAATGACTTTTTGAAGACCCTGTGAGAAGACAGTTTAAGTGACAAAGGATAATAAGGATCAGTATGGATGTGCAGGTGTTGCAGTTCTCTAACATGACCCTTCTACAGTTTTGGTGTTCCACTATACATAATAATGAAAAATGCTACCTGCAGTGAATGGTTAAAATTTAGTGAATTTTTCCAAATGGATGAATGCAATGTAAAACTCCATTCGGATACAACTGGATGATCTGGTTGATTCATAGTTTCCAAAGTTCTCCCCGTGAGTTCTTAGAAGATGAAAATTGCACAAAATTCAAATACTATATAAGTAACGTATGTAATAAAATAGAAAACCCAGGTTCTTAGAGGTTGAGTATCAAAATCTTCTAAAAATGAGTCTTCAGTGAGATTTCAAAGCTATACAGTATAGCAAATGGAAAATTATATGGCAGTAATCAATGTACAGTGTAAATATATTTCTTATAATTATTAAAGAGAATCAGATCTAACAGGCATGTCTATCTTCACCAATTTATAACATATCATGAATCTTTTTTGAGATATTGTATTTGAGATTGTAAGGAATAGTTTGGTAGGTCAAATGTACATGTTGCTTGTAATTTTGTCACCCCTATACATGTATATCTGATTCTTCCTTTAAGGAATAAATTTAATTGTGAATATCTCATGGAAATTCATATTCTTTGATGTCTTTATTTCAGTATTTACAAGAATATAATATCAAATGTAGTTCAAGATTAGAAAGATTGTCATTCCAAACAAATAGGAATAACAGCTACTATTCTAGTATTGCTGCATCTGTTCATTTCAGGGGGTCTACATGTCATGCTGGAATAACCTAATATAGCTGTGAAGTTTGCTTATATTGTGACAATGGTATAAAGAGAATATTGTTGAAGTTGAGTCTATTACAAAAGTTGAAACAAAATGAATAATTGGCCAAAAATAAAAGATGTAAATAATTCCATTCACAGCTTGTTGTGTTTATTTCAATTATCCAAACACTAGACACAGAATGAACAATATGATAGACCCTCGAGTCATATCAATCTATGCAACTTAAGGTGCCATGATACTTAACAGGAAATGACGAAACAGGAAGTGACAAAAATCTTTGCATTTTTAGACATTTTTTGAACAATGATAACAAGAGTTCTGTTTTGACCTCCAGTCAATTCAACTAGTTCCACATACCATTTACAGGTCCAGGATCACAATGTTTATGGTCAGAATGACCCTAAACATGATGAAATAACTTTTTCAGCCCTCTGAAAATGTGACTGAAAAATAGCTAAAAGTAGGAGCTAGGGAAGGTCACTGAACAGAATCTTTTGGATTTTGCAGAAAATGTGCCCAATATAATGCTCTAACTGATACAATCTTTAAAATTTTAGAAAATTGTCTGAAACAAAAATCGCGGTCATAAAAAGGAAAATAGATCGCTTTTCAAATCAATTTTCTTCAATTTTTTTCTTTTTCTATGAATGATATCAAATTTTCAAAGATTGTATCATTTAGATCAATATATTGGGCACATTATTTGAAAAATTCAAAAGATTCTGTTCAGGGACCTTTCCTAGCTCCTACTTTTAGCTATTTTTCCGTCACATTTCAGAGGGCTGAAAAGGTTATTTCATCATGTTTAGGGTCATTCTGACCATGAACATTGTGATCCTGCACCTGTAAATGGTATGTGGAACTAGTTGAATTGACTGGAGGTCAAAACAGAACTCTGTTATATTTGTTCAAAAGATGTCTAAAAATGCAAAAATTTTTGTCACTTCCTGGTTTGTCATTTCCTGTTAAGCATCATGGCACCTTAAATTGTAGCCTAACCCCCCTATCACACCAAACTAGTTCTTACCCGATCTTGCCAGTCATACGAAAACGTCGTAAAACGCCTCAATCTGGCTTTGGTCGAGAAATATATCTGAAATAATTAGCTTCTTCGTTCTTAAACAGTCTTCAATACGTCCATCTCGTTCGCAGTTCGTTCAGGTCGCATCACGTCGGTGTGCAACGTCGTAGAACGCGTCCCTTAGTCTAGAAGGTCAACATGACCTGATTACAGAACTGTATGGTCGCCATCAAATTTTGAATCGATTCAAAATTCTAAAATCACATTCCCGTCTGAGAACGTTCATAAAGTTCGTAAATAGACCTTAGAAAGTTGCAGCTACTTTCATTCCGTTCGCACACAGTTTAAAACCAGTTTTGAATAACGCAGTGGCAACTTGTTTGGTGTAATAGCTATATTTTTGCTAACTCGTTCATAAGCAGTGTTAAATACGTTCTTAATCAGTTTAAACCCGTTTGCAATTAGTTCTACCACATTCTCAACACGTCCTCAGACAGTTCAACTCGTTGTTAAAACGTCCCTAGTAGGATTGAAGTACGACGGTTCCCTTCGTAGTACGTCCAGCTCGTCGTTAGTACGTTGTCACTCATTCTAATTGTAGAACGTGACGACCACGAGAACATTTTGAGCATTGTCTAAGTTCTAGAGGACCTACCCGTTCGAGTATGTTCGATGACGTTTGTAAATAGATCCCAAACGGTTCTTAGTAGGTCCAATCCGTTCGTACACAGTTGAAGCCCGTTTTCGAGAATGTAGTTTGGTGTGATAGTAGGGTAATCAATTACAGTATAGCAATGATTTGGCTCGGAAGATGAAAACTAAATACCAAGAATGCCTACAATCAAATCAGCTCTTTATTACTCAGTATTCCAAAAAAATTCAATCAATCTAAAGTATCCTGTAATTTGACATATGTTTGATACATCTTTCCACCAAATTATTTCAGTTATTTTCCAGATGAATGGATAGAGGGCTTTACTATATCCCTATCGAACTTTGATTGTTGAGATAATAGAGTTAGTTTATCAAATCAATCTGCTATTTCAATTGTCTCGACTGCATAATGGTTATCCACTTGTCAATCAAAAGAAGATAAAATATAAATATTTTGTAAAATTTATTTTATTTTCTTTATTAAAGGCTAGAAGAATACAGTCATCCAAAAATAACATTGATCTCAGTTCTCAAAATGAGAAACATATGTCTTGGCTAATTCAGATTGAAATTGCAAAATTGTCCTTCTTGATCTAACAATTTATATTTGGCAAAGTGATATTTGGAGGAATGAAATAGTTAGGATGCAGTCCTTTATACTAATCATTGTTGTAATTAGTGTCCATGATCTGGTCTCCTAGATTTTCTGGAAGGCAGCTACATCCACACTTTGGACCTGAAATATACAATGAATTTTAATTAGTTACGGATAAGAAAATAAATGTTAAAATGGGAGTCACGTCTTACTTCCCAGTACAGTTAATTCTTGAACAATACTAGACATAAGCAACGCCAAAGCGTAGCAAATCCCATCGAATGGCCATGGCTGGCATTTTTACAAACGAAGTATATAGCAAAAATCGAAAAATAACACACAAGAAATGGCCACCATTATAGCCATTATAGGCGTGTAAAGGCCACCATTTTTCAAGATGGCTGCCATGTGCTCCTTCGATACCGATTGGAGACTTCAGAAGAGTTTCCCATAGATGACCATTATAGCATTAGAATGGTTAAAATACTTACAAAATCTTCAAATGCACATATATTTTCTTCCAAGAAATCAGTTCCAACTTTGTCATCCTCTACGACAGCAGCAATCTGAAGCTTCTTAATACCATAGCCAACTGGAAGCAGCTTAGCTGAAACACATACAACTAACAGTTAGCTCTGCATAAAAGGAACACCTTGCACATTTGGTGAAATAGATAGTTCTTCATAACGGGTTTTTATGATTCAGCCCACCTACAATAGGATTTACTCAATAAGTATAGGGCTGTTACACATAATCGATAGTGCATTTTATATTGATTCCACGCATACAATATATGTAATATACAGTATATGAAAAGAGTACTCACAGGCACCCCAGAGGAGACCATCCTTTTGAACAGACCGCACCAGTTTCTCCATCTCTGCCATGTCAGTTTCATCATCCCAAGGTTTCACATCCAGAATAATGTTTGACTTGGCAATAAGAGCAGGCTCTGTAATAAATGTAAAGATTTCATGTTATGTTGCATGTTGGAATTTTCAGAACATGTTTTAGGATCTACGTCAACACTAAAAATGTTTATCAAGAATTATTTACACAAGCTCAATCAATCTTGTAAACATGAAATATTCTGATCCCCGCAAATTGTAGTCCACCTTTCGATTGATCTAAATGGAGACCTTATTAAAACTATTTTCTTCACACCTTAATACTTCATCGGGCAAATAAAACCCAGTGAGGTGAATAGTCCATAGAGAACAATAATTTTACATGTTTCATATACACATTCTTCAAAACAGTGCTAACTTTAACTACCTAGTATCTGTAAATGTCTGACATAGCTAAGATTCATTTAAATTGTGAATCATTTCAATATTTAAAAGAAACTTTCTCAGTTATAAACACGAACTTAACTTACTTTTTCCCTTCTTTTCTTGGTATTTCTTGACAAGGTCAGCTTTCTTTGCCTCCAATTCCTCATCTTCGCTCTCATCACTGCCAAAGAGATCAATATCATCATCGCTATCATCATCTTCATCAGCTTTGGATGGTGCAGCTGCCTTCTGCCAGTAAAGAATGAGAATAGAACAAAAATATATAAATTGTCTGTCTTAAAGTTTCATTCTAAGTATCCGCCCTTCACCCTTTATATCCTCCTACATGATTTCTAAGGAGTCTCTGCAAGGTTAGCTTGAGTGCTATTGTATTTTTCTTTCAGATTATGTATATACTGCTGGAATTATACTGGGAAAATATTTCCTTAAAAACACTTATTTTTGCTCGATCCAATCCACCTTTTAATCTTTACCATTATGTATGGACAAATAAACAAGATGATTCTATCATGATTCTTCCTCAGTTCATGGGTTAGGTGGATCATTGGGAAGCAAGGGAGGTGTATTACCGAATAAGGGAAATAGATCCAACTAAAAGTGAAAAAGCGAATGACCAATTTCAAAATCAACCCCAAAAAGCTTACAGGTACAAACAGGGATATCGACCAATGGGTCATCTGACCATCTGAATATTTACTTAAAAATATGATTTGCACAGTTGATGGTATGATGTAGGCGTAACTGCTTCTAATAATAAAGGCAGACTTACAGGAGCGGCGACAGCTGGTGGCTTGGTGCCACTGGCACTCTCTAGGGCAGCTACACGGCTCGTAAGTGCACCAATCAGAGATCTCAGATCAGCAGCAACTGTGACACAAAAGATGAGAAACCGGAGTAAATTAACAATTTTACACTGAAAGTAATTTATTTCTATATTTGGCAATGTTTTTTTCTGAAATCATTTTTGTCTGAATATATATAAATTGACAACAAATGAGTTATTTAGTGTCTTACCTAGTTTTGATAAAGCCCTCATTAACCCCCCCCCCCCCCCCTACGACAAATCTCCCTCTTTCTCTCATGTTCAAGTTGAAAAGACGGAAGGGTCAAGAGACTTGAAGCAAGACCATGCCTTACCTTGTCTTAGAGCTTGGTTTTCCTGTTCCACATTGTTCAGCCTGTTGATAACCTCGCTATTATCAACTCCTACACCAACAGCAAGTCCTTGACCCTACAACACATTAAGAGATCTAAATTGAATCAACCAAACCAACTGTACAAAAATATTGTTGCCTTAAGAAGCTAGGATTCTGACAATATAATGCACATTCTATGTGCACACAAACGTATGGATGCAAGACATATTATTAAGTTTCCATATAACAACATGTCATGATAAACCTTAGAGTTAGTAACTCATATTTAAATTAGCCTGTTGTTACATCTAAAATTAAGTTGACTTCAAGAAACTTATATTACATTAAACAATAATTACATAAAACTATTGTAATAAGATTTAGACTTAGAATATCAAAGCAGCTATTGCTTATCAAAGCCATCACCCTTAAGAATCACACTACTACAAACAGCACATTAAGTACAGGCCAGGGTAAATTAAACATAAATAAAGTACTACTTTACAAATGATGAATTGAGAAAAATCATATAAATATCAAGGAACATAGTTTTATTCTCAACTCATCATATCGGCATTTTTAGGTGTGACTAGTAATTAACTTAAATGTTTCTTAATCGAGAGTACAATATATATCGGAACAGAATTGGAATAGAACAGATTTTAGAACTTGCTTTTTAGAGTTTGGAACTTTTGAAAATTTCAGACCTAACTGACTAAAATTTTGTACAATAACATATTGTCAGTGATAATTTATTTACTTTATTTCAGTAGCAAAATTAATTATGAATTATTTATAATAATTCATCTCATATAAAACAACTTTAACAAACAAGTGAACTCCTCAATATTTTCAATTTATAATTGATTTGGTTCAATCTACTTGAGCAAATGTGTTCTTTGAGAAAAACTGATAAAATATCAGAACATGGAGAGGCAGTTTCAAAAATCTGTTTCAAACGGGAAAATCGCATGGATTGGACATTTATTCCATTCTGTGCCAGGCTTTAATACAAAGCAAATCATAGACATTCAGACATTTCAGTACAATATCAAACAAACAAGAACAACAACCATACAAAGTACAACAGTGCATACATACAGACTTGGTGTAATGTTAATCATGCTATTTGAGGTAAGCTTTACTCACACTGTTACTGAGAGAGTTTTGAATTTGTTGCCTGGCCCGAGCTATTTCATTCACGATGGAACTCTGAGAACCCTAGAGAAGATTGAAAAGGCAGTTTATTCCTCTGATACCCTAGAACTATAATTCAATCATGCCACATGGTAAAGGCAGTGATTTCACACCAGCAGAGAAAAAATAATTTAGGGCACTTCACTCAGGAGTGAAAGGGATCTTTTATAAGTTGAAAATCAGTTTACATTTAAAGTTGAGAATTTGCAGCGTGTTCAAGATCAGAGCCATTGGAACATATTTTGTTTGATTTTTACAATTGTAAGAATTGGCAAAATCAGAATTTGCACTCTGAGTTACAAATATGAAGATCATGGTTTTAATGCACAATCTTGTTATATCACATGCATAATATCAGGCAACAATTTCATTTCGACTAAAATGCTTAAAACAATGTGAAGTAGCAACAGTATTGTCTCTTTTAATTCTTGCAAGTATTTAATTTAAACTGGCAGCTAGGTAAACTTTTACTCAATAAAGACCTACACAATATGTTATTTGAGTAATTACCCAAATGGATAGAGGCATTCTCTGATTTAGTTCAATGGGATGATTAAAGGGGTAAACCATAGAGAGTTTGGGAAATTGCCAAAAGATTCTAATTCAAATATAAGACATCACCACAAAAAATGACATTGATTATGTTGCCATTTCACAGTTTTATGTAGACAGTTTCCTTATAAACTTTAACACAATTAGTAGCACAAATTAATGTATCGGAATTATCATTCAGTTACCAAAAACAATTCAGATTTTAATATCAATGTGCAAACTCTAATGTGCAATTTTATACTAGGGTATCTTAAATGTTATTATACAATGTATTTTGCAGATGAAAAACGAGCAAATCTTCAGAATGATTGAGCTACATGTACTACTTCTACTACATGTATTTCGAATTTTTATTTTTTATCAAGTTAATGTTGAAAATATCTCAATCTGAGTGAACATCAAATCAAACAAATATTGTAAATATCACCTGATGTTATATATAAGGTTTACATTCTTGACAGTACCACTGGTACAACCTACAGTACTAAAACAAATATCCAAAACCTCAACCAACAACATGAATGTTCAATAATGAAATCCTCAACCAAGATAAAAAATAATTACAGAACCAATTAGAATTAAAGTACCAATAAATTTACCTGAACTACAAGGCCAGAGTGAGCACCAGCTAGCTTCTCTTGGTATGCCTTCTCAGCATCTTCACAACGCCATTTATCGTACCATACATTCTCCTGCATTAAGAACTGGGCAGCGTTGGTGGCCATGTTAGTTGAAGGTGTATGTTCTGGAATAAGACAATAAATGAAAAAATAATACCGTGGGTACTGGGCTCACATGGTTTTGCTCAAAAGTGAATGATGGCTAAAATGGCAGAAAATAAAAAAATGGAAGTAATTTTTGCCGATTTTTTGCAACAAAATTATTTCATACAACCTGAGACTAACATTAGAGTATATTAGTCTCAGATACAACTACTCTTTACAGTGACATGACTTTTTACAATGCAGGACACCTGATGTTATTTGTAAAGCTAGGAAATGGGCCACAAGTGAATTTCGCAAGACAAAAATGGCGACCATTTTGAAAATAACATTTTGGTAAAAAATTGCTATACCTGCACATGTTATTTTCTGGTACAAAATTAAGTATGAAGGCATGTGTGTATCTCCTTGCTTTTTTCAGGAAAGTATCATTACACTGTCTACTTTTAGTAAACCTGGAAACAGGTCAATGGTAGCGCCTGTGTTGTCTGGAAACTTTGGAGGCCTTTGGAAAAATAGAAAGTGTGAAATATCAGAAGCCTTCATACTTTATTTTGTACCAGAAAATAACATGTGCAGGTAAAGCAATTTTTTACCAAAGTATTATTTGCTAGCTGTACCTTAACATCCTAAGATTGTTGCCACCCGATTGACATTTCTGATTTTCTTCAAGAAATTCTTGCAAAAGAAAGTTGAGTTTGATTGACCGGCTTCACAATCTAGTTGTTTTCTCAGTCAGTATTGATAAATAAACATTTCAATCATTGTCAGTTTTCAGATGACACTAAGAAACATTCAAAACAAATAAAAAGCAAGCATACGACTCGTAGATTCCAGGTAAATTAGATCAAGAAATACACAAACCTGGTGGAAACGTGTACAACTTTTGAAACAGGAAGTGAAAGGAACGAAACGGGGAACAAGTAAGGAAAGGAAAAATTATGCCCTTATATCGCAAATATATTTCAACATATACCTTTTAATATTAAATAAATTATAATACATTTGTTTAATGGAAAATTGTATGAAAAAGTTCAATTTTGAATTTATTTATGATTACAAAAATATTCACTCCGAACTTTGATCATGGCGGAACAAAAAAGTGAGAAACACAACTGTTTGTTGCCATTATCAAGGATAAAGACCATAATGAAGAGTTCTCCCGATGTCACACACGTAGCACAAGAATCACTCTTTGTCATAACCAAGGCAACCGTAAGTAATACGAAATAATATTGTAGATAATCAAATGCGAAAAGTACAATTCACATATTATCGCCCACAAAATTGACAACCCCAAAAATCATTATTCTTTGTTTATTGGGACATTCCCATTCTAGTGGGCACCATGCATTGATTTCTTTAGAAAGGAGACTGACAGTACGAAAATTTCGTGACCACATGTTTGGAATTCAGCTGTTTTATACACTGATGTTTCTCCATTATTCTTAGCCTACAGTCTGCAGATAGTATGTATCCAACAGACCCCTCGCATGGATATCGCGGCGATATTTTGTGCACATAAATTTCTTGTTTATTACAAGAATGTTCACCTTGAAAATTGGTGAATATGTTGAGGAGATGTTCATCTTATTAAACTACTATTTTTTTCAAGGCCTGTCTGCGTCGCTAACATGCTAAATATAAGAGTTAGCTGACGTTTGGGAGTCTGACTTACCTTCTAAAGGTTAGAACCCGAATCTTAATGAAACCATATCACCTTTGTTCCGTCAACCATGGAGCATTTGCCACAACATCCAAGAGGTAAATCATGGATCGAGAAAATGAATGATTTCCTTGTAAGTTCCGGAAGTTTCAATACGAAAAATTACCGAACATATGTGAAAACCAAATATTTGTTCGTTGTTTTCACGATTTACAGGTTCGTTTGTTCTTCAATGTTTTGGTCTAAATTAAAGCATTATAAAGCATCACCAACAGGTCTTTCTCTATTAATCGACTAATACAGCAGACGGCTCATATTTCTACGTAGCATTTCATTCAGACCAATAGTGGGAGTGTAGATCACGCAGTTTCGTTCGTTGCGTACTTAACTTGAAATTGGTAATTTTTAATATTGACTACTTCAGGATGTAGAACATTGCTTAATATTCTTTTAATTTTCACACCAGACATGCTTGGTTGACACGTCAACAAAGTAAAGTTCAAGGTTCAATGCGTTATTTCGTGATAACTACAACGCCTTCCCGGAAGTCAACATTGATGAAAAATGAAAAAGTCGGAAAAGCATTTACGCTAATTTCTATCAAATGCTATGTTTATGCATCATCATCGACGCAACAAAGGTGATATAGTTTCATTAAGATTCGGGTTCTAACCTTTAGAAGGTAAGTCAGACTCCCAAACGTCAGCTAACTCTTATATTTAGCATGTTAGCGACGCAGACAGGCCTTGAAAAAAATAGTAGAAGCAAAAATATTTGTTTAAGGTAACGCTTAAGTTAATCAAAAGTACAAACGATAATCCATGCCACTTGGTGAAGTCACAAAAACTTATATGAGGATTACATGAAGTCTAGAAGTAGTTCCGGCAAGAAAAATGGTGCACATGAAATATTTGTCAGAAACTATGGTTTGAGCTTTATCATTTCTAACAATGCAAGAAGAGCACATTTTCATGCTCCCTCGATGTTCCATGGTAAGGTAAGATGATTTGTGGAAATTTTGGATTCTTGCAAATGTTTGACTGTTGCAAGGCTACTCCTTCAAACTTTCAAAAATTAGCCTCATTTCACGGTCTTAATGTTAGCTTTGGGGACCCATGCACCTCCAATTCATAGTTATAAAAAATGCGCTAAAAGTGAAGTTTTCTTTGACATGTCTCTTTAGTCAGGAAGTGCATTCACATATAAGGAAAACAGAATACAAAATCATGTGACTTAGTCAAAAATATATGGCCGCCATTTTTTTGTACTTCTGATGAAGTTAACGGTTACCATAAGGCAGGTAGGCAACAAGTTGATATAAAATAATGAAATATTCAGACTCACCAAATTTTCAGGATGTGTTCATAAGTAGATCGCAAAATCAGTGTCAAGGACTTTTGACTTCACGAGATCCAAACGAGATATTCAAATTTTTGAACTTTGACTTTTAACTTCAAACACATGACCACTTGATTACCTCGGCCTTATTCATGAATATTCCCGCTCTATTAACTATAAATGTTGAAAATCAATCGGGATAATGATACTAAATGACTAGATCTAATAAATTCCAGCACAAATTGAATTTATCAATAGGCTTCCATAATGTTGCTCCATCCGCTCCACATGTTATTTGTTTACAAATAGACTGACATCACTAAATCTCGTTTATCGTGAGAGTTGGCATTGCCAAAATGGCTTGACCTAATCAATGCCTTCGCTACAAGAAGCTTCTGCATATTTTATGAATATCTTTAAGAGGACAATATACGAAAAAATAATATTGTAAGTTCTTTATAAGGTAATCATTTTATAATTATACATACTTATTTGTAACATTACAACAACACCACATTTTACAATAGGTGACTTACAGTCTGAATTTATTCAGATGAAGGATACAGTCTAAGTCTGTTGAAGTGCTTCAAGGCAACCAGTTGAACCTAAAAACTAAGAAATCTAAAGATTATTGTGCAACATATTCATACTGCACATGAATGGCATTTGTATATTTCAGATTATTTAGTGTTTAGTGCAATAAAAGCTTGTGCCCTCTTGTAATCTGAGGTCTAAAGTTTGGAACATAAATAATGACTAACACTATGAAAAAGACATTATGTCGCACATAAAATAAATGCTTACCTCTTGTCTCTATTTTTCCGTACTGAAAAGTACAAATGTAGTGGAATTTGTGTCTATAATGACAATTTGGAACTTAAAAATTTGAAGGGATTTTCACATGTTAAGGTGCCATGATACTTAACAGGAAATGACAAAACAGGAAGTAACAAAAAGCTATGCATTTTAGACATTTTTTGAACAAAGATAACAGAGTTCTGTTTTGACCTCCAGTCAATTTAACTATTCACATATCATTTACATGACAAGGATCACAATGTACATGGTCAGAATGACCCTGAACATGATGAAATCATGGTATTACCTTTTCAGCCCTTTGAAAATGTGACTGAAAAATAGCTAAAAGTAGGAGCTAGGGAAGGTCAATGAACAGAATCTTTTGAATTTTTCAGAAAATGTGCCCAATATAATGCTTTTACTGATACAATCTTTGAAATTTTAGAAAATTGTCTGAAACAAAAATGGCGGTCATAAAAAGGAAAATAAATCGCTTTTCAAATCAGTTTTTTCATTTATTTTCTTTTTCTATGAATGATATCAAATTTTCAAAGATTGTATCATTCATTCATATTCATTCATTGTTCAAAAAATGTCTAGAAATGCAAAATGTTTTGTCACTTCCTGTTTTGTCATTTCCTGTTAAGTATCATGACACTTTAATCCAGACTCTTTAAATGTTGAGGTGATTTTGGAGCCAGATTACGCCGCAAGAAGAATTGGCTCCCAGAATGCAATGTGACATGTGACAGCTTTCAAAATGCAGTTCCGCCATTTTGAAATCTGTCACGGGGTTAACTGATGTTGCATGCTGGGAGCCAATCCTCCTTGGATCATAACAATGGCGGTCCATGAAAACATTCATTCGATTTGGTAGGAATTTATCATTTGGAGGTATGAAGCTTTGGATTCATTTATTGTGCTACTTACAGTGAGCGGAGATTATTTTTCTACCATTTGGATGAGTTTGAGACATAAAACTTAGAATTTAGCTCATTGTGACAACTTTTGATGGTTGAGGTTTATTAAAGTTTTCCAGTGAATCTGTCATGTTATTTTTTTCAGAATTAACATTGCAGAGAAGCATCAAAATATAAGAGGATACAGACTTTATAAGCAAGATATTATTCAAAATGGTGAAAAAATATTCAAAATGCTTTAAATGATTTAAAGGAACATGTCAGAAAAATATTTGCTGTTTGTTTCATTATATTTAAATGCAAAACAACTATATTGTAATATTGAATTAGCAAATTGTTATCAAATGACACATCCCTATCCTATCTGTATATAAAAGCTGTCATTCAAATTGATGTTTTTCTACACTCTGATCTTAGCCAAAAGGCAGAGAAGCGAAACTACTGTTAACATTGCTCCTTATATTATATTCAAAAGTGCATCAATGTCTTCTATAATGCCATGCATGCATTTGGCGATTGAAGATAATTTTGTAAATGTAACTAATGATGATAATTGATCAATAAATAAAAAATAAAATAAAATAATGTTTTTCTACAAAAAATACGTAATTAATTGGTAAAATCAGCGAGGTCTGGGGCAAATCACTCAAAATTGGATTTTGTAGTTAATATACCAATATTTCAGGAAATTTACTCCCTTTTATTAAGTCAGAGAGGAACTTTTAATCATGAGAGGAAATTGACATGGAAAAAATGCTCAAAAAGGGTTTTTTAGGTGCAGGACATAGGTATTAAGAGGTATATTGGAGTGAAACCCCCGGGGTTCTGTTTGGATTGAAAACAGATGAAAAGGATTTTGAAAGTAGCCTGCCTTATGATTTTTGAATTGCCTAAAATTAACAATGAATAAGATTGTGTTTCAGAATGCTGGTACCACGGGGTACCATCGAATAATTTTGGCAACGTACCGGAGAACGACATTTTACTAAGAAATGGCAATAATTTAGCACAATATATTTTTTAACTAGAGTTCTATTTTGATTTTGACAAAAGTAAGTATTCCATGCAATAACTATTTCATTCATGAGTTTGTAGGAATTCTGTTGGAACCCAGTTCTGATCTAGTACGAAGTTATTGAAATCGGCGCAGTCGGACTTTACTCCGAAAGATGGTTTTTCGATTATAACTTATAGGCCCTATGCTTTAAATCATATATTTTATTTTTTTAAATTACATAATTCAACTGATCTGCTCCGGTTACGTTCCCAGCTCCGGTTACGTTCCTAAGTAATATTTTTAAAACTTTTTTTTTAATTAAACAAATCAGAGTCGTTTGAATCAGAAATAACAGAATTATTCAATAGTATAAGGACTATTCTGTACTTTTTTCAAAAGTCTATACTTAAATGTTGTAAAAAGTTATAATCGAAAAACCATCTTTCGGAGTAAAGTCCGACTGCGCCGATTTCAATAACTTCGTACTTGATCAGAACTGGGTTCCAACAGAATTCCTACAAACTCATGAATGAAATAGTTATTGCATGGAATACTTACTTTTGTCAAAATCAAAATAGAACTCTAGTTAAAAAATATATTGTGCTAAATTATTGCCATTTCTTAGTAAAATGTCGTTCTCCGGTACGTTGCCAAAATTATTCGATGGTACCCCGTGGGTACAAGGTCACCCTGCTGGTCCATCCAGAATAGCATAATATTACATCTACCATAACTTGACATTGTTGATTTGAGGGCAGCACAATCTTAAAAATAAGTTTCACATATTCTGATTACATTGGATAAGACTACAGTATAAGCCAAGGTGGTTTAACTTCATACATGGCCTTTGAATTCTTCTCTTTTTCGGACACTGATACTGATATCTGAAATCAAACGAATGGTCCCTAAAATTACAAGATTTACAAGTTTTACAAGTTTACAAGATTTACACAATTTATACTCTACCCAGACTTTTAACAATAAGCCAACACTGGGGTTGCCATTCCAGAACTTTGCTTATATTCTAAAAGGACACTCCACTAGAACCAGACCTGCAATAACAGATTTTGCCACAAAAATTGCAGAAGGTTTTCACAAATGCTCACAACACCAAATTCAAATAATGGGAAAATATATAGAAATACATTATTTAAGTGTTTTTTTAATATGTGGTTATGTTTCATGTACATATATTTGCAGGAGTTGTTTGTACAAGACTTGGCTAAGACAATACACAAAAAATCAGGCAGTGGTAAATCAGTTTCTTATAAAGATCTCTCAACTCTGGTGGATGAAGAGGAAAATATGCAATTTTTACAAGGTAAACTAGAAATGTATTTATCCCATACTTGGACATGTTACAGGTACATAAAGCAGGTTTTGCCCTCGGGCAGATATATTATATTGGCCTCGGGATAATCCCAATATCCTGAACCTCATAAAGGATAAAGGATCTCTATATATCCTATATGTTACATTTTCAATATAATTAGATATGTATATACATGTATAATGTTTATACATATCTCAAGTGTAATGGGGATTAGTAGGATTGAGACAAATTCAGCTTTTTTGAAAATATATTTTTGAAATTTTTTTTCCAATTTAATGTTTTTTTGCTCTCATCATTTGATTCTATGTCATGCTTATTTTCTCTAAATTCCCAACAGTTTTTAGTTTATTAAAGATAAGTCTTTGACTCTTAAAGTTGTCTTTCAAAAAATTAAGAAAAGAGACATTTCTGCATCAGTAATTTCTATATTTGATCAGCAATCTCAATTTCTCTTTCCAGAAAAAATTGCAATAGAAATAGTGGCATGATTTTATGAAATATTCCCTTCAATATTTCACACTTCACACTCCAGGAAAAAATCAACTTAATTTGTAGTACTCTAAACCTCAAATACCCTTGTACCATAAACATCAAACAAATGCATAAACACATGTGTGCTTGTAATTCATTGTCAGCTTCATATTTTCTTTCAGATATCATTCCAAAGAAGATCCTTGCAAAGGATTACCTTGATAAACAGAACAATACAGAAAGTGATGATGACATCGTTATGCTAGACTGAAATCAAATATAGAAACCGTGAATTACACTACATTAGTGCTGGACTACTGACATCATAGAATGCAATATAATATGCTGTGTCACCTATACTCATGCTACATGTAACGCAATGGAGGACATAAATGACTAGTTTATATGGGTAGCTGCAGTGGCCTGCAAGGGAGCATATTTGTTTCATGTTTTGTATGTATGTCTTGAGAAAGTGATCTGATGAAAAATGTATGCAAATCAAACAATGGATTTAGACTTTCTGTCATGTGCTCCATGCACTTGCAGGATTTGGCTACTAGGATGTTTTAGTGTTTCAAAACTGATTCTGATGGAATGGAAAACATTAATTACTAAATGCTGTTTTCTATTGCATAACTGGAACAATATGAGCCATATCTACATACCCTTTCATGCATCTCATTCTTCAGATTGTTATTTTTAATGTTGCCCTTTGTATGTTTTTATAAGGAAAATAAACTAATAAAATTGTACAAATCAGTATACTTGATTCCAGTCTTCAATCATCTTACTTGTAATGTGTCCATGTGGTCCATGCTTTTTAGTACATTATGTAGATTGTCAGAATTGAGTGCTATTCTAGTTAAAAAGTTTATGATTTACAGTCTACCAGAGATGTCAGGTCATCCATTATAACATTTTGTGTCACTATATCCGAGAACATCAACATCTGCATTGTTAATTAATTACAGAAAATTTTGGATCTAGCTTAGCAATGATATGTGAGTAGATGACAAAGATTTCATTGGGTTTATTAGAATGTATTACATGAATGCATCGGAAATAGCTTAATGGTGCATTTATCACTGACGGATCGAGTAAATGCAGTTGAAATTATTTGTTCAAGTCTAAAACTTTTTAACAACATTAAGCTATTGCACTAGGGCTGTTATATAGATATTAGCAAACTAACAATTGTTCTTCCTTCATAATTTAGATTTAATTACACTATACTTATCATTAATTCGTCATTCATGGTTTAATTACTTAATGCTGCAGATATCAGGTTCCTTGTCTGGCGCGCGTCAATTACTATGAGAGTAATTTCATAAAATGTAATAAGAGGTGCCACATTGGCTCATATATTTTTACGAAACAAAAAGTGTTGTTCCAACCAATCAAAAAATGATTCTGAAATGAAATATGAAGTCATAGCTGATGGGCATAAATAGAATTCATCTTCACTAATTTTTGCAGGGACTCAATATGAGTGATTGCACACATTTAATAGAACATATTTCACTTATCAGATTGAGTCATTGTTATCACTTTTTAATGATGATTGAGTCTTATCAACTTTGCTAGGGATAATATCTCGTCAAATATACTCCAGGTCCCCATGAAAGCATAAATGGATTGCCACGAAGCATATCTGAGTAGCCAATACTGTTGGAGCATCTAGCTGTCTGTGGTGTTTTAAAGACTTTAAGTTGCCAAATGAGTATTAAATCTGCAATTTCAAATATAATAATGCTGTAATTAAAAATCTTTATTTTTTGGTATTAAGTTTAATAAAAAAACTTAGCTATAATATTTTAATGACTTTGTGAGAAAGATGAGATGTCAATGTTGTATCAGGTTAAGCTTTTAAATGAGTAAATCTACTTTTCTGATCCATTTCCTCGGTTCTGAGCAGGGATGGATGTGTCATCCGATAACCAAGTTTTTATTTCTAGGGTTTGAATCTCACAGTTGCATGACTGGCAAATTGCCAATGGCAACCAGTTTCCACCCTTTGCAATAGACTTTGAAAAACAGTTGCCCATTGGGCAATGGATTGAATGCCAATATGGTAAATTGTGGCAACCATCAGTTTTATCCTTAGTTGTAAACCCAGTCTATTTCATAGTTTATTTCTTGGATCATGGAATTCATCAACTGACCATGTTTTCAGGATTAAGGTATATCTTCATCAATTATAGACATAATTCCACCTACAATTGCCAGGTTATGAACCTGAATGCCTTTATACATACATTAATTCCAGAGGAACTTGGTTTACTTTCGCATCTCATAAAAATACTAAATACAATTTCATAAATACTATGCATTTTTATTCTTAAAATATATTGCTACAAATGTACAGATAATATTCTTGTCAAAACTACAATATAAAAATCAGCCACAAGTTTTTGTCACTCATTGCAAAGTTTGGGTCTTTTTACGTCTTTAGATTGGCAAATGAATTTTCCAAAGCAAAGAAACCCATTGTGTCTTATATTAATAAACATATGTATATCAGAACATTTACATATTTGGTATGGCAACAATCATTCAATTACATGTATTAAAATTGAAGTCTGGTAGTTCATCTGAGAAAATAAGGAAATTTAATTGTTCTCATTCAAGTCGAAATAAGGTTTGGGTCAATGTGACCAAGTCAGCTGTTTTGTATAGTCATGGCGTATCAACAAAACCAAATTGAGCATTGTTCAGTTGTTAGGGATTGTGAAGCACATCAAATGACAGCTCCAGGAGGCAATAAATTGAATAGGAATTCTGTATACTACATGTATATCTAATATTTCCAATAAAGCCTTGAGAGCCTTGGAAAATGGAAGTTCTAAATTTCAGCTAATTTTTTCATTTAAGAACATGTTCTCACATTTTTGCCGAAAAGCTAAGCATTTAAAAGACTTCAAAGACAAACTCCCTAAAATTAGGGTAGAGAAGAAGTAGATCAGCTATAAAATAACAACCAAGTATGTGATATACACAAATGTATGATGCACTGTACTACAAGACCTTGAGGAGAAGCTTTATATTACACAATGCTGCAAAAAAACAAACATGAATGGATTTACAATGATTAAAACAACAGTAATATTGCATTTTCTGATTAAACATTTATATAGTCAATACTCATTCACCAGTTGACCTTATTTGTGTCGTAAAGATCAGATATTGACTCATGAACACATTTATTCACCTGTCTATTTTGGTAATACAGGGTGTTCAAAAAAACGCAACCCAAAGAAATCGCTATATCTTGGGAAACACTAATGCAATTATGTTCAGGAAAGAAAGAAGAGACGTTTGTATACCTCCTGTAGTTGGTAAGTTATAAAACTTGATGTCTTAGACACCTGCTCAAAAGACATTAGTATTGGAAAGATACGAAAAACGCAGTCAGGGGTGACTGCCACAGCAATAAAACCGAATAACTTTCTAATCATAGTGTTTTAGCTCTTCAAATTTGGCACAAATCATCTTCATTCAAGGTATGGTAAATTTGTAGAGTGAAATCAAAATCACTCCAGGGACTTTACAGATATGGTCGAAATGCGTTCAAAACGCAGTCAAACACCCTGGTTCAGGCAGACTTAAGAAGGTATTTTGACCATGACTGTAAAGTCCCTGGAGTGATTTTGATGAAACTCCATTAATTCACCACACATTGAATGAGGATAATTTGTGCCAAATCTGAAGTGCCAAAACACTATGGTTAGAAAGTTTTTCAGTTTTATTGCTGTGGCAGTCAGCTTTGACTGCATTTTTTGTATCTTTCTAATACTTATGTCTTTTGAGCAGGCGTCCAAGGCTTCATGTTTCACAACTTAATAACTACAGGAGCTCTACATGCACAGTATCTTCTTTCTTTCCTGAAACAATGAGTGCAATTGGATAAGTATTTTCCAAGATATAGCGATTTCTTTGGGTTGCATTTTTTTGAACACCCTGTAATTCATTACTTGGCAAAAAAGGTGGCGCTATTATGTACATTTACACCAACAGTTCACAAGATAATTCAACTAGATATTCATCACAAACTAATATTCCAATATCAGAGTTGCATTTTCTGGCTGGTTCACATTGTACCAATAACCAATCCAGAAATTCAGATGACCAACATTTAATATTCAATGGGACAAGTATATTTTAAACAATATAGATCAAATTCTGTTTGATAAGAGATCAAATTTTGTTTTCATGTAGCTATGTGAATTCAAATCAAACTGATTCTATGTCTGATAATAAATTACACTCTGTGTCTGAGTTTGATTAAAAATCAAACTGTGTTTCTATGTGAATTCAAATCAAACTGTGTTTCTATGTCTGATTATAAATTACATTCTGTTTTTAAGTTTGATATAATCAAACTGTGTTTCTATGTCTAATAATAAATTACACTCTTAAGTTTGATTAAAAATCTGTGGAAGTTTGATTAAAATCTTTGTTTCTATGTCTGATTATAAATTACACTTTTTTCTAAGTTTGATTAAAAATCAAACTGTTTTTTCTATGTCTGATTATAAATTACACTCTGTTTCTAAGTTTGATTCTAAATCAAACTGTGTTTCTATGTGAATCAAAATCAAACTGTGTTTCTATGTCTGATTATAAATTACACTCCTAAGTTTGATTTTAAATCAAACTGTGTTTCTATGTGAATCAAACTGTGTTTTTTTATGTCTGATTATGAATTACACTCCTAAGTTTGATTAAAAATCAAACTGTGTTTCTATGTGAATTCAAATCGAACTGTGTTTGTAGCTGATTATAAATTACACTCTGTTTCTAGGTTTGATTATAAACCAAACTGTGTTTCTAAGTCTGATCATAAATCAAATTCTGTTTCAATGTCTGCGATGAGCTGTTCTTCTGAGATATCATAGTTTATGGATGGCTTCTTACTGGAAACAAACAATTTAAAGTAACATTACATTTTGCATCAAACCATATTTGAATCTTATATATCATGATTCAATCAGATCATATTTCATAATACTAAGACTTTACAAACTTTTAATGTAAGTATCATGTCTATACGCTATATTATTTGGTGTATATTATACCAAGTTGATATTTTTTCATTTATACAGGTGATTTGTGTACCTTTTAGTTGCAGATACACCCCTTGTATTACTTGAATCTTCTAAAGCACCTACTGTAGTGGAAGCTAAAAATAAATATAGAATATTTATTGAGTACACTCACACCCCTGAGGGTCAGGTACAAGAAAGTGTAATACATAAAAAGAATATACATTGATTAGTAAGCATAAAACATGTACCATATGGTAACCATGAAAAGCATTGGAACATGGCCAATCACAATATTTTTGAGACCATAAAGCATTTGTGGGAAAACTGTAGACCTCGCTTGCAATGTTTTCAACCTAGATATCTCAGATTCTAGAATATTTAGAATGACTTACTTTTTGCAGGACTACCTCCATATGATCCGAATTCATCCTATAATAGACCAAACAATAGATATAAAATATCAACTATAACATATAAGAATAAGCCTTATAGCAATCTTATAGGCAATAAGCCTTATTACATCCCCCATGTCATTTATCTACTCTCTCGTGATCCGGGTATGAGTCCAACCTTTCCTTCCAGCTGCATTTTTAAATAACAATTAAAATGCTATATCAACTATATATCCAATTAACTCCTGAAGAAAAAGCCTCTCCATGTCATTATTCTCGCTTGATTTCCACTTTATTTTTAAAAAAGTACAGCTATGCATAATGCATCTTTAACTTCAGTTACAATTGTTCAGAAATATTAATGGGCTACAATCTGTTAGACAATCTGTATTTGAAATTGGATGTTTTATGAATATAAGAATTTTTCCAGTTATAGGTTATTCAAATGAAATTCAGACACTTTTTTCATCAAAATCAGCAAATGAATATATTACCATTTAATTTATTTGGCATCCCATTAAACAAACTAACACTGTTAATATATATCTGTTGATACATGAAAATAATTCCTCATTTTCTCAATGTGAAAAAATCAAGAGTTATACCCTGATTACAGATAATGCCTCTTTAAGTCATGTACTATGGTCTGGAAATTACCATGCTAATGAACAGATAATGCCTCTTAAAGGGTAACGCTTATTGTTTAGCAAATCAAATGCTCGTTTTTGGTGTTGCTCACCATTTAGTACAAAATAGAATCTGGGACCTATTGCGTAAGAGGTATCTGTGCTACTGCTGAGCTATATGGTGGACTACTAGTATAGATCACCATGCATTTATCAATGGGAATTTTTTATTTTGATGATCAATTTTACCTTTGATTGCTGAAGTTTCAGGATCTTCTGTCTGTGTTTAATTGAGAAATTGATATCTTGATCTACCTATACCGAGTATAAGTACAAAGCATGGTCTTATGAAATGTTCTACTTATAGTTGAAACTATCAGTGACACAAAAATAAACTATTTTAAACTAAACTAAAACTAAAACAAAACGTTTTGGACTAACACAAGGATTTATATTTGTCCATGAATCCTTTGGATAAGTCACACACCCAATCTCTCAATATTTACAGATTGACATGAAGACGATTTGAATAAACTGGAATGTACCGAACTCCCCTAAATAGACTGATCCAGTGGACTTGTCTGGAGTCTGTAACATGGTCTAAAAACACCATGCTAATTAATAGATAATGCCTCTTTAAGTCAAGTAACAATAGTCTGGATGCCATGCTAATTAAATGAACAGATAATTTCTCTTTAAGTCATATAACCATGGTCTGGAAAATCTTAAGCCTCAATGAGACCAATGAGCTCCATTTTTATAAGATCATAACAATATACTTGGAATAAGCAATCAATAAATGTTACCATGTTAAAGGTTCAAAACATTATTTAATCATTGATTATGATCTGAGGCAAAGATATATGTACAATGTAAAAATGCCTGAAAGACACCAGTGTTATGGTGATATAAGGAGAGTGGGAGTACTCATCGTGCCAATACCTACTTTACATTATTTCCCATAAGGGTTGATACATGTTCAACAACTTATAATTTCAAGATTGGAACGAATATAGAAAATCTTGTTATTTCAAAAAACAAATGCTGTTTCATCGATAACAAGAGGTATTTGAAATGATGTTACAAAAACATTTTAAGTCACGTAATAAGAAGATTTATGGGTAGTTTGAAAATATTGTTATTCTGGTACTAACATTCCAATCAAATAACATGGTAACATTGAGAAATTAATATATATTTTAAATCCTTCAATCTACCCAGAAATAAATGTTATGCTTTTAGGGTATATGTGGCACCCTATACTCCCACCCAGAAATAAATGTTATGCTTTTAGGGTATATGTAGCACCTATTCCCTTTTCCCACTACAACCTGTAAATATGTTTCATTGATTTTAATTAAAAAAAGAACTTTCTTTTGATCTCAGACATTATTCTGCCATCTTATACTCTTTGGAATTATCTGAGTGGGATTTTACAAGCAAGAAATAAGAACAACGATGAAAATATTGGCTTAATTATAGGCTCTCAGGCATGCTATTCATCAATCTCATCCCATTCAATTTGATGTCTTTGGAAGCTTGTATTAATTGGTAACCTTCATGGATTAGAAATGGAATCTCAATTAATTTCACTTTCTCACTTAAGTTAGCAGAATAAGTTTCAAAATTGAAAATTCTGCTTGTACATTTTTAATTCTAAATGGTCAGTTTGAGAGAGTTATCACTATACTGGATGTATTTATAGCCACAGAAGATAAAAATCAATTGCTCTGTCCTATAATTGTATTGATTGTATCACACTTCCCATCATTTCCGAGACAATGAACTTGCCAAAGGTAAGGTTATAAAAAGCCAAATTGTAAGTCAAATAATGATTTAAAGAGGTAGTATCTGCTAGAAGGCACAATTTGAACTACTTGGTATCTTTACATCGATTTGCCAATGGCCAGGTACCAACTCCTACATAAATGAGGTTAATTTAACTCTGAATGGCAAAAAATCATTTTACTAGTTTAATATCATTAATTACTATCAATTTCTTGGGTACTTGTATCTGTATTTTGACCTTTCAAACAATTTGTTATTATGGCATTCACTTTAAATCATGAAATCAACATTTTCAGACAATCTGGAATGTCATATTGTCCTTTAGAATAAAGCCACATTCAGTCCCTACTGATCAATAGCTTCTGTTTATCCCATAGTCTCCTGTAGAAGATGGTATTCTTTAAGTTTCTTTTATAGTCTCTTCACGTTATGCTCATTTATGTAATTTATTAGTGTTTCATACTTACATCCTTTTTATTGGCAGCCTTGAATTTATTTGGATCGAAGCCTTGGATTATATTCTGAAAAAATAAAAAGAGGAGGCTTATATATAATATAAACTTGACTATTAGATGTATTGCTGCAGCTTTTCATTGGATAAAGTTATTTAAGGTGTCTTATAAGACATCATCAGTTGGAAGCAATGTTATTAAAAACATTTTAAGTGAATTTATATATTGCTTGTGACACAGATACAAATTATATAAAACTTGAAATCAACTTTAGAAAGTAAGTTCAAAGTTGTATTTGCCATTTCTCTGATGGCAGCTTCAAGTATAGACGATAGAAAGAATTAGGTATTTGAACCTTGATAAAAGAATTAGGGTTGCAAGGGTATAACATTGTCATGCTCCTGATTTATAAGATTGCATGCCTTTTTTCCTTTGCTTCCCCTTGAAACCACTTAAAACAGCCTTTATTTGAGCAATGAAAGGCTATAAGGTAACAGTAAAGGTCTAAAATTCTTATACACAAAAGCTTCATTGAAGAATTATTCTCAACATACCTGTGAGATGTTGTAGATTGAACACAATTGATTTTGAAATGTTTTGCTCACTAAAAATTGTTTGTACTTATCTAAGGCTATACTGTTGTCAAATAATGGCAAAAAAGTATTTAAAAATTCATCACAATAACAATGGTTTTATCATGCTATGATGGTGACAAAAAATGTAAATCCATATTTATTATTTTAGAATCTTTAAAATGCAAAACAGTTTGACTGATGGACAAATTTAAAGAATATTCCTTCATCACTCATAGAATCATTCTGTATTAATATGCTATTCTGGAATAAATTTGTTGATTATAATAAATCTACATAAAAAAACCAAAGGATCCACCATTATCACTTTCAAAATGGTTGGGTTGCATTTCTAGTGTGACCCTGTAATATCATTTGTCAGAGACAGAATTATTATATTGTATTAAGATTTTAGTACTGCTTTAATAGCCATGTATCACTAGAAAACATTAAATAACTATAGATCTACCTTATAGCACTAAGAATTATGATTGTCTAAAGTGCAGATAATCTCACAGAGAGCATAAAATACTGAGTAGAATATCACAATAGATCTATAGTAAAAGAAAAAACATTTCTTATTTTGCCTAATATTGTTAATATACAAAAGGCTTTAACAAGATTATTCAAATATCATTATATATTTGTATTTAGGACACTAAGCTCAAAATGGACAAGGTAACAACATAACTTATGAAGACAAATGTCTCCACCCTTTAAACATCATAGTCTATTTAAACAATTGTAAAACTGGTTTACAAGTTCAAAAAGTCTTTTTAGACTGGCCTAAAAAATAAATACAAAATCAATAAATATGAGGTAAAAAATCCTGCCACAACACAGTGAAGTTCACGGGAGGTGCATGGTACACAGTCTTTAGGCATGACTATAGCACAGTCTGATCATTAAAGGCTATAGTGCAGTTTCATGCCTGCCAACATTCTGTTTTTTATTTGCTAGTTATGATGCCTTGTAAACATAATTACAGGAATATGATATAATATTCATCCAGTCTATTATATTTACAATGCAACTTGGTAACAGAGTGCTCTTATAAGGAACCTTATCTTAGAGTAAATAGTTGCAAACAAGATCAGTTACATGAACACTTTGATATTGATACCCTTATCAAGAAACCTGTGAATTAAATCACAATGTTACACGGGCCATAGCCAGCTTTTGGCAGGGGGAAGGGGTTACTTTCTAAAGAATTCCAGAGTGGGACCACTTTTGACATCATTGGGCCAAAAATGGCCAAATCACTTGAAAAGTGCTCAGAATGGTGAAACACTGCAAGATTTTGTAAGGATTTTTTCTACAGGCCTGTTACCTTTAGGAACTTTTCTATCCTCTCTATACATGTAACTTTACTACATGTATATAAAATTAAAGAATATTTTGGAAATAAGAAAAGAGGATGAAATTTCCTATTGCAAGGGGAATGTTGACAAGAGGAATGGAACGCAGTCAATACAATTACCATTACCAGTTGGTGTCACACATTCTCATGAAATAAAGTACATTCTTCAAAATCAAATCAATCATTCAATGAACTCAAATATTGTTAAAACACAGCAGGTTTTTCTTAGTGACATGTGACATATCTTATATAAATATAGTACTGCTGTGCTGTGATCAATTTGTAAAATTCTTTCATCCAAACTCATTCGTCATCTGTAGCCATTTCTATGCAATATTAATTAGAAATCAAAATTGAATTATGTAATTCCTTTGCTTATACACTAGAACCAATAATTTTATTGATTTACACAGTTGCTCAAACTTAGCCAAACCAGAACTATACATGAAATCACTTTTAGAGAAAGATCAATCTGATAAGAGGCTAAAGTCCATGTATGATTGTAGGTAACTTGGGGGCTTCCGTGGATTATCATCAATAATTTAGCCTTTGTTAGTATGCATGATCAAAATAATCAATGTTTCTGAGGATCAAAATAATCAATGTTTCAAGGCTTGAATTCCTTAGCAAAGATTAGTGGCAAAGTATATCACACTTGATCTGAAATACTAAACAGTTTGGGAAATTGTGATCATAATGCTTTTTGGTAATTAACTAAAACACAGTGAAACCTGGGAAGTGGAACACCTCTAGAAATGGAACACCTCTGTTAATTGAACACATGGGAAGTGGAATACCTCTGTTAGTTGAACACATGGGAAGTGGAACACCTCTAGAAATGGAACACCTCTGTTAGTCGAACACTTTCAGAGTCCCAATACCAACTGACTTAATGTTAAATGAACCTAAGTGTTCCACTTAGACAAGATTCATTGTACTGCATATAAGATATACCAGCCCCCATAATTTTAATTTTCCAAACTATGCTTTTAGATACTGAACCTCATTTGAATATACATGTACAGTGAAACATGTTTAGTAGAACAAGAACCTCTAGAAGAAGAACACCTCTGTTAGCGGAAACCTTTTCAAGAGCCCCAAGACCAACTGATTTAATGTAAATAAACCTATATAAGTGGAACATCTCCCAACTAGAACACTTGTAGAGGTACCAAAGTTGTTCCACTAAGACAGGTTTTACTGTAGGCCTATACATAATATTTTAAACAGTAATTTAACATCCATCTGCTTTATACTGTTAACCTATAAGTGAATAACTTCAAATGTTTACTCACCTCTTCCAGTTTCCAATCCTCTGAATTGCGATCCCATTGGCTAGTTGGTTTCTCTGACCCTAATATTAAATCCTGCTCATTTATATTCTCCCGATTTAAATTCTGTTTAGCAATTTTTTGAGCATAAGACTCTGGATATTCCTCCTGAGAAAGTTTTGAATTTTTATTGTTGTATTCCATGAGGATTTTCTCCTCTTCCTCATCAGTATCCCAGCTTTTTTGAGAAGTCTTGTCATCAGTTTCCATATTGTCTTTAGGTTGGGCTATATCTGTAGCCCTATTTGACTGTTTAGTTGATTTTGAATAATCTGTATTAATTGCACTATCCAAATCCTTTTCTAACTCATTCGCACTTTCTTCGTCATACACATTATTTTTTGATTTCTCATCCGGTTTTATTGTACATGTCACTGTTTCTTCACCCCAATCGTCAGTTGTCTCAGAATCACTACTTTTGATTGTTTTCCCATTTCTTGGAGATTGTCCTTTTGAACCTCCAGATCCCATTCCTACCAGCTTACCTCCGTTTAATAAACTCCACTTTTATTATAACTCAGCTGTAAAATATCCTCAGTTAAATCTTCCATTAGAGCCAATTTGATCCTAATACAATCCAAAAGAATTCCTCTATTATCAAGTAAGACGTGTATACATTCTAAATTCCATATCTCCAAAACACTGTAGTCTAAGGTAAATACCACTTCACATAAAACTCTCACTTCTGACTAGTGTACATTCTAATAGCAACAAAGGTAAATAAGAAATTAAACAATGTTTTAAGCTTTTCTAATCGAACTAGTGCACTTTTTCACTTTAAGTTGATTCAGTCTTCTAACCTTATTATTGATTGAATTAACGTATCCAACAATATGTTGACTTAACCAACCAATGCAATTGATCTAATTCCCATTGTAACTTAAAGTTCAAGTTCCAATTTTCTTAATTCTTTACCATTGGCTATATGTGTTATCAATGACTAGTAACTAAAGCTACATGTTTATAGCTGGTGTTATTGGCAATTGAGTGATAATAGGGAGCTAATATGGATGATTTCTTCAGTCAGGTTGTCACGGTAACAGTTTTTTCAACAACATGTTCCATTAAGAAAAGTTATTTACATTAACAAGTGGTACCACTCGCCAGTAATATATTAGAGAGTGAAAACTTAATCTAAACTAAACTAATGTAAATCCCTTAACTTGTTGCCATGGTGACTAATTCTGCCCATAACATGCTCAATCATGGTGCACATTGTATTTTCAAGTCAATAATCTGACCACAGCATCACACAACAGGATTCTCGGTATTATAGATTTTTGCACTTGAAAGAGCTTTGAAACTATTAAATAGATGGCTCTCACTTCAAAGGTTCAAGGTTTATACTTTCTTTGTTAAATAATTCCTTATGATACAATAATGTTTGGTTGTAGCCAGGCATAAGGCAGGCGACGTAACTGCCTCCCATAATTCTACAGAATTCTTGAAATGAACATGAACTTCATTTAGTTATTTTTCTATTATTAAAAAACTTAATTAAAGGGTTCATATTTCGTTTGTTGGGGTTTGCAACTTTCTAAAATTGCTGTCTTATAAATAGACATTTTTGTCCCCCAAAATTCAAAAAATAAATTGAAATTGATGACATTATGGTTTCCCATATGAAATCTAAGATTAACTCGTTGAAATCTATACAAAGGAATACCATCAGGCCAACATATGTCACAATGGCAACTAAACAGTCATTTTCTCTAAATGTTATCAAGAGATTTTGATTGAACATTGTAACAACAGTCAGCACCATCTATCAAACATCTAATATAATAGAATGATGTCCGATAATTTAGAAAAAAATTCTGAATATTTTTTTTCTCAAGTCAGGGGCTTTGATCAGTGATATTATATGTTTATTCAACTTTCATATTTTTGTAACTAGTCAGAATAACAGTTTTAATATTTCTTGGCAATCTATGAATAAATAGATACAATGCGGGTGTATTCCATCATGTCCTTGAGCAGCAACTTGGCCAAAAAATAAGAAATTTTGAACTTCAAGCTCAATCTACGACTCACAAGAGATTCTGGCCATGGTTTCAGTTTCAAAATAATGCTTAAAGTATTGAAATTCAACTAAAGTTAAAAATAAGGTTAATTACAAAAGAATCAATGATTATGACCAAATAAAAAAAACAGAGTCCAATGAGCTACCACACTTTCAGTCTAATCACTGTGGTTGTAACAAATGCTTTGTAGTTGAGATCATTATGGAATCTGATAATATAATTATGCTCCATTGTTTTGGTACCATCATTCTGAATGATTCATCATCTACATGTACACATATATGACTATTATTATAATTACGTATTCAACATGGCTTTTATTAAACATCACATATTTGAATCAAACAAGGTATTAACATGCAAAATGTCACTAAATGCCATTTGCTACAGACACCAAACCCTAACTGCCATACACCAATCATAAAACACCATCCATAAAAAGCTGGATCCACCTGATGCATGCATGATTGTTCTCTGTAGAGCACCGCCTGCATAATGTACTCTCCATGGTTTGTTTAATGATTTCCTTTGTGAAAGCATGGTTTCTCTTCAATTCATGTTTGACAAATAACAAACAAGGCATTAACATGACAAAACTTCTGAGAACTTGTAGATGATTTTTAAAAGAAAAATTGGTCGGTTTGAGGCAAGTTGGAAAAAGATCTTTTTGACCTTGTTTTACCTTGAGAAGGTCATTGAAGGTCAAATCTTAAATCTTCTGTAGATTAAAAAAAATTAGTCAATTTGAAGCAAGTTGAAAAAGACCCCTTTAACCTTGAGAAGGTCTTTGAAGGTCAACTCTTAAATCTAAAGTCAAATTTGAACTTCTGAGAATACATCGATGATTTTGAAAAAAAATTTAGTCAATTTGAAGCAAGTTGAAAAATGACATTTTTGACCTTGTGAGGGTCAAATCTTAAGTCAGATCTGAACTTCATTGAAGATCAAATCAGTCAGATTTGAATTTCTGAGAACTTGTAGAGATGATTTTGAAAAAAATATTTGGTCAATTTGAAGCAGAAGGTCAAATCTTAAGTCAGATTTGAACTTTTGAGAACTTGTAGATGATTTTGGAAAAAAAATTGGTCAATCTAAATCAAGTAGAAATTTTTTTTTTGACCTTCAGAAGGTCAAATGTCAAATCTAGAGCTTGTAGATGATTTTGAAACTAGACAACAGCAATGACAAAGCGTAGCAAATCTCATCGAACAGCCTCGGCTGACATTTTTACAAATGAAGTATATAGCAAAAATCGTAAAATAACACACAAAAAATGGCCACCATTTTCAAAATGGTTGCGCACTATAGCCAGATTGTCATCAGAAAGTATAATATGCTTCTAAGTAGGCACATATAAAAGGACGATTCTCGGTTTGGAGAACAGTCTCCTGGGCTAATAATTTTTTTCATGAAAAATATAGAAATATTACCCAAATTAAACTATGAATATTCAAAAGAGGACATTTAAATCTACAAGATGTAAAAATAAAAAATTGGTCTGAAGCAGGGATAATGCTCAATTAGACTGATTCAATAAAATACAAGTCTTGATTTTGGGGAAAGAAGTTCATCAGTGTACTGCGCTAATATTTTTTTGCGAAAAAACTAAAAATATTACCCAAATTAAATTATGACTATTCAAAAGAAGACATTCAAATCTATATTATGTAAAAAAAATCAAAGGACGATTCTCGGTTTGGAGAACGAAGTTCATCAATCTAAATGAGCATTATCCCTGCTTCGGACAGATTTGATTTTTTTTACATAATATAGATTTGAATGTCTTCTTTTAAATAGTCATAATTTAATTTGGGTAATATTTCTATATTTTTGCAAAAAATTATTAGCGCAGTACACTGATGAACTTCTTTCCCCAAATCGAGACTTGTATTTTATTGAATCGGTCTTATTGAGCGTTACCCCTGCTTCAGACCAATTTGTCATTTTTACATCTTGTAGATTTAAATGTCCTCTTTTGAATATTCATAGTTTAATTTGGGTAATATTTCTATATTTTTCATGAAAAAATTATTAGCCCAGGAGACTGTTCTCCAAACCGAGAATCGTCCTTTGTCCGAAACAGGGATAATGCTCATTTAGATTGAAGAACTTTGTTCTCCAAACCGAGAATCGTCCTTTCAACAAAATCACACACACGTACATGTCAATGGCAGCCATTTTTCAAAATGGCTGCCTACTTGCCAAAATGTCAAAAGACAGTGTTGGAAGTTGTAAGAAATTGTTACAGGCGCCAACTACCATCACAAAAATATCGGAGACCATAGCAATATGTCACAACTTTTGGTGGTGGCATAAAAACATACTGACATTCACATATTTCAAGTACATTTCAACTTTCATTCAGTTGTTTTTATCATAATACATTTTTTATTTGAAAAATCAAAATTCTTTTCATAAAACTCAAGTAGAACCACAACTTTTTCAGTCATTAAAAATAATATTGAACTGATAAAAATATTTCACGAATCTGTGGTATTATAAAGACAAGACACTGTATTAAGAAACTCAGCTCAATATTCTTTATTATGAAAAATGAAACAATAATGTAATGTAATAATAAATACATAATAACATATGCAAAAATTCTGTTTTGATCAAACTCAAGTGATTATTTTAAACAACATTTTACTGTTTTTTACAAGAGTTCAGCCATGTGAGAATTTCTTTCATTGTTATCTGTGAAAGACATAATAGTAGCAGTATAGGCTGTGCAAGAATCATAAATATTTCATTGTCTGAGAATGTACTGTACCACTAAAATTCAATCTTATATTATTAATAGATAATGCTGATTTATAAGGAATATTTCAGCATATATAATATATATTTGATTATTTAACCATATTCATATGCATATGAAATGGTAGCTTTTTGTGCATATTACTAATAAAGCAGTCAATAGTACATGCTGAGCTGCTGCCTTGCAACTACACATCTTTGCGAAGGAAATGTACAAAAGTTTCTCTATGGATTTTATTATGCCATATTCAATAGACAATATGACCTTCCAGCATCTGCACCCTGTAATACAACTCCATCTATTCTCAGCAAAGCTGACTGGAACAGTTTATTTTACTTCCCACTGTTTAAAGATTTCTAATATTTCCTATTTCCTCATTTTGTCATTTTATTCCATACTGCTTAGCTATATTTTCTATTTCCAATTTGGTGTAATTTGTGGGAGGTTTAGTTTTCAAACTTGACAAAATGTCCGTCAAAACTGAAAAATAGACATAGCAATTGCATAAAATATATAAACATTTTGGGTTTATCCATTAAGTTTCACCTGATTTTAAAAGTTAAGTCAGTATGAATTGACCTTGACCTTGACTTTGAATTTTGATATGCTTACTGAAAGGCATCCGTGTTCAACTAATATTTTACTTGCCGACTTACAATATAAATTTCAATTTGACATCATCGCAGCTTCTCCTTAAACAATGTTCTCAATTGGATGCAAAATTCATTTTTCACAATTAAGTTCAAAATAGGTCAAAATATGCCTAATTTTTTCATAATTTTTCTCATTGTGAGCATGAATTGGAATTGAAAAGTTCAAAATTGATGCTGAGTGCCCACTTAGGCTTAAATATTTGGGAATTACTGAATATATCCGAAAGTAGTTCTACTTGCCCCATCTTATAAACACCTTAAACCATACAACACTTACCTTGTTTTTCTTGGCTTGACATGAACATGGCAATCACATCAAACCTCTGAACTTTGGAGAGAAACTTCAGGATATCTAGGGTCTCTACAACTTTACCTGAAAATGAAGCAGGCATATTTTTAGGGTATATTATGGTTAGATAATAATTATCAGACAAAATTTCATACTACATAAATGAGTTTGAGGTTCTCAATACAGAATATTAGATCATTTTGAGTGATATCGATTTCTTCTTGATGAGTTGATATCAACACAAGTGATTGAAGCAAATGAGAGTTGACATTTGATCTAAATAAAATGTTATGAAAGAAATGATCTGATATTGAGCATTCCATGACTATAATCAAATTGTTATTTTGATTCAACTTCCACCATATTTTAATTTTGAAGTACATATGTTACAAACAAACAAGCTTTAGTTGGAACAAGAGTACATCTCCTCTAACTTATTTGAGTGGAAGTAATAACAAAAAATAGCCAATGGATAAAGCATCTGGCCCATTCTGGTACTAATCACTCAATCTGATATCTCCAGATGAGAGGGGTACAACATTTTAATTGTGATGATTCTCATATTTATCGCCCTAAGATGTTGAAACATTACAATGTTACATAACATTCTATTGTCATTGCTTTTATTGTTCATGGAGTGTGTAGCAGTTTGGGACAATATTCCATATTTCTGTACTTCAGAGTTCAGACATGAGGTAGTGAATTGTACAAGTAAATCTGATCTCTGACAAGATGAAAATTCCAATGAACTCATTCATCTAAGTGTACGAACCAAAATTTAGGATTACAAGTTAATTAAATACGTAAGGCTTGTTTGTTTCAGATTTTTGTTGAACATCATTTTGTAAAAAAAATCTTATTAGATTAAATATACATAACATTCATTGACATCCCCTCATCAGATAGATTCAACTCTTACCTTCCTTATTGTAATCTTCTACACACTTCACTATAATACTAAACATCCCTCCATCCAGTTTATTACTCAGGACTGAAACAAAACAAAACACAGGATTATAACTTGCAATACACTATACTGTATACACAGCAGTAGGTATAATTTCTATGTTCATAAAAAATCATATACTACATTTAGTCCTTTGGGAGTAGACAAGTTAGCTGAATGGTAAAGGAAAAATCCTGCATTAAAGTCAAAATTAAGTAAACATTGCATTCAAAATTCGTATGGCTGTCTCTCTAATTATCTCTAAATAACTTCAGAGAAATAATTTCTAAATACATGTCTACAGTACTATGTAATCTGAAAATAGAAGTGATTAAACCTGCACATCGCTCCAAAACGCAATATGTTGACATATATTGTTTTTACATTTTCAAGCTCTAATATAAAGTTTATGTATATAAAAATTGTTTTTTTCTGCGTAATATCAAAGAACAATCATTTAGTTGAAAAAATAAAAAGGCGAATGCGGGATTCGAACCCGGGCCTCCCGCGTGCTCAGCGAGGATTCTACCGCTACACCACCGTATTACTATAAGGCCATAAGAAGTAGATTCTTTGTTTTGCGTCCCCTTGCTTGCACGATTTTGAGTAAATCAGAAAAAACAAACACATCCAAATAGCAATCACAAGGATCTGAATGTACCATCACATTTCTTTCAATTAGAATCAGAAGAAATGGCGGATAATTTGATGTGCGTCAAAATTGACAGTATTATTGATTACGTTGGCATACATTTTGTATTTTCTTATTTTGTACCCTTGAATAATATAGTTTAAATTATTATATAATAATAAACATAGATATGTCTTCGTAATTACTGCAAATTGGTATGTCATCCCATTTTATTCCCTTAAAATGTATACATTTCTCAGCAAACAAGTTTGTGTTTTTTCTTGAGTTTGTGTTTGTTTTCCTTGTACCCTTGCATGGTTTTGATTTTGCCAAGACGCAAAACAAAGAATCTACTTCTTATGGCCTAAGTAGTGTATGTAATTAAACGCTACTTATTTTGAATGCTATGATTCGGAAGTGACGTCACGTTCTTCATTTAGAAACCTTTCCAAAATCATATTGCGGCTCCGATCGAAGCAAATTCAATGAAAAATCTTTGAAATGACACATTTATCGTAAGTATTTCTACACAAGATTTGCCCCATTTGTTCATCATTCTATAATCTTTCATTAAGCTCAAAATGATAAAGTTCACCCCCGAAACAACCCAAGATTGCGTTTTGGAGCGTAGTCCAGCTTTAAATATAAATACATGCATGTTGTAAATGACTATACCTTTGGGGATATTTTTGGGCTTTAGCTGACTGAGAATTTTGGCATATGGAGCTATCTCAGTGGAACCTTTCAGTGAGTTCCAAGCAGTCATGAACTCATATGGTGTAGGCTTACTGCTCAGGTGTGGTGTAGAAGGTGCTGCCTTAGGTAAACCTGCAACATGTGCAGACTTCAGCTTATCATTCAAGCAAAAACTATTACATTAATAAAATAATAAAAAACAGAAAGTGAAATTAAGTCAGACCCAATGTCTTTGAATGTATTCTTTAATCTAAATATACATACTTCTTTTGAAATTATTCTACATTGCTTAAACTGAACTGAAACTGAAAGACACTATACATTTTTCTTAGTAATTTCTCAATAATATGTAACTTGACTCTGTTTAGGTTTAGAATTTAGTGAATGAAATATTTTACCTGCACTAGTTTCCACCAGAGTGCTTGCTTTTTTCACCTGTTCCTTTTGCTTCTTGTCTTTTCCAGGTGTCTTTTCTGGACTTCCTGCTCGTTTGCCATCAATACCTTTTGTTATTGTAGATTTCAATTCAGTTATTTTTTGGGTTATTTTTCCCGGGGATTTTTTCGCCTCTTTCCTCTCATCATCTGAAGAGCTCCCCACTTCCTCAATGGTGATTTTCTTGCCTCTGGTCAGAGAAGCACTTGAGCCAGGGGACTTCATTTCAGTCAATTGCTGAAATTAGAATGTGAATCGCAATTATTATGGCATACAGTAAGTGCAAAAATATTGAAGATTCAATAAAACATCAAGAAGTGAAAATGACCAGAGCTCTCTCATAGCACAGTAGTTTTCCAACACTGATCCGCCCTGACTTCTACCTCATTTTCCCTTGACCTGATGATAAATGGAATAACATAACAGTAATGACATGTTATACTGCAAATCAGTATTGTATCACTATGCTATGTGCTACATATGACTGAAAATGAACAAATGATTGATTTGTCTACCGGATATGCAGAATAATTGCTCATCTCTTTTCACTCTGACAAACTATTTAAAACTGGCTGCTGGACAAGTATCCCTGCTTTCTCAAAACAATTTTGCATCTTAAATTCCCTCCACAATTTAGTCAACTTTGAGATAAGATGAAATTTTTAGATAAGGGAAATATAATTTTGTTTTCCCCAAAAATGTTCCAACAAAATTTCATACCTTTTTGTAATACTGTTTCACCACATCAGCTTCTTTCTTAGCAGCAGAGTTCTTAGGGTCAAGTTTCAGCAATGTCATGAGATCTTCCAAACTTTCCTTATACTGCATGAGCATCTGAAATATGGAAATTTACAACATTAGGTACCAGATCGATACTTTTACATAGTCCCAAAACATAACACATAACATATAAGTTTGTATTGACATGTATTGACACCCAACTCATAAAATCGAATATTCTTTATTTTCTTTATAAATTAAAGCTCCTTTTCAAAATTGATGTATGATAGAGACCAATTTTCAATGTGCATGTGAACCTTTGGTCTGTGTTTTCTATGTACCAGTATATACATGATTTTACCACATTTCTCTCACTCTGACAGGTAATCTACATCTTCAGAAAGAGAACCATAATAGCTATAAACAGTCAATTAGTTTTAAGCCGGACTCTACCTTTCTAGCTTGAGCTCTCCTGAACAAAGCCTTGATATTCTGTGGCTCATATTTCAGCACCACCTTACAGTCTTGTTCAGCTTGTTGAGGTTTGTTTATCCTCAGGTAGCACAGGGCACGGTTAGTGTAGCTAACAGGTCTTTCTGGGGCCAGTGAAATACATCCAGTGTAACACTCTATAGCCCGACTGAAGTTACTCTGAAAAATTCAAAGTATTCAAAATTCAAAGTATGTATACAATTTCTAGATTGACACAATTGTGTATCATAACAATGAAACTGATTTCAAAAGAACACCCATGGAAAATATGAATGTGGTAAAGAACTATAAGGTTAAGCTTTTCAAATTAGTGGTATTTTAATTTTCTACTAATGATTTATTTCCATAGAAAAATATAAATAAAACATACATGTGTTGCAGTATTTTAATACATCCAATATTTGTGGTTATATACACCCTTACCTTCTGTACACAGTCATTCCCCTGAGCTTTTAGGTTATCAAATTTGGCATCAATGTCCTCCCCATTCCCAGTGAGCAGATTTGTCACAGTTGAACTTGCTTTTTGAGACTCAGAAACAGCTGCCTACATTAAAAATTACATAATTTACTAGAATGCCTTTAAATGGACATTGGCCTTTCTGAAGCTGACATTCATTTTATGTTTAAACTTACATAAATAGCGAACTGAGCGACATTTAGCATCATTGAAATCTAAATCGAAAAATACGACATTTAATTTATATCTAGATTCAATAGGTGATAAACCCTAAATGAAAGCTCTTTCTACTTACTTGTGTGGTGGTGACATTTGTTGTGATGGTGGTTGATTTTGCTAATCCACTTCCAGACATTGTTGTTATCACTGGGATTTCATGCTTTTGGATAGGGGGAATTGTGGGTAGTTTTTCCCGCCATTTTGTGCCATCGAGGGCATTAAGCATTTGGCTGCACCTGGATGAACCCTGCATGGCATTGTCAACGCTGTTGTCAACTTGGAGCACATGTTTGTAGTCGATATATGCTAACTGATATCTGAAATATAGATGAACCATAAGTAGCTCAGATTTATATGACATAAACTCTTCCATCCTCCGATCACGGGGTTTCAAAATGCAGAATATCTTCTTTCTTTTTACACCCCACTATAAGCAGTAGGCATTTCCCCGATTAAGAACTCGCAATTTGATGTATACGTCGTCGGTGCATAATTAGATCACACGACTCAGTTTAATCCGGCGCTTCCAAATTGGTTATAGCAGGGGGGAAGAAGGAGGTAGGATTCTGGACACCTGCTTAGGAGGATGAAACTCTTTCTCATGCTATTATCTGCTTGAATTTGCAATTCTTATCAGCTTATCACTGACCTAATTTTAAAGAAGAAGATCATGTTTGGGCGAGCTGGATTCAGCTGAGGATAAGCCAATGATCAGACTGGATAAGAAAAAGAAGAATTGATTTGTTCCTGCTGTAAGTGAACCCACTGACCTCCTCGACTTGAATCCAGGGAAATCTGCCAGCATGACTGGACAAAAAGCCCATCTTAGAAATTCTTTTTTAATAAATAATTACAAAATCCTGCATAATGCTATTGAGTTACAAGACTTACTTTTCCATAGTCTCATATGCAGCAGCTCTTCGTAGGAGAGGTTTCAATGAATGAGGTACGAGATCTAGAGCCTTGGAACAGTCATCTACACAACCTCTGCAGTCCCCTATCTTAGTCTTACAAGCTGCTCTGTTACTGTACAATGTGGAGATGTTCACCTTCTGTTTGTCTTTAGCTACAATAAATGGTATAACTTTCAAGGTACAACCAAACTTCATAGAAATATGCTTTACAGCTAAAAATTACTGAGACAAGATTGGGAACATATATTAGATTAGATCAAGTTATTTGAATGTAGTTTTATGATCATAACATTTTAATGAAGTGATAAGATTTTTAACTACATTATTCCTTTACATCAATGGAAATTATATCAAGAAGGATATGACTAGAACATTAGTCACTCTGACACTGACAAGACCTGAGAAAATCAAACTCAACAGAAGTATTCTCCAGATTTGTATCAGGTTTGCACTTTACATGTAGAGGGTTATGGTACTAGTATACACTCAAGACTACAGTGGTGTTATGGTAGAATTTATGTTATAGTGGATGGCTGTTACATATCATACCAGGTAGCAGTTTCTCAATTGCCAAATTGTACTTCTCCACAGCATGTGCATACTGTCCTGTCTTGAACAGTTCATTTCCACTTTCCTTTAGTCTTCCTACACTGGATGGCAGAGGTGGCATCTCAAACACAGGCCTCTTTAATTCATCCGTTGGTGTCTCCTCAACAACAACAGCATCAATAACCTTTTCAGTGCCTTTCTTAGGATCATTAATTTTATCAGTATCTTCACCCCTAAGACATGACATTTTAGTCATAGCTCCTCCATCTGTTTGTTCACGTTTCTTTATAGTTCCTTCACCCTGAGATTTTGAGTCGATTTCCATAGTGTTTTCTGGCTTGTTGATTAGATCAACAGGAGTTGAACTTTGTTCTGTATTAGCATGTCCATTCACCATAGGTGGCTCAGAGGTATTAGTTGTAGCTTGAGTAGATTGCTCTTCTTCTGATTCTGAGTCACTATCCGTCTCAACTATCTGTATCTTCTTGCCTTTCTTGGTGACAACTGGACTGTCTTCTCTGAAATAGTAAGGCATGCACCGACCTTTAATAACTGTACTATTTGATGGGCTCACATAGTGAAACAAGGCATCAACATGACAAAATGTTACCACTTTGTAAGTTATTGCAAATTGCTACAGACATTGAACTCTGACTGGCAACTATTGAACACTGTCCACAAAAAATTGGAGACTATTGTCAATATGTTACCACTTGTGGTGCTGACATAAAAACTAATTTTCATAAAATAAGGCAAAAGAAGAGGAGCCAGGACCTGGACCTACAAAAATTGAGCATTAGTTCAGATAAATAGCAGTTTTCTTTGTCCGAAAATTGTTGATGGAAAGATAAATGGAAGGACAAACAGAGGAATAAATAAAAATTTTAGAGTAAGATTAAAAAAATTAACTTATTAATTTTTCTGAATTCCACTAACTTTTTTTGTTCCTCATCTGATTCTTCCATCTCGTCCACCTCTTCAATGACCATTCTCGTTCCTTTCTCCTTCTTCTCAGCTAGTTTCCTGTTCAGACTGGCAAGAATATCCTACAGGTAGAAGTTAAAAGGATACATTGTAAAAATGGGCAGATTTCGAGTGTACATTCGATTGTGTTGTACATATTCAATGGTTTTCAAGAGTGCATTGTTCAAATGAGCCTTGGTTCATGAAGGATTAATGCATGTATGTATGTTAAAAAATCTACAGGAAAATAAATTTCAACAAAGGAAAAATGTAGACCTAACTAAAGCACAGAGTATATGTCTCATAATTATATCTGCTGCACAAAAGGTCTGTTATCTACCTCCTATATTGTATATGGCATGCTGCGTGACTCTACAAGCATCCCAAATCTTAGGAGGAACATGTTAATATAGAGTACATCAACAATTAATTTGACAAAAAATGACCATACACTGGGTTATCTTGAAAAGTAAGCATGCATTCGGTAAAATAATTCTTTGAAAATATCTCAATTTCTTCTTTCTTTTACAAGCAATTTTTACCTTGGCACGTTTGTTAATTGGCTCAAGGGCCAGGACCTTCTGTATATCTGTCTTAGCATTCACATAGTCCTTCTTTCCCTCTCGAGCAACACCTCTTCTTAAGAAAGCTACAATACGAAACTCACATTGCAATATGGACATCAAAATGTAACCTCACATTGAGATAATACAACACATGATCGAGATATCAGAAATGTCTCATATAATAATAATTGAGATCTTCAATTTACAAGTAAAATTATTAATTTAATTTCTTCCGAGTGGAATTGGATCACCACTTAAGACACTGTTACCTCCGCTTGGACCTTAAACCAGAATTAACAAACTGAATCTATAAATTCTTTTTGGCTAAATTGGCAATTTGAGGAATTTTCATCCATATTTTCAATCTGCAAAACTGAATGAACAATTTTGAATATAATATATGTCCTACCTTTTATATTATCAGGCTCGAGGCTAAGCACTGTATTGCAGTCTTTGATAGCCTCATCCCAATGTTTTAACTTCAGATCTGAAAAAAGGAACAATATGGATATCTGTCTATCAGGTGGTCAAATACTTGTTTTGAAACAAAAAGCCATGCCTCTGATTTTTCCTACAACTCAATATACCATTATAAATTTCAATAATTTCTCAGGTTACTTGTTCATGTTCAATAAAATCTTGAGCCCAGATTCAATTTCAAAAAACTGATCCAAATCCCCAGCTTTAAAATCTTAGATCTCGGATTCATTTTCCATTTCAATCCCTTAACCAGGATTTTTGGGGACAAAATCTCAACCAGGCAGTATTGAAAAATGCATCCATTTAAGATCACAGAAACATGCAGATGATTACTCAAGCTTACATGCCAGGGCTCTGTTGTTGAAGGATGCAGCAGTTGAAATGAGAGAGAGGCTCCGGGAATAGTATGTTATAGACTCCTCAAAGTCACCACAACGGAATGCCTAGAAAGAGAAAAATTTTGATTATTGAATGAATGAACTTCATTACATAGTCATCAGTGAAGCTGATCAAACCATAATCTGCACTGTTTGTTCAATAACTGCAGTTTAAAATGGTTAAAGCACTTTTTACATCAGCCCTATGATGACAAGATGTAACATTTCATATTATACTTATATAACATGGCAACAAGCAATTTGATAGATTGGTTTAGAGTCCATGAATTGAATTGAATTGAAAGAGTAATATACAGCACAAAACCTATATCCAGACAACTGAGTGTCACAGAGTAATTCTAAATCAATACAAACCTCATTGCCTTTATCCTTTTCTCTGTTTGCTTTCAGCTGTCTTTCTTCAGGAGTCATGTCTATAACAGAAGCAGACATTAAAATAAAGTCAAAGGAATTCAATACTATGTTTACAATTTGTTGTTTTTCATAAATAACACATGAGAAATTCTTGGGAACAAATGACATGTTAAATGTGTCCACACACAATTTCCCAATTGCTGTACTAATGCAATCTGGATCCATTTTACTGGAGAAAGTTGGTTAACCAAGGGTAAAGACAGAGAACATATTTAAATTGAAAAATAGTTTAACAGTTTCCATAATGATTATAAGACAAAAAGGTTGTTTTCAACGCATTGTACATTTATAAGAAAAAATCACAATGCTCACTGACATTGTAGAATGTGTATTGTTATTGTATATATTATAAATTGTGTAAACCAGAACAACTGCAACGCCAAAGCGTAGCGAATCCCATCGAACAGCCATGGATGGCATTTTTACAAACAAAGTTTATAGCAAAAATGGCAGGCATTTTTCAAAATGGCTGCCTTCTACCAAAAGTGTCATTAGACCATTTGCCATACTTATAGTATTCACATACCAAATATGAACAAAATTGCTCCACTACTTTTTGAGTTATAGTAAAATACGTTAAAATGGCGGCTATTTTTCAAAATGGCCGCCTTCTACCAAAAGTGTCATTAGACAGTGTGCCATGCTTACAGTATTCACATACCAAATATGAACAAAATCGTTTCACTACTTTTCGAATTATTATAAAATACATTAAAATGGCGGCCATTTTTCAAATTTTTTTTCAAAATGGCCACCTTCTACTAAAAGTGTCATAGGATAGTGTGTCATGCTTTTAGTATTCACATACCAAATATGAACAAAATCGCTCCACTATACTTTTCAAGTTATAGTAAAATACGTTAAAATTTCTACCAAAAGTATCATTAGACAGTGTGCCATCCTTATAGTATTCACATACCAAATATGAACAAAATCGCTTCACTACTTTTCGAGTTATAGTAAAATAGGTTAAAATGGCGGCCATTTTTCAAAATGGCAGACATTTTTTAAAATGGCCACCTTTTACCAAAAGTGTCTTTAGACAGTGTGCAATGTTTATAGTATTCACATACCAAATATGAACAAAATCGCTCCACTACTTTTCGAGTTACAGCAAAAATCGTAAAATAACGAGTAAAGGCCGCCATTTTTCAAGATGGCTGCCATGTGCTTCTTTAATATCTACATTTCTAGCTTTATTAATGTCCTATATAATTTTTTTACATCTAAAACATATTGCTATTACAGTTTTACATATTGCACCTAAATTCCTGTAAATTCGGCACTAAAATGGCCGCTATTTTGAAATGCTTTCGAGCAGAACTTCTAGCCCCATAGGGTATATGTGTACAAAATATGAACAAAATCGGGCCAACGGTATTTGAGTTATTGCCCGGACGGACAGATGGACGGAGGCGTTCCCTGTATCCCTCCGAACTTCTTTCGATTGGATAATTACCTTTATCTGATATTGTGCTGCTGATGTCACCCAGTCCTGTTTTGCTGTCTCCCATTTTTTTAACTTTCTCTTTGGCATCTTTATCAACCTTTTCACATTCCCCCTCAATGTCAAACTTATCCCATTCGTTGTAGCTTCTAGGCTTAACAGACTTCTTTTTCTGAGATTCATTCTTAGCTGCAGTCTGGAAAAGAACAGTAGTTCACTGAAGGCATGTACAGTATTAGCATATTATCCGATAATTTGGTATTCAAAAATTTGGTTGAAAGTTCTTATCCACTGCATTGACAAGAACATGATAAAAAATTAATGGTACACATGTATGTTTAAAATAAGTGTAGTAAAAGATCTCCTCAAAGTGCAATTGTTCATACACATACATGTAGGAGTTTATTTCAATAATCATGTAACCAATCATAAAGTTACCTTTTTATCAATTGGGATACTTTGTCCAGTGCCTCTAATGGGTGGAAGTTCTGGTTCCTGGCCACCATCTGCCACTTTCATTGTCTTAATGTGCATCTCTAAGTCTTTCGTCTCCTGATGCCAGTCCTTAAGTTCATTGTCGAGGGCAGCTTGTTCCTCATATGTTAAATCTGCTTTCGTTGAGATAGGTTTAGATTTCCTCAACACACGACTACAAAGTGTTATAAAGGACATAGTATACATGTACAGTATATTTATATTTCGTAGGTTTTGAAAATGTCCTACCTAACCTAATAGAATGGATGTTGGCTCATTACTATTCTGACTACTCAGATTTCCTGTATTTTCCTGCAATGTTAGTTGGGTAAAATTTGTACTAGTTTTAGCTGATTTTTTTGTTGTTATGGGAATGAGAATGCAACATGCTCTAAACAGACAATCATAATGGACTTCATCATTCATTGCTCTGTATTTCATAACTAATGCTTTAATCAATTTCCTGGTGAGAACCCAGGGATTTATAACAAGTTGTTAACAAATAACCTATATTTAAATAAAAAATATACAAACACATTGCCTACCTATTTGGATTGATTTCTCCTATTTTTTCCTCACATAATTGCTCCAAGTCTGGGTAGTGGCCTTCCTCCTTTGACCTTTAATATATTGTAGAGCTAATTTGTTAACATTCATTTTAATTTCTAGTCTGGTTTTATGAAAACAATAAATGTCAAAAGGTATAGCTTGTAATAGTGTGCCATGCCTGTCTCTATTCTCTAATTACTTTAAGTTTTAATATAATTCTCAACATACGTAATTTCATGGTATGCAATTAACTAATTGAAATTAAATTCTTGACATTTGACAGATTTATAACATATATTTTAACAGGAAAAGACTATGCCTTACCTCAATGCCTTGAGAATTTTTTCAAGTTCTTTTAGGTCAGAACAGCCTCTTATATAAGTATAGTCGAGGTGGTCCAGAGGAATGTCATACTTTGATGTCACATTCGAAGAAGATAACATGGAAGCACTCATTGTTCTACTTGATTTTTGAGTGCTCCCAAATTATTTTACTGGAAAGAAAAATATCAAACTAAGCGCCATGTTCACACCTGGTAATTGGGCAAAAAATCCATTAATGAATAGGTGTACGGTTTACCTAGTTGCAATCCCATTCTGGTCTTGGGAGCATTCAATAGAAACTCACATTAGATTTCAAAAGTAAAATAAAATGGTGCTAGCCATGCACATATTTCTTACCTTAATTGATTCTAAACACAAGCCTAAAAGTGTTCTCAAAGCCAAAAAAGTGGCTGTCTCAAATTGCAGTGATACACACTCCAATCTTTAAATCGACCAGTATTCCAAAACTGTATTTCTAAACTGAGGTTACATACTGAATGTAAAATAATTTCTTCTTTTTCGGCTTTGCTAGTTTTTTTTTCGACTTTTGAAATCTCACGTACGTGAGCTTCTAATTACTTCCTGCAAAAGCTATGTGGATTTTGATATAATAGCTTTGCCATGGCGCACTTGGGGCAGCTGAAAATAATAATAGTGACCTTTAAAACATGAATAATGAGATCCGCGGCTTACTTTTTCTCTAACTATGTCTTACATCAGTATCATCAATCCGTGCAAGTATTGGAGCGCTGAAATACTTCTTTTTCGATCAAGACTTGTAAATTGTTCACAGAGTGAATATTTTTTTGACCCATTTCCAATATGGCGGTCTGGCGGTGAAAAAACATTCACTCAGCTAACAATTACAAGTCTTGATCGAAAAGGAAGTACTTCAGCGCTCCAATACTTGCACGGAAGGATGATAATGATGTATGACATAGTTAGAGAACAAAAGTAAGCCGCGGATCAACTTATTCATGTTTCAAAGGTCACTATTATTCAGCTGTCCATTTCTCCGTTGAAGAGCCATAAGTTTCAAAATCTAACATGGCTCTCGAAGTGAGTAAAGCTTCTACAGTTTGGAACAAAAATAATGACACATGGATTTGCTGAAGTGAGGATTTCCCATGTTAAAAATAAGAGAATTTTCAAAAGGTCATACATCAGTGGATGAGAGTATGTAATATATATTATTTATATATAATATTTGAGACTATAGGGCTTTCAAAACACCATGGTTTTGATATGGTGATATAAAATCCACCTGTCATTTATTTTGTTCCAAACTGTATATAGAGTAGATTTCATGGCCTGACTTCGTCGGTAGAACTTGAAAAATAAGATTTATCTGAAGATAAGGAGTCTTACTTACCCTCTAGAGGTTAGAACACACATTTTAATGAAACCATATCAGCTATGTTTTGTTCATGATGAAGCATAAGCACAGTACTTGATTGAAATTTGTGTTAATGCTTTTTTTCCTCGTGTTTACTTCCGGGACGGCTTTGCCTCTATCACGAAATACTGTATTGACCTTGAAGTTTAATTTTGTGACATATCATCCAACCATGTCTGATATAAAAATAATTAAAATATTTGAAAATAATGTTTTGTGGTCTGAATGAAATGATGCGTGGAAAGTATGAATGGGTTGTCTGCTGTATTAGTCTATTAATATTCTAGGACCTGTTTGTGATGCTTTATAATTTAGACCAAAGTGTAGACGAATACACGCATGTGTAAATTATAAAATCAACGAACAAAGATTCAATTTTCACAAATATTCGGTAATTTATCGTACTGAAACTTCTAGGAAATCATTCATTTTCACGATCCATAATTTACCTACCTCTTGGATATAGCCTTTTCCAATGGCCATGATGATATCATGGCTAGTAGGACTAGGGACATCTTGAAGTCTACTTGGATATTGTGTACCCTGCGTGCAGAGTCTAGTTAAACTACACTCTGCCTAGTAGAGACTATATTACAGTTTAGTAGCCCCACCCCCACGACGGGTACCGGTGACAGTTTGGGTAATAAATCACTTTTGACCTACGCGCTGACCTTTCTTCCACCAATCAGCGAGCTTGAAGAAACATACGCCAAATGCATTCTAATTAAATATGCACATGTCATTGGTCAATTCCGGGCTCAATGACGACGTCAGAAGGACTGACCATATATAGAACGTCGGTCAAATTTGGCCGACGAACACTGATTGGCGCGGTGAGTTCACAGGTTTATTTTAGTTTGAAAGAGTGAAGACGAAGCTCTCTTTTAAGAAGTGAAGTCAAACAAATGCAAAGGGTACATATTGTGCTAAATGCTCTATAGTTGACGCAACAAAGTTGATAGAGTTTCAATTTGAAATGTGTGTTCTAACCTCTAGAGGATAAGTAAGACTCCTAATCTTCAGGTAAATCTTATTTTTCAAGTTCTACCGACGAAGTCAGGCCATGAAATCTACCGTCTAGAATGCTCTCATGAGCAGAATGGTCAAGAGTTCCCCCCACTCACTGTGTACCAGTCTTTTTTTCTTTGATACACGGGGTGAACTCTTGTTCTTGGGCCTGTGATCATAAAATTCTTTTATTCTGCTTGAGGGAACAGTCTGAACTAAAAAATTCACTGGATCTAGGCTAGCCTAGATTATAACTATAAGATCTAGCCTACAGTTGGGGACAAAAATAAATGACAGGTCGATTTTCGATCACCATTTCCTAATTATGGTCGTCTGAAAGCCCATAATTTCCAATATTGTCTAGATACATATCCCTTAAAATTTGTATATTTTACATTTTGTATAATCTCATCCACTGATTTATGGTCTCTTGTAAATTCTCTTATTTTTAACATGGGAAATCCTCACTTCAGCAAATCCACCTGTCATTTATTTATGTCCCCAACTGTAGATTAGATCTAGCCTACATTTAGATATCGTTTCGAAAAAGGAAAGTAGTCTTTTTACGATAGTTTACACTCAGGAAATCCAAATTAACAACTCAATACGATTCTCCAGTATTTCATGTAAATTTTTATATACGAAGAACCAATTTAAAAGTTCTAACTCGTCTAATACAATGAAAAATTACCTGGAATTTTGTCTGGAAATTTCTTCAAATTTGGGCGATAATTCAGGATATCACGTGACCAAGCTCAAAAATGGCGAACGGACCGAAAACTGATTTAACCTATGGGGAAATGTATTTATTGATGTACAATTTCTTTCAAATGCTGGGGTAAGTAACAACAATAGTATCTCTTCATATTGACTTGGTCTTACTGTCTGAATTACGAATTGAATATGAAATGTGACCATGATAAAATGAATTTTAAAATCACATGGGCGATAATAGAGTGAGTTCAATGTGCAGAATTCATAGACCAAACCCTTTTCACCTCTAACAGGCTGATCGCTTCAATCTCTCTCATCTTTCAGGTACAGATGAGTTCAGTATCACAAGGGAATTGAATAATTTACCGTCCAACAGAGAAATCAAACGTTTAGCGCTTACTAAATGGTAGTCACTTATCGAGTTCTGGCTTGCTTTATTGACTTCTGTTTTAGTCATGAATTTCTATTACACTCATCTTATTAAGAGTTCATATCGCATAATAACCCTTATTATCGGATTCCAGCTGTTAGTAGTATTAATTTGAATAAATTAAAACTGAGTAGTACAGCTGAGTGGACATGTATATGCACCGATAACTAGGTCTATTTTTGCTTAGCTGCCAACGGAAACACACCTTTATAGGAGACTAGGCTATTTGTACATAGCTGTAAATAGCACATGGATTTTAGTTCAAATGATCTGCTCGACTTGTTGAATTTTTTCAACAGTCATTTGTTTGCAGTTTTTTGGAACTTTATTTACTAGTCTAGCTACATTTGTTTGGACTTATGAACCATTAGTACGGCTCCTAGTGCTCCTGAAATTATGTACTTGGACAGGTAGGGAAATATTATGTTTTTTCAAAATGGAAGTTTGAATACTGAAGGTCTAAATGACCATGGTCTATAATGACCACAGTCAAGGTCTAAATGACCACAGTTTAGGTCTTAATGACCACAGTTTAGGTCTGAATGACCACAGTTTAGGTCTGAATGACCACATGTTATTTCTAAATGAACACATTTTAGGTCTAAATGACCACTGTTTATGTCTGAATGCACACACCAAAGGTCCAAATGACCAAAGTTCAAGGCCTATAAACCAAAGTTTGACCAAGGTTCAAAATGAGCCGCCATCAGAATAATAGTCATATTAGAGGTCATATTACAGTTTCAGCGAGCATATCCAATTGCATAGCCTCATAATAGGTTCAAATTAATAGAATCATTTTTGTTTTGATTCAAGTTCTAGTAATCTAGTGCTTATAGATTCATGTTCTGTTTATCAGCGGTCTATATGTTCAATATGTTTGACTCATTTTTTGAGAACAAGTCCGAATTGAAGATAACAGACAAGCACGTAAAATCTGTCCATAAATATTGGTCAATAACATTATCCTAGTAGATATCAAAATATGAAGAAAAGGCTAGAGCAAGCTATCTAGAAAGTAAATGAACTAAAAATGTTCCTAGTCCCAAAGCAGATAGAAATCTACAATTGCAAAATGGGAAATGGCATATGCAATACTGGTAATGTGTGTCACATGGACTTCCTGAAATAAAGCTCTTTATCCATGGAATTCGGGTTAACAGCCCTAGATCAAATGACAATACTCGTACAATATTTTGCTATTGTTGCTAAACAAGGATTTCCCATAACCAACTACTGTAGTTGAAACAAGCTTCATGCTTCAAATTTTCATTTTGACAAGAGTGAATTGGAGAATTTTCTGTCTTCATACCATTACCTAACCAAAAAGAGAATACCCCAAGCTGGGCAAAAGAATTGTTTGGTGATGACTCAACAAAGATTTTGTCAAAGACAGATCAAAATCTTTCAATAGATTATAAATACAAGTATTTGACAGCCTTTTGAATAGGCCAGTGAAAGCAGAAACTGTCAGCTGCCAATAGCTATACAGCTAGAAGTCATGACAAACAATGTCATTATAGACGATGTCGCTCCAGCACAACTTAGGCTGTAGAAAAATCCTTGTCCAATGACAGGTACGTCAATTTTATTTTTAAAATTAAACCAAAATGGATCTAAAAAAGATGAATGTTTTGACATAACATCAGATCTAGAAAAAACAATCTGGAAGTTCACTAAAACAGAAACTTAGGTAAATCACATATACTTTTTGAAGTTTCAAAGTCACCTACATAGAAATATGAAGTATGGTCAAGGTTACCAGAGATTCTGAGAAATGATAACAATATAGCTTAAGATTTCTAAATGGAAAGCAGCTTTAATATTTCTAAAAACTGCGTTTTTAAGCAATCGGATGTTTTGTCCATCCTTTAAAAACAGGAGATTCATTTAACTCTTAAACATGCAACAGAAAAGCAAAGTCAAGCATAGATCAATTTCTGTGTCACATATTGTTTTTCACATGATTGTTCCCAGAGACTCGTTCTCAATCTAAACTCTAAAAAATCTAAACCTTAACCATTTAGTTGGTATGAATATTTCAAAATGGAAGACATGGTAACTCTAAGAAACATGAGATGGCCAAACAATTACCGATGGTGAAAGTCCATGCTAAGGATGCTTATATGACCATAAGCATACATTTGAGGCACAGGAAATAGCTCTGTTGAATGATATAACATCATTTGAGATCATTACTATGGACCTTGCTTCCCTCAAACTCGTGAAAATACCGTAAGCACTATTGTGGAATATTTAATTTGGTTTTGAATCTTTTATTGATTCTCTAATGTCATTAAGCTCTCGCCTATCTGCTACTCATGAACATGATTTCAAGTTAGTGAAATATTTGTTTCAAACTGAAGTTTCTGATAAATGGGGGAAAGCCTATTGTTGCATTTTCCCATCATAAAATGGAGCTTTGTAGGTTTGTGATCAATACAATTGAGATGAACTTGAAGGCCTTAATAGAAATGATAGTTTCTATCAAAATTCTCGCAAAGACTTTGTAGGGATAGAATCAACCCTAGTCAGTAATCTTACTCAAGTTATTGAGATACTTTTGAATTGTACTTTAGTCTGTAATCTGTATATTGAACCTCTACATTTATTGACACTTGCAAAGGTCAAAGCAGTCCTACATGTATGCATTGATTGCCAAAATAACTCACAAAAAAATGAATTCAAAATTTGATAGTGATTGGTCCAAGAAGTCGAAATTCAGAATACTAATAGTGTTATCCGAATCAATAATTACAATAACAACAAAAAAGCAGCCTGTTTGGCTAAAGTTCAAGTCTGACGGGACAGTAGCTTAGGGGAAATAGATTAAACAAAAAATTGTTTCATATGAATGAAAGCCATGGATATGGTAGTGAAAGTATTCACAAAACTTAGACAATGTTATATAAAATTAACAAGAAAACCACGATGACATTATGTGAACAAAATGTGGGGAACGAGATGGCTAGAAATGTTAAAAGCAATGCAAGATCGTTCAGATACCTTTGCCAGAGATATCATTATTACTGTATAATATCTTCCAAGGAATCAGAATTGAATGTCAGATCAAACCTAGAGAAATTCCTCGATGCATCAAACTAGAAATAAGATTGGGAGATTTTTCCTAATTGAAAGTTTTAAGGTCCAGATAAATTGATTTTGTCGACCAGTAGAAAATTAATATTTCAGGTGGAAACTAAACCCAGAAACTCTGGAAGTTGACATATTTATTCAGAATAAACAGTCAAATAACTTTCCTCCAATTTCTTAAATCAGCCGATTACTGGTTAAAGTGAGACAGAAAAAATGCACAGATATGGCTCTTATAGCCCCAATGTGGCAAATGGCTCTGCGGTATCTATAATTGTTGGAAATGTTGGTCTGTATGCCCATCTTATTGCCAAACCATATGAAATTACTAATATCTAATCTTACAGCCTTTATAAAAAAAGAAGCTACATAACACTAACGGTGTCCAAATGATCATCCTCAAGTTTGAAACTAGAGGTTTCTGCGACAAACTAGCAATACATGTACATGTATGTTCATTAAATCAAGTAAAGAAAGTACTTAAATTACTTCCAAGGACCCCTGGAAAACATGGGTATGCTGCAAGTTCTAATAAACATGACATTAATATTTAGCCTCTGATACAAATTTAGCCAATTTCCTAACTGAAATGTCAAATCAGGTATGTGCTATTCGTTTCTCGATACTTAAAGTCTGCAAAATCAGCATATAATGGAACCATAGATAGGTAAGTCAATACCATGTTCTGGTTGATTTTATGGAAACTTTTACAATGGAAACCCACTAAATAAAATAAATGAAACTTGGGATGTGAATAAGGTCGTACTGTATCTCACATTGAACATTCGGGTCAGAATAGAATTCTCAACTGAAAGTACACAATAAGTCATGTTAATGTCTATTTCAAGCATGTATCCCAGGGCCTCTGAAATAATATGCCATTGGATGGTTGTCAAAGACAGAATGTCAACACATAAAATTGGGGTTTCAAGTTTTTTCATGAGAATCCATTTAATAATGTTGTACTAGCATTTAGAAAATACCAGAAACATCTGAAACAAACTACTAGTAGTAGAAGGGAATCATAAGAAGGAAGTTTAAATTATCCTTGTCAAATGTCATGCGATGCCATGAATGTACATATCCAGTAAAACATCTCATATACATACACATTAGCAGTTTCTATAACAATACATAAAGGTCTTAATTTTATAGAATAATAATAATAGATAGATATTTAATAAATACATTTAAGTACATTTGAAAGACATATTTAACCAGGTATGCAGTAACAGTACCATAAACTTGAACATTTGATATATCTACAAACCAAGTGATGGGAAATGCAAATTAACTGAATGCTTAACAATTTTACAATCGGTTAAACTGATAAAGGAAATTAAAGGATTTAGATCAGTTGTTCTGAGGTCATGTTACTTTAAACATGCGATATGAACTCTTAATAAGATGAGTGTAATAGAAATTTTACAATTTCTTAAGAATCTCGCTAATGAAATTATAATTTTATTAACGAGATCTTATTAAGAGTTCATATATTCCCCCCTCGCCCACCCAGTCGTTAATTGTCACTAAAACACAGTTTTGTGTTATTTCAGAACATAACCACAGACAACTGAGTTATGAAGGGTAGAATTAACATTCAACAATCTTCATCAAGTCAAATATTATGTATCTGGATTTTTACACTCTCAAAGTTGTAATGAAAGTTTTTAAAGTTTAAATCTCACAAACAGTGATAGGTTTATATCCTATACTACACAGGACTTTATTTTAACTTTGCATCCCACAAAGATGTGGGGATAAATTGGACATCTCACAAGCAGTGGATGTAGTTGTTTTCTTACTTGAAGAATTCACTGATGTTTACTCATAGTAAGGTGAGTTTTTTCAATGGTTTCAGAATATTAAGTTGGCATCTAAGCAATAGACCTAGTTATCGGTGCATATACATGTCCACTCAGCTGTACTACTCAGTTTTAATTTATTCAAATTAATACTACTAACAGCTGGAATCCGATAATAAGGGTTATTATGCGATATGAACTCTTAATAAGATCTCGTTAATAAAATTATAATTTCATTAGCGAGATTCTTAAGAAATTGTAAAAGTATTCAGTGCGCTCTCTAAATTAATAAAGTGAAAATACTGTACCATGTAACCAAAGGCAGCATTATAGTGCCAGGTGATTTTCACGTTCACGATGATGGGATAAAGACTGTGAAAGAAGAACAAATTCCTGTGAATGGTTATCCCTGAAATGTAGATCTTCCACTTCAAAACTGTCCCCTGACCTTATTGCTCTTATTGAATCTGATTTCAGATGGACAGCTATATTCTATACTGTATTCCTGCACATAGTGGTAGAAGAGACCAATGTTGGTGTCTATGATGCGGTATCCTTGCTCTTGAAGATCTTCCAAACTGCTGCCATTTTAGAGGTACATGTACTACAATATCATGGAATTAATCATCTCTCCTGAGGTTGATAGGTCAGAATTATATCCTAGCATTGTGTAAATGCTAAAAAATAACATTTTATCATAACAGTTCGAATCATAAAGTTTTTGTTGTTTCCTACAGTGAAGTGTTTTGAAGCCATCAGTCAGTGATTCTATATTGCATTTACCTATTGTATTGTACATGTATCTAGCATTATATTTTATTTTAAACATAAATTGCATACATCAAATGAATGTTAAAAACACTGTTTTGTTTTTATCTGGTTGTATCATCTGTTCTCCTAGGTTGTCCATTGTATGACTGGACTGGTGAGATCCTCTTGGGTCCTGACTGCCTTCCAGGTGGCATCAAGAGTATTTCTAGTATGGGGAGTCACACATAGTGTTAAGCAGGTGAGAAGGATACCATATTCATGTTCCAGTTTTGATTATTCGGGGAATTTAAATTCCACTGATTCTATTTTTGTATTTAGACTGGCAGTGTACATGTATATTATAATTTGTTTGTAATTAACGATTTGTTGTCTTCAATATTGAGCTTTAACAATGTGCATGTATAATAATTGCCCCCCTTTATCCACATGTTATTTGCATATATACTTTATATTATAGACCAGGCATTAACATGACAAAATATCACCACCTTGTAAAGTGTATCAATTGTTACAGACACCAAATACCAGTCACAAAGAATGATAGCTATAACAATACTATGACCACTTATTGGTGGTGACAAAAAAGACCAATGTTTGTTCTTTCTAACATCACTTCTTTGTGTCAAGAAAAGGCCCACTGTAAAAATAAATAGCTTGAATGTAGGTTTAAGAAGTACTCTTTGTGTTTGCAGACTCAAGATACACTTGGAGTTACTCTCTACATTGCTGCCTGGACTCTGACTGAGGTGATCAGATATGGCTTTTACTGCTGTTCCATCATAGAAAACATGCCCTATATATTACAGTGGCTCAGGTACATTTGCCTTACTAAACAGTGCTATTCAGATGGTACTGCTTGAAATACTAAGTACTGTTATTCAATTTTGTTCAACCAAATATAGTACAGTAAAACCTGTCAAAGTGGAACACCTATGGTATCTCTAAAAAGTGCTCCACTTGGGAGGTGTTCAATTTATGGATGTTCATATTATAGTTAAGTCAGTTGTTCTTGGGACTCTGAAGTGTTCCACTGACAGAGGTGTTCTTCTTCACAGGTTTCACTGTCAGCTGTTCACTGAATGTAATATCTAGTTTGGAACTCATGGATTATACAATTTTAATATGTGATCTAATCATTTAGGAGCAAAGAACTTAAATATTACCACTTTAATTCAGGTAAATTAATTACATTTTTCTCAAACTTTTCAGATACACATTGTTTATTGGACTCTACCCCTTAGGAGTAACAGTAAGTTTGAACTAATTTGGTATTTCTTAGAGACTGTAGACTGCTCATATTTTGAAACTCAATGTCAACCAGTGGTGTGAACCATGAAGCTGTTTGAAGGTCATTCTACACTTTTAGAAAATACTTTTAAAATGTGAAAATGTATCTCAACATAATTTTAACCAAATATTTTGATTTTCAACTAATGTTTTCTATCATGTGTATTTTGGTCATTAACAGACAATCTTTCCAAGTAGACAAATCATATTCATTGAAATGTTACCTGATTGCAGTTTTTAATCGTAAAAAAACTAATTAATTTGTGTAAAAATGATGAACATATGTAAAATGAAATAATGATGAGACCAATGTTTAATGTTGAATGATGTCTATCATGTCTATGTTTGCAGGGTGAACTGATGACCATCTGGAAAGCTCTGCCAGTTGTAGAGAAGACAGGGTTGTACTCTCTCAGATTGCCAAATAGCATCAACTTTGGATTTGATTACCACTATTTCCTCATTATAGTCATGCTCAATTACATTCCAAGTAAGTCATATGGATAAGTTTTTAAATGTAATTTTCACTTGTAATAGCATTGTCAAGGACAGCAATTGTTAAAGCCCAAAAACCTTAATCATGCTTCATAATCATGCTTCCTTGTACTTTCAGTATTCCCACAGTTATATGGACACATGTTGAAACAACGAAGGAAAATAATTGGAGGACAAGGAAAGAAGACTGATTAGAACAAAAAAACCATGACAATATTTATAACTCTGATAACCAGAATTTAAAGATGAGGACAGAACTTAAGCCCAGAATCTGAAATCCACTGATCAGTTTTCACTGGACTTAGTTGACACATCCAATCTCTTGAGTTCAAGTGTCTAATTTGATAAACTGTTTGATGGTTGATTTAATCAAGTGTGATGTATAATCCAATCAATGTTTAATTTGATATACCTTGATAAAATCAATTTGCCTTTAAGAAGACTTTGTTGACAGACCTTGTGGAGTACACACAGCTCCAAATCTGTAGTAACACATCTTGTACACGAGTTCAAGTGTCTTATTTGATAAACTGTTTGATGTTTGATATACGAGTGTGATTCCAATTCCAGTGTATTTGATACATTTTGATATATGCTGTCCTAATCTTCAGATGAAATAAAGATTAAAAAATTATTTATAATTTATTATCATGTATTTATTTATTCACTTGTTGAGAAGATGAGTTAACAAATAACACACTATAATGGATTATGTCATGATTCCAATGCACACAATAAATCAGGTTATGAAACCACCTCTAATATCTCGTATTACAAAAATACCATCACCTCTTAAAAGGGTAATGAGACTACAGATTATGCAATACTATAGTAGTCACTTCTAACCTGTACTTTGAATGTCTCAAGGATAACTCTGGAATATCTTTGAATTTGGCATTTTCCTTATTCTGGCAGTTCTATAGCATGATTTTTTATTTTAAACATTTGCCATTCGTATTTTCATTCACATAATGAACTCAAAATAGATGATATGAGTTATATAAAATATATCAATGCGCATAAGTAGTTGTATAAAACAATGTCTACATGTACACTTGAAAATATGGAATGAAAATCGTGAATTATGTTTCTATATATTGTACTAGAATGAAGAATGTGTCTCTTTGAACTTAAAATGTAGTGTAAATATTTTTTTATATTTTTATCTTGTGTTAATTTCCTCGGTTGACTAAATCTTTGACTTTGTAAATGCGGACAAGCCAATGCTCTGTTGTATAGGCTTCTTCCAAAACATCCAATTCAAAATCTTTGTAGCCAATTTCTGCATTACGGACCCTGTCATAACCTGTTGGCTTGCCTGAAATAAAATGTGATCTTAGATAAAGTACAGCAAACAGGGCCTACCCCCATTATTATTGGTATCATTTAATAATTTGCATGAACAGACCTTTGTACTTGAATACAAAACTAGACAACAGCAACGCCAAATCCCATCAAACAGCCATGGCTGGCATATTTACAAACAAAGTTACAGCAAAAATGGCAGCCATTTTTTAAAATGGCAACCTTCTACTACCAAAAGTGTCATCAGACAGTGTGCCATGCATATAGTATTCACATACCAAATATGAACAAAATCGCTCCACTACTTTTGGAGTTATAGTAAAATATGTTCAAATGGCGGCCATTTTTTCAAAATGGCCACCTTCTACCAAAAGTGTCATTAGACAGTGTGCCATGTGTAAAGTATTCAAATACCAAATATGAACAAAATCGCTCCACTACATTTCGATTTTTTTTTCAAGTTTTAGATTTACATTATAAATTATAATGTAAGGTTACATGATAATACAGTTAATACAAATATAATTAAGGTCGCTTATTTTTTTATAAGAATGTATATAAGGGGGTTACAGGGGAGGGGAGAGGCTATTATACTAGATCTAAGTATAGTGGGTCAAAACATCAAAATGTGAGAGTTTGAATTTTCTATTTAGGTCTTCTTTTTACCCCCTTTCTGGCTCTGTATGTATGTTTCGGAGTATTTGGTTTCCTGCTCAGAAAGGGGGGTTATACATAATTTTCTATCATTGAATTTATTACATTCCATTTTCTGTCATGCAATTCTTCTTGTCCATGTGTTTTTGCAATATATTAGTCAGTCTTTTTTTCTCTTATTAAGTATCTTTGAAAAGCATTTATGGTAGGTGCTTTTTCTTCCAATTTATTAATGTACATGAATCTTTTTATTAGTAATGAAGCTAACATTTCGAGTTATAGTAAAAATCGTTAAAATGGCAGCCATTTTTCAAAATAGCAGCCTTCTACCAAAAGTGTCATTAGACAGTGTGCCATGCTTATAGTATTCACATACCAAATATGAACAAAATCGCTCCTGTACTTTTCAAGTTACAGCAAAAATCGTAAAGTAACTAGTAAAGGTCGCCATTTTTCAAGTTGGCTGCCATGTGCTTCTTTAATATCTACATTTCTAGCTTTATTTATGTCCTATATAATTCTTTACATTTAAAACATATTGCTATTACAGTTTTACATAATTCACCTTAATTACTGTAAAATCGGCACTAAAATGGCCGCCATTTTTAAATGAGTGGCCATTTTAAAAATCAGCTTACGAGCAGGTATATGTGTACAAAATATGAACAAAATCGAGCCAAGGGTATGTTATTGCCCGGACGGACGCACATACGGACGGACGGAGGCCTTCCCTATATCCCTCCGAACTTCGTTCGATGGGATTAAAAGCCAATAGGAAAGGCATATTGGACAAACCTTGTTCAGTGTATACAGCTCCGAATCTGTAATAACACATCTTGTACATGAGGCAATTGAGTAGGGTTTTTGAGCCATCTTTGTCAATTCTGAACTCTCCCTGTGGTGTGTAGTAGTCACTCTCCTTGATGTGTGACCCTCTGTCTGTGGAGCCTCCAATACGCACCATCCACAGGAACTTGTTGATATCTGGAATGGGAAATGGAATTCACGTTATGAATATGATCAGCAATTTATATTGTGTAAATTTTTGAGAAAAGTGTCTGTTCATGCAACTGGTTTGGTTTTTGCAATTTTGGTCCCTTTTGTCATTTTTTCTATTTTCAAAAATCAAGATTCACATTTGATGCATAACAAAGTAGTTTTATGATTAAAGACACACTAAAACAGTCTGAACTGTGGCAAATCACTAATTTTGAAAAAAACATTATCAAGTGGAATGAATGAATGAAACAATGAATAATTAATTAATCATATCTTATAAATTAATTAATCATATCTTATTTAAGTCTATCTTACCATCAGATGAATATCCTGTTAGACCTCCAAATATAACAAGGACATAGTCTACATCTAATTCTCGCATTATTTCATATGCTTTATCTTCTGTAGATGCCATAGCCTGAAAATATTAGAACTGTCAGTTATTTATGTAAATTCAATTTGACACCTAAAGCATTTAATATAAGCAACGCAATATAATCAGAAGGTGACATACAACAAAACCTGTATGTAAATGGCTTAAGTGATGATATAATAGTTAAACCAATTTTCATGCTTAGTACTTCTTTATAAAGGTATCATAGTATTTACTGTAGATTAAGACCATCAATACCAACAGAGATATATAATGTGTGGATACCAAAGAGTCAGGTGGTCATATGCATCTAATTTTGCTTCCATCTTTTATAAGAAATGGTCAAAAGGCCTTATAGTTTAAAACCACCATAAGGAAAGAACAGAATCATAAGTATTACCTGTCCAACTCTGGATATATGTGTATTGTTCCATGTGTTATTGTCCACTAGAATAGTTCTATTGGCCATAGCTGTGATCTGATAACCGTAATCCCACCAAGACATCACCTTAGCATCCTACAACAAAAACATGCATGTTTTAAAGTCTAACTGATGATCAACTTGGGAGGGATTCAAAATTGCCTTAAAAGTCTGTTAAGCAATTTGCAAGTAGACAAAATTGAATTCTCTTTCCAATGATTTACAATAACATTATAGTAAAATTGTATATATTAGTACCCTGATCTTGAAGTAATTACTTTAAGATGGCCATTTTTATTGGCCCACCCTGTATAAATCTAAGATACACATGTATCATCTTATGTTTTATGCAACTAAAAGATATAGATTTGTGTGTATGGCATACCTCTGGAGTGTTATGTCTCAACCAATAGTATGCCTCCCTGAAGTCGTCAAAGATGATTCTTCCGCCATCTCCACCACGGGCAGACAACACAATAGATGGACTAGAGTAAGCTTCGGATGTTACCCAGGTACAGTGGAAGGAGTACATGATCAGGAATGCTGTCACCATGAACACAACACCAGTGGCAACCTGAACAAATCGATTGAGATATTTAATCTCCATTCAATATTACAGTGCCATTGTATGAATTGTGACACTACAATTACTTCATGTGATCAGAATCAGGTATATTAGATAAACACTGTCACAGTCTCACATTGAACTTCATAATCAAGAGAATAAATTGTAATTGATCAAAAACACTTATATTCTAACTATTTTCAGAATATATTTGAAAAACAATATAACTGTTTCCTATTCAATGTTGACTAATTCTAATGCCACCAAGATATAATTTGAGCTTTTTTAAATACTGAATCACTAACTAGTGAATGCAAAGAATAATTCAGTGTGTAGCATTTATACAATTGTACCTCATTTTTGACAGGGTAGTTCTGATCGCCTCTCTGTACTTTAGATGATTTCTTTGTTGCTTTCTTTGAGGCATCCAAGTTCTTCATATATGTTGATAGAGTGGCTGAGACGGCAATACCAGACAGGATACACATAACAGGGGCCAACACCAACATAAGACGTACCATTACACCCTGGAACATATCGTTAATAATTTAGATAATAGTTGATCAACTTTTTATTTTATTTCATACATCATACAATAATAAGTATACACAAACAATTAACAAAACATTTATCAATGTTTATGTTTTGGACAATCTCGATTTTTTTAAAGTAGATATAAAACATACTGATAATTGTGTTCAGAGGGAATGACCATTTGCTATGTAGAATATCAAGAAACACAACTTCTACTGTAACTTAATAAATCAGAGCAAATATTCTTCCACAATGAAAAAAAGTGATCAGGTGATTGAACTTACGGCAAAGTAGATACTGGTAGCTCCATAGAGAATGATGAAGATGTTGGCATCAGTCAGTTTGGTGAAGCAAAAGTACAGACCAGCTGAAACGAGAATATATTCATTACAACCTGGGGTTAACTTAAATGACTCCAAGGGTTGAACCTGGGTACTTACATTGATGATGGTGCAAATGCCATTCCAAATAATGAGCATCACTTTTCCAACACTGCTAAAGCATAACCAATACATGTTTTCTGTATGACTAATTTACGCAAGGATTCCAATAAAATCTCTGACAACAGACAGAAATCTTATGAAGACTACAAGATTATAATTGAACATGGAAACAATTGAATAATTCCCCAAAACAACCAGTTTTGGTGAAAAAACAGGTGAAAATCATGTGTTGCCTTTTGCCAATGAAACTCCCAGAGAATAACATACCTGGGAAAAGGAATACGAGGAATTGCAGATCAAAGTAGAAGGAGCTCCAAGTTGTAGGCTGATGCTCAGAAACAGAGGCAATGATTGGGATGTTGTTCTTGGCATATGAGGGGTCCAACAGAGAGTAGAAACGTCCAGTCCAAGGTGCAACCTCTGCGACAGGGTTAAGTCTAAATAACAGTTTATTCTCAATATGAAGTTAACATTCAGAAGCAAAAATTAATATTCATAGTACAAGTAAACACATTAACATGCAAAATATCACCACCTGCCATTTGCTACAGAAAGCAAAATCCGTAATTGTGGTGGTGACATAATAATGAAATGAATGACTAATTCTCATAAAAGGATACTGCCGCTAGCTGTAAGGATAGCGCCAATAGCTGTAAAGATGATCCCTACGAGGAGAGTGATAGCTCGGAACAGGGTATCGAACTGTTCCCTAGTCAGCTTGGAGCGTACATAGTCTACAAAGGCATGGATTTGGCACAGACCAAACACTCCCAGGGCCTGTAATTGAAAAGAATCCATTGTATATCGTGTTTGAATTTATAATTGATTGCAACTTTGTATGATATTGAGATAGTGTCGTGTTGAGAGAATATTAAAATTGTGATTTTATTTTTATGAAATTATCTCTTGTTGTTTGTCACGGTTAAATTCAAATAGACATATTCTCAAAAGATTATAAATGACAAAACAATACAACGAAGGAATTTCTTAATGATTCTGCTGAAAACACATTAGTCTAATTTTTCTTTCTAATGTATGTTTGTCTTAGATATCAAATTATGATATGACTATACTAAAGCACTCACAGCCATGTGTTCACTGGATTGGATGGGTTGAAAGCCGACAAAAGAGATCTGCATGGACAATAGAGTTCCAATGCTATAAACCTAAAAAAATATAGACATTTTTAGAAATATATGTTTAATTATGTTGAGAAATAGAAATTAAAGTTTTTACAATATAAAAAGCCCACATAGGACCCCTTTAAGGGTTAAAGAGGTAACAAATCTATTTTTAACACCAAAAAGACATACATTTAACACACCACAAATGTGAAAGACAATGTAGTATACACTGTGTATTAAAACTTCAAAATAGTGCATATTTTATCAACCAGTTCCCTCTCGTCATAATTCATAACATAATAAAAAAATCACTTACTGTGCAATATGCGACATAGATTCTATGTGAGAACCTGCCAGTGGCCATCAATGCCAACACATGCATAGGGATGAGATTAATCAGGAAAACGTAGCCTCCCCATGAGCTCACCTACAAGGGAAAGAATATGCATTATATTATGGCTGTGTTGTACCTTTTTCTGAGACATATGGTATACTGTAAAATCGATAAATACTACCATATATAATGAAAATCCATTTCATTAGCAGCAGGCAACAGGCGATTTTCACTGGTTGATTTCCCAAAATCGCCTATTGTTTTTAGCGACATTTCAACTTTTCTATGTTGAGTTTAGATTTCAATTAATTTTGCCTGTTGTTTTTATTTATTTAGCCTGCTGTGAGAAATTCTTGTAAAACCCCTGATTTACTATCACTACAAAGACAATTTTAGGCAAACAAATTTTTGGGGAAACTGTCATTAGTATTTATACAGAACTGTAGAAAATAACATCATGTGAACCCTGTATCAAAACAGAGACACAGCTTAGATGTAAAATGCAGTTAGTATTGCAAGGGTGTGATCCAAACCATGCACTTATCTACATGGACTGGTCGTTAATCTTGCATATAAGCTAGAAAGCTGTAAATGGCTACACCAATGACATTGTGTAGAGTGGTTATACATGGGCCAATATTCAGCAAATGAGCCAAACTTACCATGTAAAAGTAGGCCAATGAACAGATAACTGCCCAGAAGAGAGATCCAGTTTTGACAGATTTTATCCACATTGCATAGGTGAACAACATGCAGAAGATGGCGATACCCTCATTATCGTAAGAGCCAGCTACAGAACGTGAGATGTATCCAGGCACAATGGCAATCATAGAAGCTGCAACCAAACCTGAGCCAACATCCTGGAATAAATACACAGATCATTTACACATTGAGAATGAAGAACAGGCTTAAGTATTTTTGAAATGGAAGCATGTATGAATATTAATATTTTTCCAATTCAATACTGTAATGATCAGGATTCAGTATGACCTTTGGTTTGTATTGATAAAAGGGCAATGAAATTACATTGGTTGTTAAAAAGATCAAACGTTTTTCTTAGACTGTCTTGCATTGAATATGAAATGAAACTGCTTTGTCAAATAATGAAACAGGACTTAGCAAGTAAATTTGAACTTAATCCTTTTAAGTAGGTTCTCATGATCTTACCCTGATCTCCTTAGTGAGGACAAATGTGATGAGGGCTGTGAGACTGGAGAAGATGGGTGCCAAAAACACGCAGACATTACGAATATCAATAGTGATGTTCAAGAAATGCATGACATGGTAGAAGGCAGCGGATGTCACCATCAAACCTAAAAATCGATATAAATAAGACCTGATTTTAGATCAGATTTTTTAGACAAAACACAATTTTAGAAGTTTCCTTAGATTATGTTATCAAATATCACTCCATAAAATATTTGGCTGTATTATCATTGAGAGCTATTGCAAAGATATATTGTTCAAATTAGAGTACTTTTAGTGAGAAATTTCTGAAAGATTATCTCGTTACTGGGCAATCAAGAGGTTAGCAGAATACAATTAGTTAAAGAATACATTGTGTTGAAAAAATATTTATTCTTAAAGGCCCCATATAAAGTTTAAACCACTTTGGCTTATATTGTAGTCTTAACCAATGTTATCAAAGTGTGATATGTAAAACCTTTTTTTTAAATTTCAAAAAGTGGTTTTTGATATACTTTTTGTTCCAAAATTTGTGAATTTATTTAAAACCAACTTTTAGAGGTCACTCACATCTTCTAATTAGCCACAATTCATACCAATGCATAGCATTCATCCTCCCGTGTTTTTTGCCGAAAAAGTTAAGAAAATCGGTTCATAAATAAGCGAGAAATGAACTTATCAGTGCATGAAAATGGTTCTGAGAAAAATGCATTTAAAAATTTTAGTTCTCATAGAAACCAATGGTACAATGATATCTAAAACATAATTTATACTTCCTTTTAACCTGGTTAGACAATCAACATTGGTTTTTTATGAAAGTCTAACATATTTAGAAAAGATTGACATCGAAAAAAAAAATTCAATTTTTTTCAAAAAGTTTTTGGTACCTTAGTGACATCACTAATGTTTCAAAATATTTTTGATATGCTAAAGCATTTAAGTGGCCCATTAAATATGGCATTTTATTATTGAAATAGTGTGTCCGTTGTTCAACCTTTGCATTGATGTTAAAAAGATAATCTTTTTTGAAATGCATTAAGAAATATTTGATGATTAAGAAATTTCAACTTTTTTTGAAAAATGGCGGGAAATTTGAATATTTGAGAAATGAAATGCTCACAACTTTTTTTTCAAAAATCTTTTTTTGTTCAAAAATCTCTAAAATCATTTTTTAAGTCCTGACAAATAGTAAATGAATGATAAAAAAAATACTTTCAAACTTTAGACGGGGACTTTAACATTCAGTACATTTACCTGGATATATTGTTCCACCAATAATACGACCCAGGGGGTACCAAGCTCTGTCATCAAACCAATTGTGGAATGAGTAGAATCCCTTAGAGGTGAGAAACTGGGTAGTTCGGTAATTGAAGTATGGATCAAACTCGTGAATAACACTTTCGAATCTCAGCACAGAGAACAGTCTAGAGGAGAATGCTGGAATAAAGAAAAAAATATTTGAGTTCATAAACCCTGTAGGAATTAAAACATTACCAACTATAACATGTAATTCAGTGAGTGTAAAGATAAGGGTTTGAACAATGCTCGAATAAGCAATTTCAGGATGCCATTGATTCACGTATCTGACTAAGAAATCTGGCTACAACACCATGAAGGCTTGCAGTTCTTTAACATTAACATATGATGGAATATATATCAATGAACAGAAATGCATGTGTTAATCAATTGTCAGTTGGAATGATCAAATTCTTCATGTAACATTTATATGAGATGATAATACATCTGATGGGAAATAATATATGTCCCAAGTTTTGCTTCGTTTCTTATTTCTCATTAGATAATACTATGTAAGTACAACACAACTGTGTAGTGTTTGTAAACTACATACATAAAATTCCTGCAATGGCCAGGATCACCATTTTCAACAGAGTGTCTTGCTTTTCTGGCGTCATCTTCAGAATAAAATTCTGGGTTTTCCCGTAACTTGTTCCAGTCATCCTAATTTGAACACCTGTAATAAAAACAAACATTTCAGATAAATTGATATTAAAACAACTTGGGGAACCTGTCTATTATCAATTTCTAGACTAGGCCTTGGACTAGATCTAGAATCAAAACGCTTATTCTGGTGACCAGTTCATACGGTTGAAATAACGAAATGATGAAATGTTACCATGTGTCTACTTACCAGTTTGTTCTATGTCATCCATCCTGCTAGGTTACATTGTGGAACGCAGCCATACACAACAATGAAGGCAACAAAATATCAATATTGACATGATCTTAGCAGAATTATTGAAAATTCAGATCGTCCATTTTGCAAGCTCACTTGAGTGACACCCAACCATGTCTTCAAGGAGAAGTAAATATTTTGGAAAATGTTTGGCGAGCATTTGCTACTGATTATAGAAGGTCCAATTACGCAACGAACGAAACTGCTTAAGGTCAGGGTGCATGATGGAAAATTTTCTGCATTCCTCAATTGAGTCACATGTTATTTTTCAAACAAGAATCACTCCTTCCCCAGATTGTCTATATCTTCCAGTTTTGCACATTGAGTGCACTTATGTGCCTAGAAAAGACTTGTGAGAAGAATGTTTTGATAAAATGTATAAAAAACAAGAAAATTCAGTGAAAAAAATCAGAAAATTTTCAGAAATTTTTTTCACTGAATTTTCTCGTTTTTTATTCATTTTACAAAACAAATGTTCTCACAAGTCTTTTCTAGGCATATAGGTGCACTCTTTGTGCAAACCTGGAAGATGTAGACAATGTGGGGAAGGAGTGATTCTTGTTTGAAAAATAACATGTGACTCAATTGAGGGTAGTCATATAAATCCGACCGTTGTATGCTGTTCTTCGATATTCCTTGTTCTTATTTGGATATTTATTTTTTATCATTTTCTTTGCATACACGGTCGTAGATATTATATGGAACAAATTGCGGTAAACGCTTTTCTGGCCTGTCTTGGTAACCATAGTTACCATACTAACCAAAGTCACACAAATTATCACGTAATTATTTAGCTCCAACATCAAAGTGTTAAATCTTACCGTAGACATGTAAAACGCTTGATAATTGACGAAATATAATCAATTGAATTATATTTTCATTATCGCCCGCCATATTGCTGAATGTTGTTTCCGGTAGTCTAAATGTATAACATGTATCGAAACGGAATCATAATTATTTATTACACAGAGATCGATTCCAAAGCCGTTCTCTGCCACTTATTACTTTTCTTATTTTGAAACAATAACTTTTCCAAATAACTTCCCTTCTCAACGACACTGCTTCCCTTTCAACTGAATATTCGTGTAACAACAACTTATGATTTCGTTTGATATACCACTCCCCCCAGTTTTCTGCAAGTTAAAATGCTCAATTCTGCAAGTGAAATTAGTGAATTCTGCAAGAAGAAAGGGCTAATTCTGCAGAAATTCCGCGGATATTAATGGTTTTCGAACCAGTAAACGGGAAAATATCGTGATAGTCAGGTAGTCAGTCACTACATACATGCTGCCATCTAACGGCAGAAATCAAACGATGGCGTTTTAGAATTTTCACTTCGCATAATTTGGGTTATTTCTGCAAGGGATTTGACTGAAAACGTGTCAAATTGTTACAGGTAAGACTGACTTTTTAAACTTTTGGAAAATATATGGATTCTGCGGAAAATTCCGCGGAAATTGACCAAAATAGTTGATTCTGCAATTCCGCGGGCAGAGGCAAATTCCGTCCGCGCTCTGCAGACACGGAATCCTGGGGGCAGTGATATACATGTAGTTTTACATCTAGACTATCAGATTAACCCGGAAGTGACCTTGCTAGGCAAAATGAGAAAATTTTAAAATTTAACAGCGTGCTTATATTTCTTCAATTACCAAGCGTTTTACGTGCCTAAGGTAAGATTAAATACTTTATAGTTGAAGCAAAGAAATTAATTTATCATTTGTGTGAATTTGGTTGGGTAGACATGCCAGGAAAGCAATTCGCGCAATATAGAAGCGCTAGTGTTTATGACCCTCGTATGCAAGAAAATAAGAAAAATAAATATCCAAATCAGAAAAAATAACAACAAATAACATCATACGAGGGTCAGATTTATATGACTAAATTGAGGGATGCAGAAAATTTCCCATCATGCACCCTGACCTTAATTGTATTTCATGCCAGACAGGCTCAGTACGCAATGAACAAAACTGCTAAATTGTATTTATAGTCTGCTTATTGATCTATTGATTCATAAAGACCTGAAATGATGCATTCAAATAAGACCGCCTCCAAAATGAAAATACTACACATAAAATGGTGAAAAACAACGAACTAAAGTTGAAAGATTGCGACGTTCGCTACTTTGTTCAATTCCGGAAATCTCCAAGGGGCTGCAAATGGGAATTTTTTTAGATTTAGATTTCATAACCTCAGAATACTGCCATCAGTGTCGTGTTTGGTTGAGTTCCACAATGTAACCTAACAGGATGGATGGCATAGAATAAACTGGTAAGTAGACACATGGTAACATTTCTTTATTTCGTTATTTTAACCTTATGAACTGGTCACCAGAATAAGCGTTTCGATTCTATAAATCTAATTTTTTTTATAACCGAGACCGGTTCAAATTTCAAAACTAATAAGTGAATATCTGTAACAGCTAAACTTTAAAACTCATAAAACTTTTGTCAACATAGAAAAATATACCAGTGCATTGTGTTGTAGTATTTGTAATATTACTGTAAGATGCATAATCGAGAAATCTTACCTTTTCCAAATAATATTGTAAAAAATAATACCACCTGGAAAAAATGGCGACCAAAAGGACAGATGATACACGATCTTTGATTGGTTCATATTTCCACTGGACGACAAAGCTAAGGTTTCGACAATAATGCTTTTTTGCTTTTTGATCATTTTATCGGTGATTCTTGTGGTATTCCCTATACCGGTGAAAGAAATTATAGGATTTAAATCAATATATATGCATCATATACATTAAATCTTGATATTATCAGGGCAAGTCTTGTTTTCCCGGGACAGAGTTCGTCGACGTGGACAAAAAGTGTAAAAAGATATTTGATTGGTCTTAATTTCTTATTTCGTTTAGTGTACAGCATTAAAGTCCCGGGTACGTTCTTCAACACAGTTCATTTTACTATACACTATATTTATATCTACATTTAACATCACCATGGATGCTGACAATTACAATAAGCAAAAAAATATGCCAACTCTATCGAACTATTATATACAAATTATAGATTTGAAAGATAATTCACACAATAGGCAGGGTATATCAGATTCCAGTCAATCCGAATAAATGTGGGGTCGAATTGCCGAACCCCCCCCATATGGCTATGGGCCTGTTCCTTTGGTGATTTTGTATCTTTAAGATAATTTTGTTGGTAATATTTGACACTGTGAGTAAAGAGTTTAGCCATTGTTCCTTTCAGGCATTGTTTCCTAAAATTAACACTCGACACTCTGCATCTCATAGCAGCACTTTCAAGTCCACATTGTATCACCACATATTTACCCATCTACTTACCAAAGAAGAAGTCCCAAATCCCCCTCTTTCAGTGTTAATTTTGCGATTGTGCCGGCCGATCTAATTATTTTCGAAGAAATTGATTCAATCTGAAGTTTGAATATACCAGGAGAGTCCTCCTGTTATCTGATTGGTCGTTGAATTTGTTTATCATGAACCTGATTGGCTGCCTGGTTCAAGGCGCTGGTGTGACTCAATGGGGATTCCCCTCGCTAGCCGAGGGTTAGATTGTGTTTAATTCTGGAGTTTGGTTGTTCTGATGATTATTTCCGATATTTCGGCAATAATATACCCAAAAGTTATTCTAAAGATATATCCATGGTATGTGAGATATTATATGAGAAATAACAATAGGACATCATTGATTGTCTGGGGGAGAAACCTATGGTATAATGCATCTTTAAAATATTATCAGAAAAAGTTGTCTTTTTTATGAAAATTAGGCAGATACCTTTCTGGTTCGTGTCTAGTTAAAGGTGTATGCAAATGACAACTACTGACATGGAAACTATTCGCTGATATATGAATACTGGAGAGGAAATATGATTTGCCCATTTATTTCTCATAGGACAAATCTCATACATGCGGTATTTATGTATAAAAAAAGTAAACACAACAAAAATATAATCTTTAGTTCTATTTCAACACATATTATTTCATATAAAATGTATTCCACGCTGTTTGGCATTTCTTTGAAGGAAGGTACATCAACAAGAAAATCCTTTTTAAAGGCTGATGGTTTATTCAAATTATTCTGAAAGTTGTGGTTAATGAGGCATTTGAGAAAACAATTCTCATGTATGATGCAATTATTTTTTGAAATCATGTTCCACCTGTTTCAAACACTTCAGTACTTTTCTACTTGAGTATGCCAACATCATTCCTGTCAGTAAACCTCAACCATAGTTACATTATCTCAGATGTTAACAGCATTACTGCACTGTCATAAGGTCAATAATTGGCATTGGAATAAATGCCCACATTGGTCAAGGCAATTCCTTTTAAGTTACTTTCAAAGAGATATCCATATAAAGTATATTGAGGAACTCTGGTAAAAGCATGTATCCACAATTGATTTTGGTAGATCCATAATTCTGTAGATAAACAAATATCCACTATTGTTATTGTCCATGTATCTTATGTTGTACTAGCTATTGTGCCACTGCAGGTGTGTGTACTTGATTGAATAGTTTATCTTTGATAATCTGTGACATAAGTCCATGGATTGCTTCCATTGTTGTCTTACAACTGAAATCAAATCAAGTAAATGTTAAAAAGAATATCAATGATAACATGTTATGAAATCTATAAAACATGTATCTTGTGCTGATCAAATACAGTAAAACCTGAATGTCCGAACACCTCCCAATCAGAACACTTTCTCCAATTTTTTCCTCCAATTTACTCCCATGTTAAAAAATCTTGAAATATGAACATCTCCCAATTTGTAGTGAATAGACATACATGTATTTGAAAAATTAACCTGTCTGATCTGAACACATAGATTTTTAAATCCTGTATTATCAATTGAAATCATTTCCAAATCTTAAGCAGATTGTTAAAGTTGAGAAATCGCTGAAACAGAACTGATAAGAATGACTTGGCCATCATTGTAAAAATATAATGTTTTTGCACTTCCTCCTTTAAAATATGAGTTCCACATGTCTAATTGTTAACACACAAAGAATCTACATTAACTGTATTGACTGCACACAATACTCACCCATCTTTTGTTGCTTTATCTAATTTATCTTCAGATTTTTTATCTTCCATTCCAAGCATGAATCCTCCTCTACCCAACTGCCCTTCACTCTGTTCTAGCTTGTCTGCCAAGTCAAATATCTGCCCAGTGGTATAGTCAGCATTCTAAAATATATATAGCATTTTTTATATATTATTGTATTGTATCTTGTTTACCACCAATGAAGGTGAGCAATACCTCTTGGGTATATCCCGTATATTAACAGTCGTAATTAATGCATTGAATTAAGAAAGGCAGACCCAGGAATCCCTCCTTGGAACAGCCCTGTGTTCTTTTATGTGCAATCATACATAGTCATACAGGTACACACCACAGCCTTTTTACGAGTTGTGGACCACTCAGTCAAACACCCTGAAGTACTTTATACAAACAAGCAAATTAAGTATTGCCTGAACCGGGGATTGAATCCGGGTCCTATTGCGTAAGAGGTATAATAGTATCTGAAACATCAATTATGCAAATTACGCTAGCATCACGGGTTCAAAACTCAGAGCTTCCTGATTGTCAATGGCAACCACTTTCTCCTTTGGCAATGAACTTGGAAAAGCTGATTGCCTGTTGGGAAAAGGACTGAATAATGGTCCTGAAAAATGGTATGTTAAATTGTGGAAATCATGTTTTTAACCTTAGTTATGAACCCTGCTAGCATCCTGAATTTGTTGTTACTAAGGCTAGGGTAATTTAATCTTATGGTTCTGATTCAAATGTTTATTCATTGTAGACCTGTATGGATGTTATTTTTTACATTTCTCAAATAAAACCATTCTCTCATTCACTGACAATGAATAAAAATACTTATTCTCAAAAGATCCACCATAGGTGAAATGTATACATCCATATTTTTGTAAACACATAGTTATAAGGATTAAAATCCTCACATTCCTTTTGTACTAAAGAAAACGCAAATTAAAAAGTCAATTTCATTCTTTGAAAAAAGGGCAAGAATGGAAAAAATAATATTAACTTATCCCAGCCTAACAAAAGTTATTTTAACTCTGTGTACTAGGGAAAAACAATTGTTGTACTTACTGTTATCAGGCTAGATGAACTGAGTGTGTTGACCCAGTACTTGTTCCATAGGGACTCCAATAGTCTCCGGTCTAGACCAGACTTGAAATATGACACATCTAGTGGGTAATATCTGAAAAAATGAACATACATGTATCAAAGGCTAAAAATGTTGGAATTTTCAAACACCAATGGACTAGATGAAAGAAAAAAAATCTGATTTTTATTATCAATAAATATTTTAAATTAGTATATAGCTTGAACTCTATATACAAAGAAAAAATTACATGTATTAATTGACATGATTTTTCAAAATATTATTTCTAGGTCAGCTAGATTCCCCATAGAGCTAAATCATGAAACCAAAGAGAAATTTTCTTCCTTGCATTGAACTGCATTGAACACATTTTGCATTGCATTGAACACATTTTATACAATGCCCCTCGCGTTTCAGATTTTAAATGTTAATATTCTCAAAAAGAATGGCTTAAAATTGAACCATTAATCTGCCATGTTATATGACCTGAGTGAGCCACCTATTGGTGAAATTGCCAACCACATACCGGCAACTCTGTAGTTATATTTGTCAAGATATCTATTTTCACTTCTTATATCTAACTACTTGAATTACTAAAATTCTATTTTAACTTACTGTTTACAATGTACACCAAAGTCTTCTATTTTGTTGAGGGGAATGGATTGATACTCAGATTGTGACTCATCTGGAGCTTTGTAACCCTAGAAATACATTTCAACATAGAACATGATATGTACATGCATAGGAAGCTGAACAAACTAATGTCACTTAATGTGTCATATATAAGGCTGATGAAGGTGTGTTATTTTACAGTGTTTGTTGGATCATTAGTTGGTATGGTGAGACTTGTTTCCATGTAACTATATATTCTTTTCAAAGTTTCTACAAGTTTCTACAACTAACAGAACTTAACTGCAATTTTTAATTCTGAATTCAAAACCTGAAATTAAGGAATTTCCCCTTTAACCATTGTGCGTACTCCATGTTCTTAAGAGTAGGAAAGGAAGGCACTTGGAAAAGGATAGGTCTATGATTGGTTCGACCTTTTAAGTAATTTGGTGTTGTAACATGGATGGTAATTCTACTTAAAAATTGTATTTCATTTTTGCAAAGATTTCTGCTTAATATGACAATCTGATAAAAACAAAATATATATTTAACATGTAAACATCTTCATTGGGGACTACTTTACCTTAGGATAAGTTCTGAATGCGCCAAGATTCACTTTGCCTGCAGATATTGTTCTGATAGGATCAACCTGTAACACAAAGACATGCAGTTTGTACAGCATTAGTACGGGACCATTGTAAACTGAAAGTGAATGGCAAATGAAGTCATAATTGGCCATTCAAGACTCTCTCAAATTCAACAAGGATTCAACCATCTATCACACTTGCTTAATACCAGGTATACGTTCTCTGTTGCCCTGTTGGAAATCTATGGTAATTAACTTACAACAATTGCGACAAATGGTTCCTGGAACTGCTGGTTAAGCATCTGTGTGCTGACATCTATACCTGATAGCCAACATCCGTAACCAGGGTGACTGTGGTACCATCCAATAGCATTCTCTAGGCGACCCACCTACAAAGTAACAATAGAATAAAATGGAACAACTAAGTCTTATTTGTGTAAAACAACACATAGCATAGTACTATGTTGTTCTATTGTAGTTATATAGAAAGGTACATATGCTGAAGAGACATAAGTGACAAAGATTGAACTTGTAAAACCCACCAACATAGAAACAAGGGAGTTCACATAAAATAAAAGAATCCATAGTTTTATCTATACAGTGATCACTGACCGATTTAGGTTTTTGGCTCGAGATAATATTTGTTTAGCAATGTACATATTGCTGTAGTGACATCAGGCCCGTCAGATGGGGGGATGCGTTAGGTGTGGTCACATCCCCCTAAGAAACCTTGTTCTTGTACATTTGCTACACTGTTTCTAAAATTTGCTACTACATGTAACATTATAGTAATTATGCAGCTAATTCATAAAGGTAAATCAAGTACTGTAATCATATTTTATCATGGACCAGAAATCAGCACGTATCTCTGATGTCATACTTCCAGTAAAAATTGTGAAACCACACCCACCCCCCCTTTGAGAAAAGTGTATGGGCCAGAACATCAAATAAAAATAAAAATGATGACAATCTGGTAAAATGTGATTTTCCTAGATTATTTTACCTGCTTCGCCGACTCTGTATAAGCTGCCATATATTCATAAGCTTGTGCTTGGGCATTGACCCTAGTCTCTGTGCCTTCTACTGGGAGAGCAAAACTATCCATGACAATCATCTGGTTTCCATCTACCTTGCCCAACAATAGCCCCATGACCTCAAGGTTACCACCACTCCGGGCATGCATCACCATTTTCAATAGAGCAAGGGCACTGATCTTTATATTCTTGAAGTAGTGGGGGCTAAAAATACATGCACAGCCTATAACTTATGAATTATACTAGTTTTCATAATGATGATTTGAATCAAGTATACAAGCAATATGATCACAGCTTTTTATGACACACAAACTAAGTAAAATAAAACAGGAGATATAATCTGTAGCTGCCTAGCAAGTTGCAGCTTGGGGCTAAATGGACTCTTCCACAGTAAGATTTATGATTCAATTGAGTACTTTGAATGTAAAAAATAGGCAATCAAATGACCACATTACAGTAGTATATGAAAAAAAAGAAACATGACGTACAAGACCTAACTTTTATAAATTTCAAATACTTTTGTATAATGTCCAGCAAAGCGGTGGCATTTTGTTATTTAGGGAGTTTCATCTATCAAAATATAAGAGGCCATACATATGATAGTCAAACTACAAAACAAACCAAAATAAACAAAAGTTGGGTCTTGTACATATGTTTCTATTTTTTCATATACTGTGGCAATGTGGTCATTTGATAGCTTACTTTTTAGATTCATAGTACTTATTGGAATTAAGAAACTTACTTAACTAATGATTTGATTTGTTGTAAGAAGGCATTTTTTATTTGGCAGTCAGTGGTGACCAACCAAATCACTTGTTTCAAACATACATTTTTACTCAGAAATCAACTTGCATTACAAATGCAGATTTTCAGAAAATCTTGACAGGATTATTCACTTAGACTCTATTGACTTTCATCCCTGGGCTATAGATATAAACTGGAAGACTTTAATAAACCTCAACAATCAAAAGTTGTCACAATTAGCTAAAAAAATTTTATGTCCCAAACGGTAGAAAATAATTCCCGTTCACTCTAAGTAGCACAATAAATGAATCAAAAGCTTCATAGATTTTTCATGGATTGCCATTCTTGTGATCCAAGGAGGATTGACTCCCAGAATGCAACATCAGTTAACATTATTTAATATATTGTGGAATTTGTGTCCATGATGACAAATAGGAACTTAAAAATTTGAAGTGGATATTCACATGTTAACACAGACTCTTCATATGTTGGGGTGATTTTGGAGCCTGATTACGCCGCAGGGAGGATTGACTCCCAGAATGCAACATCAGTTAACATTATTTACTTGTGACAGGTTTCAAAATGGCAGAACTGCATTTTGAAATCTGTCATGTTGCATTCTGGGAGCCAATCCTCCTTGCGGCGTAATCAGGCTCCAAAATCAGCTCAACATTTGAAGAGTCGGCATTAACATGTGAATATCACATCAAATTTTTAAGTTCCTAAAGTGGGAGACATTAATAAACCTCAACCATCAAAAGTTGTCACAATGAGCTAAATTCTAAGTTTCGTGTCTCAAACTCTCCCAAGCGGTAAAAAAATAATTCCCGTTCACTTTAAGTAGCATAATAAATTAATCCAAAGCTTTATCCCTGCAAATGATGAATAAATTCCTCCCAAATCAAACGCATGTTTTCATGAATCGCCATGTTTGTGATCCAAGGAGGATCGACTCCAAGAATGCAACATCAGTTACCCTTATTTACTCATGACAGGTTTCAAAATGGCGGAACGGCATTTTGAAAGCTGGCACGTGTCATGTTGCATTCTGGGAGCCAATCCTCCCTGCGGCGTAATCAGGCTCCAAAATCACCCCAACATATGAAGAGTCTGTGTTAACATGTGAATATCCCAGAGAAAATAGAGCACTTAATACACTGAGGTAAGAATTTATTACATGTGTGATAGCATGTATTTTTCATAGCTATAGTAATTCTTTATGTTCCCCCATGGGCTTTCAACTTGAAAGCCCATGGTTCCCCACTGTAATTGTCATTATGGACACAAATTCCACTATATTTGTACGTTCCAGGACGGAGAAAATAGTGCACTCAATTCACTGAGGTAAGAATTTATTACATGTGCAACAGAATGTCTTTTTCATAGTGTTCGTCATTATTTATGTTCCCAACTTTAGTTGGAATCGCCATAGAGTAAATTTGGACTCAACTAAAATTGTGCATCAAATTCCCGAGGGAGAATGGAGGATATACACCAAGCTTACTACTAAATAATAGGAGGAGTGGATTGCAAAGCTAATACTTACTCTTTTTCCCATGGTTTTGCTGTCAAAATGTCTTGCTGCTGTTTTTTATCGTAACGATAAATTTCATCAACTGTCCCCACGTTTTCCACGCTATTACTCATCTCCCATGTCTTCTGAGCCATTTTTGTAGACATTTTCTAATTATGTATATACTCAGTACAGTAAAATAATAAATTTTAACTTGTTTCTGGGAGTAAGAATAGGTTAAAATAACAAAATAAAATAAAATTTGTCATTTGCTTTTCCTTTTTTTGGGTATACTTCCGGTTTGCACTGAACGAAAACCAACTACAGACTGAGATTTACCCCGGTAACTTGATCAGAGAGTGACCGGAACGAATGGCGTGGCGTAATGGCTCCATCCGCATCGTGAGATATCACAGACTCCTATCAGTTTCATTCTTTGCATGGCAGAGATGGTCTGAGTATCAGATTGTGATGGCCTAACGCAATGTCATAATCTTACTTGCACAAAGCTATCTCCTCAGTGCCGAGAGATAGCCATCTATCTAAAGATTGCTGTGTGCAAATATAGTAATCATAATCGTCTCCGAGTAGGCTTAGTAATTTCCCGCAGTAATTTTTAAGCAACCCCGTCCGAGGAAGGGGGGGGGGGGTCAACGCTTTGCAAGGGTAACTAAGACGCTGGGGCAATCCATCTGTACGCCGCCCCCCTCCCCCTCCTGGCCAGAAATTCTCTCAAAATTGTTACGCAGTATATGGCATACATTCATGGTTGCGCGGTATTCGTGATACGGGTGAATATGCCATACTCACCTGCGGTATATGGCATATTCCGCAGGTGAGTATGCGATATTCCGCAGTGAATATGCGATACATTGATTTCAGTGAATACCCGATACTCACCTGCAGAATATGTCATACTCACTTGCGGAATATGCCATATACTGCAGGTGAATATGACATATACCACAGGTGAAAACGTAATACAGAAAGCCTTGATTTGATTGGCTGCGAAAATCGACTCTAAATGTAAAACTACGCTGGATTACCAATATAGTCAGTGCGTCGAGAACTAATATATGAATCCTGGTTTGATTGAGAAAGTTTATTACGCGAGATTGGTGACTGATACTTCTGCTAAGTTAATATATTCGATACACAGTACTGTTGATTCAGTAATCATTATAATAATTTACAACGTTTTACTTGTTCGTTCAATCGATGTAATTGACAATTGCGTACTTCCGTATCGCGTTCTCATTGGTTAGTATGTATGCCATATACCGCAGGTGAATCTGTCATACACCGCAAGTGAATATGCCATATTCGTTGCGGAATATGACATATTTTTGTATCGTGTTTACCGCGTAACAAAAATCATGCAGTTTTTCACAATTCTGAGCACTTTTTAATTTTTGCCAAAACTGTCAAAAAGCTCCCTCCCCTCGGTAAAACGGCTCCCCTCGGTAAATCCTGGCTATTGGCCTGGTGAATATTGTTACGCGGTATATGGCATACATTCATGGTTGCGCGGTATTTGTGATACGGGTGAATACTCACCTGCGGTATATGGCATATTCCGCAGGTGAGTATGCGATATTCCGCAGTGAATATGCGATACATTGATTTCAGTGAATACCCGATACTCACCTGCGGAATATGTCATACTCACTTGCGGAATATGCCATATACCGCAGGTGAATATGACATATACCGCAGGTGAAAACGTGATACAGAAAGCCTTGATTTGATTGGTTTCGAGAATCGTCTCTAAATGCAAAACTACGCTGGATTACCAATATAGTTAGTGCGTCGAGTACTAATATATGAATCCTGGATTGATTGAGTAAGTTTATTACGCGAGATTGGTGACTGCTACTTCTGCTAAGTTAATATATTCGATACACAGTACTGTTGATTCAGTAATCATTATAATAATTTATAACGTTTTATTTGTTCGTTTAATCGATGCAATTGACAATTGCGTACTTCCGTATCACGTTCTCATTGGTTAGTGTGTATGCCATATACCGCAGGTGAATCTGTCATACACCGCAAGTGAATATGCCATATTCGTTGCGGAATATGACATATTTTTGTATCGTGTTTACCGCGTAACAAATATAACCTGTTGACACCGAAGGTAAAATTGCAAATCTCCAATTCTAAACACGAAACTAAAGCTGATAGGGTATCTGAAGTAGACTAAGTAGCGCTTGTTTTGTATGCGCGCACACATTACTGTTTTCAGCATATTTCAAATGAAATGACATCTGGATGTATTAGGTCTTTTTTATATTTAGAATTTTGTCCGCTGCTGACGAAGCAGTTTCAAATGTGAAACATATTTATTACATTTCATCTCTCAGAATACTTGTCATAATTTTAGAAGGAGCTTTGACACTCAAACGTTCGCTCCTCTAAAGTGTTTTTGCAAGTTATATATATATATTATAAATTTTAAATTCTTAATGTATTCACACAGCGGACAGCAATTTAAACATCATTTTTATAAAAAAAAATTAAAAAAGAAAAGCAATAGATCTTATTAATACCTCCAGGGTTATGCTGAAAGCATATGTAAATATTTTTGTATCATTACACGCGCATAGTGCCATTAAAAAGTTAAACGAGAATTGATAATTTTTAGAGTATGATTATACCCTTAATACGCCTAGCGTTATAGGACTTCAAGCAGAAGTAAAGGTTACAAGCAGATATATCCATTACATGAAGTAGGAAATTTTCGTATACCGAAACCAACGTGTGAGTTCAAAAATAAATTGTAATTTTATTAATAACTTTTTTATGGAGAATAGCATGCAAGCGGACAAATCTTTCAAACAGTGAAGCAGATTTTTGCCGGATTTTTGGCAAGATATAAAGATGGCAGCAGGATAATCCTAGTGATCCAATTATGAATAAACACAGTTCGATTACCATGCCATCTTTATCACTGTGTTTATTTAAAAATAATTTTAACATGTTTTAACACGCGGTCCTAACTTCGACCGTTAATTTGAATTTTTGACCTACCAGGTGCTTGAAAATCAAGGATTGCGAGTCTCATACTGCACCGTTCTTCTTCAAACTTATACCATTAAAAGCAGAACAAAATTGCCTTTCTGTAGGTGCATTACTTTATTGTAAAAAGTCCCTCGTTCTAGCAGCGTTTTGGTCCCCAGCTGTTAGAAGGCCTTCTTACAGCTGGGGACCAAAATGCCGCTGGAAGTAGGGACTCTGTTGAAGAGAATTATGTACCATCAGAAAGGAATTTGTGTTATGCTTTGAATGGAACAAGTTTGAAGAAAAACGGTGCAGTATGAGACTCGTAATTCTTGATTTTCAAACATCCGGTAGGTCAAAAAATACAAATTAACGGTCGAAGTTAGGACCGCGTGTTTAACAGATTAGGATTACCTAGGAAGTTTGGTTAAATCCCGGGGATCTAAGTAGGATATCCCAAAACCCTTTTTCAATACTAGTAGGAAGTCCTATTTAATTTAACCAATTCAAATCAGAAAAGCAACAGCTATTCCATGTGTTTATGAGGCACTTGTAAAAGAAACTGAACTTCCACTCCAGGTTACAAGCACTTACCCAAATGTTTGTCATTATAAAAATAAACTAAATTAAACGGTTTCATGATGAATTGGCCATATTTCACAAATGTGTAACCAATTTGTTGTGGACGCCGAACGAGGGCTCCGGCGCCGATTAGCGATGAAATAACAAAATGCAGTGGTTTATGTATCACTTTATTTCGAACACTACAAGTCACACTGCCGATATACTTAAGGTACAATTCAGTAAAGTAAAACAAAACAGTATTATGAAACAAGTGGATTTATTCAGAATCGATCCTTCTGGATGTACCAATATGCATCTTTTCTTTCGCTATGATCACAGGCCCAGGAAGAAGATTTAACCTCCCCCCCCAGTCACTGTACAATGTAAAAAAAATACAGGCCTGTCTTTTTTTAAGTAATATATAGTGAGTGGAAGGGGGTTGGACTCTTGTCCCCGTGCCTGTGGCTATGATAATTTAAAAATGATCATGGAAACAGAGTGGGTGAAGTATGATACATAGTACTCGATCTTATACATCTGAGTATCATTCCCGGGGTATCATTGGGGTGTTAAAACATACTAGGTGATTGCTGCATGCGCCCTGCATTTTCTTGCTTTGACTACATTTGTAACATGGCTGTCAGGAGATTTATTCCTTCATACACCAACCTTACAAGTAGTCAGGTTTTGAATACAGTCACTAAATTGGCTAAATTATAACCTGATAACAAGTTAAGAAAATAAAGTTTTTCTTTAAAAGTTCAAAAATTCAGTAAAAATTAAATTTTATCTCTTTAAATCTAAAACAAGGATGGCATGTCTTTGATTTGCTCAATTCAATAGATATTACTATCTTATTGAAAATATCAGTCTGAGGGAAATAGCTCTATGGCAAATAATAGTCTATAACAGTACTTTTTCAGATGTCAGGAAACATATAAGTATCACTTTCACAGCTAGAATTTCCACCAGTTTAGTTACAGCTTTACATAAGAACATACGTCCGGGATTGATATTTACAATAAGTCCATAGTCCATATTATCAAGTGAGTGCTCTACCAAGTGCGGTAGTATTTCAGCAGTACCACAGTTGGTACCATAAAAGTCCAACATACACCAATGGGACATCGAGAGGTAACGCATCACATGAGGAATGGGGTTCTAATGAGTTCAGTCTAGGTAAACACAGGGCCTTTCGCCTCTGAGGCCACGCACATTGTTCAATATTGGTTTACATGGGATTTCTAAATTTGGCATTTGGCCTGCTATGTTCAGTTTAAGATTGAAAATAGATATTTCAATTAAATAAAGTTGGCAGTGATAAGTATCAATGAAACTAGCAATGAGACTGATGTAGATATTGAAGCTGCGCCATCTGTAGATTCTTGAGTAGTGTTTTCAGCACTACCACTTGCATGATCGTGATCATGATCGTGGTCGTGAGAATTTCCTTCGTGATGATCGTGAGAATGGCTGTCGCATGTCTTATGAAACCAAGTGTGGTGCAAGTGTTGCAAATGACCATTGTCCTTTAGGGATTGTATGGCTTCATTGAAATGTAACACGTGTCGAGAGTTTTTGGGAAAGGCAAGAGCATATCGTCCGAAATTTCCACCTGGGAACTCTATCTCTGTCAGATCGCAAGGTTCCTGATGGGCGTAGTATTCAGCGGAAGGAGATTCTACAATAAATGCATAATTGCCTTGTCTGACTTTACGCAGACCGTCAGCAGTAGAACTGACGTAAGCATCATCGGAATTCAAACGCATCCATCTGGCTGCTTCCTGCACAGTTCTATCATCACTCGATTCTATGTATTTGTCGACACTGCCACCTCGGATAGAACCGTACTTAATACCGTCTTCTGCTTGGTTGACGAGGTCTGCAAATGTCTTGATATCTATTTCACCGTTGGATGGTTTCTTTATGAGAATTGCAAGGCCGAATTCCATGAATGGATCAGAAAAAACAACAGCATTTCCACGCATTGGTGTTACTGTCAGATCTGCAATAGCGATATCAGCATCCTGAAACAATCACATTTAATTATATTTAGTTAGTAGATCACTGGTTTATTTTATCTAGCTAGCTTGTATTTGCCAATGCAACTATCGGCTGCCGGCTACCAGGTTAACCCACCATTAGCCGGCACCCGAAAGTTGCAATCGCGAATACAAGCCCCGGGATACTAGCTAAATAATCAAATCAAAATTGGTCGTGTTGAGCTTTCACTTCGGAACTTGCCGATATTCTTTAAAGGCCCACTTTGCGTATTTTCAATGTTTTTGGGCAAAATAAAGACTTACATTTGAATTTCATAGTATATCCAATGTATTGATAAGAACCTGATCTTTCATTTGACACCAACAGCAGCTCAAACAAACCACATCAAAGCTTACAATAAATTATCAAAATATATTTTCTATCTGTCAATATTTAGTTAGTAGATCACTGGTTTATTTTATCTAGTAAGCTTGTATTTGCGAATGCAACTATCGGCAGTCGGCTACCAGGTTAACCTACTATTAGCCGGCATCCGAAAGCTGCATTCGCGAATACAAAACCTGGGGATACTAGCAAAGTAATCAAATTAAAATTGGTCGTGTGGAGCTTTCACTTCGGAACTTGCCGATTGTCTTTAAAGGCCCACTTTGCGTATTTTCAATGTTTTTTGGCAAAATAAAGACTTACATTTGAATTTCATAGTATATCCAATGTATTGATAAGAACCTGATCTTTCATTTGACACCAACAACAGCTCAAACGAACCACATCAAAGCTTACAATAAAAATTATCAAAATATATTTTCGATCTGTCAAGCTTTATGTATCAAGTTTTTATCAATGTCATTGAAAGATGGCGAAGTTTTTTGTTAACATGATTTTTATAGAAGTGTCGCCATCTTTTAAATCAACAGCAATATAAAACAAGCACTTTACTTAACATGTGCATGCACTTCTAATGATGAAATTCTTTATGCTATGTGAGTTATTTTTTAGAAAATAAAACTCTGTGTCATATTTGAGCGAGTGTGTGTGTAAAATGTTTCAAGGGTTATTTTTTTCCTTTATTCTTCTAAATTAAGTATAGATGGCCTTTAAGTTAATAATATCACAAAACAAGAAGATGTCAGCCTCCTAATCTTTTATTATTGTTATAAAGGTAAACTAAATATATTAAACAGCACAGACATCGTCAGGAATGTTCCTTTAACAAAAATGCCCATATTGTAGTCAAACAGACTGTCAAACGGGTGTTTAAATTCCGATGTGTGCTGCAAAATCTTATCTTTTTTTATGATCATAGAGCCTTACCTCATTGACGAGCTGCCCTATCAAACCATTCCAGCGGTCATTCTCTAGGTATCCATACTTGCCATCAGGAGACTCAGTGATGCTGTACCTAAATTCACCCATGACGTGTTGCAGCTCTTTGATTAAGTCAATGACGTATCCGGACTCCTTATTAGACACAACTGAGTAAAAGGGTTGACTCTATAAAAAATTTAATATAAACTACATGTGTATCAATTCGATTTCAATATTTAAGGATTTAAATGAAAAAGATACGAAATCACTAAAACAGCATATCTTCAGTGGAACTTGCAAGGGTAAAATTGGCAAAGCATCAATTTCAACATCAAGAATCAAGTTGTCACCTTGACAACCATTCAACGAATGACCTTGGGTGAGTTATTGGTTGTATAATACATTGCAAATTATATTAAATACTGTGTTCGGATTCGTGGCTAGAACTCTGGTTAAACTGCAGGTTAAACTGAGCCCAACAAGCCCTTGAAGTCTAACATGTAAGAAAAGAGGCTGAACAAGTGCATTGGGCTAAATACGGCAAACATTTTAGAAGAAGAAGCTGAATTTCACTCAGAAACCTATAGAAATGTATCTATTATCATTTGAATCATGATAGTTTGAATTCAAATTAAATTGTTAATCGAGGAGGAAACTGAATTCTTGAATCACACCTGCATGATTCACTCACATCTATTGTAGTTATCCTGAAGTTTTCATCCGAATGGTCGTGACCCTCGTGACCTTCATCATGATCTCCGTGATCATGCGCATGATCGTGATCGCCATGGTCACCGTGGTCTTGGGCTGAAATGCACATATGACGCTTTAATGGAATATTATTTAACCAAAGTTCAATACTCAAATAATCTATTTCAGACATGATCAAAATAAAGTGAATTCAAAATCAAGGAAAAAGTAGACACAAATGTAATGCCCGAACACGAAAAGGCACACTAATTGAAGCCCTACAAAATTTTTGTGACAAAATTTTACTTGGCACATCTGAGGATTCCCCCAAGATTCGCCAGTTTTAGGTATGTTAGTCTGAGGTTCCGTACATACTACTCAGACTTGGAAAACAATAGTAAATGTTCTGTTCACATTATTCGTAATGGGAAACCAGAAACAGACAAGTCGTAATTACTACCAGAAACTTAAAATCGAAACATGTTTTCAAACGGTGCCACGACCAGTGCACCTAGCCACCCACAATTTTTTTTTGTATTTGTATAAGGCGTACAAGACCTTCTGTTTAAATTAACCATGGAATAGCACCTGTGGAATAATAATATGGCGTTTCGCCAAATGTGGTCGCAAGTGTTGATTTTCAGATTAATTTTCAGATTAATTTCCCGCCCGAAAATTACAATATGAAAGTAAGGAATTTTAGAAATGTCATTTTTATTGGAAACACGTTTAGTACGTTTTTATTCCAATTGGCAATAAAATATTTTTGAGACACATGCCACTCAGTTAGTATGCCATGTCTCAACTTTGTTTTGGTAAATGTCTCATGTTTCTTATTCCAGATCTTCTCGTAGTTTGATTCTGTATTCTATGTATATAAAGGCATAAATCATTTGACAGTCCAACGTACATCGACCAGAAAGAAAGATGAGCAACTCCCCGGGCACTTACAATATGTTTCTTTAACATGTAACACTCGTATTTGGTCTTATTTCATGTATTTAAGTATGAGATAGCAGTGAACACAATATGCCATCTTTTTATCCGTTGCTTCTAACATTCCATGATGAACCCTGAATTTAAACTGTCGAGTTATTTGGATATATTTGAACCACCCTCTTTTAGTCGAGAATGTATGAAATGCCTGGTGGATCAAGATAAACAAACCAGCAAGTTTCAGAAAATGAACTTCAGGATTTTGAGGTATTTCTTCATCAGGTTAAAATTAGGTAATTTGAGATACTCAGGAGTGGTATTCAGTCCTTCTATAAATCTTATGTGTCAATTTTTAACGCAATATTATGTGTGTTTATTTGGAGAATTCCAAATTGGGATTCTATGAGAAATAGCATGTGTTGCCCTACTTATTACATGAGCATGCGTCTTTAAGTCACCACCACAAGTGGTGTTAACATAAACATTGATTGCTTCAATGGAAAAAATAGATTATTCTGACACGAATTACAAACAAATATTGAGATCAAGGTATTGTTTAACAACTGCGCATTCTCAAAACAGAAGTGGTGACATATTGTTAGTCTCTTTTTATGTGAATGGTGTTTGTCGGTCCGACGGTTCGTGTTCGGTCGTCGGCATCTGTACAAATTCTTACAACTTCCAATAAATTAACAGGTCTATGTAATGTTGATAATGCCCTTCCATGGGGAATCACAAGACCCATGGTCCTCAAATGTTCACGTTATTGAGTCGTTGAGAGGTCTGGTTACGTTCTTGCTGAGTATGCCGTGGTTTCATGTTAATTTGTTCCGTCCCCCCATACACGCCGAGAAAACCCTTTAGCTGTGTCAGGCTTTTGTTTCTGTATTTAGTTCATATACAGATTTGTATGCTGCTTCTGATGATTACAAGAACTTTATTTGTTTGCTGACTGACTGTTATGCATTATGATATGAATTGTGTACTTGCTCCTAGACACAACATATCGGTTTGGCCTTGTAGAAGGATTCGCTAGGAACATCTGAACTGACAGAGATCTAGTGAGACCGTGAAGGAGCATATAAAAAACAAACATCTTGATGAACCATGTCATCTCAGTTCTTCCCAGGCTTGAGATGCCATGACATACATGAAATGAGCTACAGTTGGCGATCTTAGAGCATCATTGGCTAAAGATTACATCCATGAGCTGCTATGAAAGCAGTGAAGGACCAACCTTAATTGAAGGATGATCTGAGAACCCTGATTTTAAGATTTTTTGGATCTCCCATCTCAGTTTATACTACATTGGATTAGGGTCATAAAACTTTTGAGATTGTATCAGCTGGGTTTATATCTAATGATAGTGACAACATAATACAATACATTCTAATGTAGAGACATTACTAGCCATGAATATATGATATTCACACATAGCTAGTCAAGGGCATGTGTGTCCAATTCCAGCCAATCAGAACAAGCTATTTCTCGTAACTGCATTCCTAGAAATTCAGAAAAAATCCAGGGGGTTTCACTTTGACAAATTAAACTTGTTCCAAAATCACTGAAAAATGCTAAAAATTGTGGAAACTACATGATTTTGAAAGAATTTTTGGCTAGAGGGAGAGGCACCCGAACCTTTCTCACTTATCGACAGGTGACTTTTCCCGTCAGATTCACTAGGATCAAACATCTTATTTCAATCAGAGCATTCTGAGTGAAACAAAATTATGTGTTGAGTTTCAGAATGAGAAACAGTGAAAATGTCCGACAAGACACTGACTAGACTTTCAGTGTGCATTCGTTATTCAAACTGACGGTCCCGTCAGATGAAATAATGATTACCCAATTAGTATTTGAATAGCTTTTATTGCCCTCTGCTGAGAAGTCTGATAGCCACAATCTACAGAGTGAGGGTCGACTTTTGACTCAACTATCAATCTTATATGTTTACCTAATCTTCAAATGACCATCATTCATAATATCAATAGGCTATTCTGGACCTTATTGCTTTAATAGCTTTATTGCATGATAACCATCTCAAACTAACACCAAATGACAGCATGTGCGCTGGAAACCTCATAAAACAGATTGTATGACATTAAATCACCGATAGGTGGAATATTTTCAAGCGAATACACACTCAGTTGACCCCTAAAAGCTGGTACATTGAGGAAATCAACCAAATGACCCTTATGAACTCCGTTAATGGGCAAATTAGCACTTTAGCAGATTCACATTTGTTACGCTAACGGAGAGACGTGTAATTTAGATCCTCATTATGGTTCGGAATGTCACATTTATCAATTTTTGATGACAGTGATAGCGATAATTTAGACTTTTGACTCTTTTACGATATTTACAAAACATGGTCAATCTCTGCTGCGTCCTCTGGAATAAATGAAAAAATGTAAAAGACACCCTGCACCAAGCTCCATATTAATTAAAATAAACTGGAACTTGCTTGCCTCCATGAAAAGAATAGTTGTAGATTATTCTGACGCGACTTACAAACAATTGGTAGCGAAATAGGAACAACTGCGCATTCTCAAAACATATTCAACAAACATATTTGAAAAAAGCTTGCCATGTGTTAACGTACATGGAACGATTAGTTCCAATGATAAATGATAACTCAACATACATTTCCCCAAAACTGTTGTGTTTATTCAATGGCCTAGAAACTTGTTTACACTGTACGTACGTTACGGCTTTGGAACGTCTATTAACCAATCCCTCTCTTGTTGTTTATCATGTATAGTCTAGTATTAGTCCTAGAAAGAGACCCAGAAAGACATTAAATTTTCTGATTTCTTCTCTGGCTAAAATTAATGAGGTTGTCACCTAATCTTAAACAATTGATGTTTAATTGCTTTGATTTTGAAATTCAAGCCTACTGAGAAGTGAGAAGTGTGTGTAGAAGCTTTCAATCTCTAAGCATGATTCTCAACCCCAGGTTCTCAACTCTAAATTTCCATTCTAACCATCTTATAAGAAGTTGAGGATTTTTAATCTGAGATTTGATGACATAGTGCTTAGAATCATTGGGTATTATTATCATTATCTGAAATGAGTTCAAATAAAGAAAATCTGGGAGCTTGTTCTAATAGGGATGGGGGGGGGGGGGGGGGTTCTTGCAAGATACTTCAAACGCGCCGATTATACAGTTTGGGCCAAAACATATTTATATTGAGGCTATCAGCATTGTGTCGCTTATCTTCAGCATCTGGTTAATTTATTGATGTTACGTGTTTTATAACATTTTGTCATTACATTCTCACCATTATACCACAAAGTCCCCTAAGCTTTTGTTAATTCAAGATATGTTTTCAATATTTCGGAAATGTTGATATGAAATAAGATGACTGCTTTCAAAACTGAGTGACATTACAAGTCGCAACACAACCCCTTTGTTCACTAGCAAAATGCATCCCTATTGTGCATTGTTATCACTGGTCAGTATCACTGAAAAGTGAAGACGGTCGTTGCCTGGAATTTGAGAATCAACATCAACCAATGCATGTGCATCATACGTTTCGTTTTTTGAACGTTGAATTATATATCCAGTGGTATATATCAATACAAGAATGTAGGCCTATCATATAGATTGGTTTAAGGGAGTCGTTCTCAAGTCGAATTTTTGTTTTGAATTTGAAGACCTAATTTTGCCAAAAATAAAACATGTTTCCTGGTTATGCTGACCCATTCTTCTCGACTCACTCACTCATCTTCCCATTAAAATGCCACTCGTCGGCTTCGTCTGGATTAATAAATAAAGAAATGTTTTTGTAAACTTTCGATCTAGTTTTATCCGGGCATCATAGTTATTCCACTGTCTGGTTCCCCCCACGTCCGACACAAATCTCCGTCGAGTTATCTGAGCTATCTTGACAGAATAATTCAATGTTTAATTAATTTAAAAAATCTAATTACTTACCGCATACAAGGCCGATCAAAAGGAGAAGGAGGGCGCAGATATTCATCTCTTAGTTCTTCCAATACGTTCCACGTGCCCTTTTAAAGTACCTTATCCAAACAGCGTGCAAAGAGTAAGCGTGTACAACTGGAGTTGAAAAATCTGCATCCAATTTCTTCAAGCCCTTCAACAGAGGTAATGAAACACTAACCAAGAGCCTCTTCGGCGAGGAATCAGATTTGAATTCGTCATGCGTTTGGTACATCAGCGGGTCACGTGGTTGCTTAGTTTGGATTGTTTACTATGGAGCACCACATTTGTTTCATATCATATTACAGTACGAATCCCAACCGTCATTTTTCGAACTACTGGCAGACCCCCGATATACAGTCCTACACTATATGCCCTATATGCGAATGCACAGGCTAACATGGGAGAAGGTGGGATGTCCCCTCCTTTTTTGGTTGTTTTTGTGAATGATTCTAATGTTGGACTTTTATATGGGGCTAATCTTCGGCCGCTCTCTGAAAAACATTGATAATGTATAGATTAAAAAATAAAAATTGGAAATAGGAGCTTCTAAGAAGAAGCTTCAATAAAAACATAATTACAGGGTGGTCAAAAAACGGCAACTCCAGTATTCCTAATATCTTTGTCATTCTAAGAAATAACTCCCTGATATTTTACACATTTGTACATCATTCAATTTCCTACCAACCTACCATATTTCATATGACCAACGGACTGGTTGTCACAATATTACTGCATTTTAAGCAACACGCCCCAGATGGCCACTTTCGGGCTGTCTGAGATGGTTGTAATGCAAATGAACTCCATTTCTAACTTGATGCACTGGTAAACTCTAACAATTATGTATTCTTGGGGAGCCAAGCACTTTATGAAGTAGTGGAGAGGCACCTTCACATAGACAGATGCACAGATTAGTGTGTTCTCAGAAGATAGGGTCCTTTACCTTTGATGATGCCAACGGATATGCAATAACTGTCAACATCAAACTCTATTTTGTGATTCCCATTGAGTTCTTGGGGACTCACGGTGAGTCCAGGGGGGTTGAAAGGCAGCAGCAATGGTTCCAACAAGACAGAACCATACCCCATACACCCAATGATGCACAATAATGGCTTTGGGACCACTTCGATGACCACATTATCAGCAGTACAACAGACAATGAATGGGCATCCCATAGCCCAGATATTAATGCATTTAATCTTTACCAGTGGGGAAACCTCAAAGATCACTCTTATAAATTATTACTTGGATTTCCTTATATTGAGAAATTGTACTACTCATTTTAAGTCAAAAATTACTTAAATAATCTTGAACTACTGAATAATTTTTAAGTAATTTTTAAGTAATTCATTTATGGTGAATTTACTAATGCAAGGAGAGAAATTGAAATACTTACTGTAGTAATTGTAATACTCAAAATATAACAATATGACAATATAAGTTAAACCTAAGTAAAATGAAGTAAAACTAAGTATTTAACTTTAAGTAATTTTTATACTTGGGAAATACTTGGGAAATACTCAAGTAATTCATTTTTAAGAGTGATAGAGTGTAGGGTAATAACACTAGAAAAACATTTGACCTCAAAATAAAGATCACATGTGTTGTTCAGGCCATACTTGCTGAGGAATGCAGTTATGTCATTGACAGGTTTGGAAAACATGTGCAGGTTTGCCTATAGCACGAAATTGGAAAACTGGGGCACCTTGTTTAAAGTGCTGTAACATTGCAACTATCAGTCCAATGTTCATGAAATAAAACAGTCTAGTATGAAATTGAATGATGTACATGTGTGCCAAATTTCTAGAAATGACAAAGATATGAGGAAAAATTAGGGTTGCCGTTTTTTTACCACCCTGTACATAAGGAAGACACAAAAATCAACATTACAAAATGGACGACGTTGAACTGAAACTTTGAAAACCTAATGACCAAAAACTAATTCATGCGATCACAAATCAAAATATCTTAATAGCCGATTCTGATTTGTTCATTAAAAGTCAACATTTGACCGCTGTTGTACGGTTGACCGCTATTAACGTCAATAGGCATTGCTTTGGGATCCCCTTAAAGGCTCTTAAATTTTGCCTCAACTAGTGGGCCTTTTTGGGCATTATTTTAATTTTTGACTAAATGTGCCTTAAATTAAAAAATTTGGGCCCAATTTTTGGTTTCAGGAAGGAATAAGGAATGATTCTTTACAGATACGAAATTTGCCACCCACTCCCCTTAGCTTCCAGATCCTAACATATCAGCTGATCTAGAAATTCGGGCTCAGGATCAACAGTCTCAGCATACACTTTTAACCAAAGCTACCATACTGATGATAAATAAAGCTACCATTCTGATGATAACTAAAGCTATCATACTGATGATGACCAAAGCTACTGATGATTACCAAAACGACTATTCTGATGATAACCAAAGCTACTATACTGATGATATTCAAAACTATATAATGATGATAACCAAAGGTACCATACTGATGATGACCAAAGCTACTGATGATTACCAAAACGACTATTCTGATGATAACCAAAGCTACTATACTGATGATATTCAAAACTATATATTGATGATAACCAAAGCTACCATACTGATGATAACCAAAGCTACTATACTGATGATATTCAAAACTATATACTGATGATAACCAAAGCTACCATACTGATGATAACCAAAGCTACCATTCTGATGATAACCAAAGCTACCATTCTGATGATAACCAAAGCTACTATACTGATGATATTCAAAACTATATACTGATGATAACTGATGATAACCAAAGCTACAATTCTGATGATAACCAAAGCTATCATACCAATGATAACCAAAGCTACCATTCTAAGACTACTATAATACTGATTACCAAATCCAACACATAGTCACTGTTCCACAGCTGGATGACTATAACTGCAGTTACAGCCTCATTCAAAATGGTTGCCGAAATTTTTTCGGTTTCGATCCTCCGATTTCAGCTAAACTTGTTGCCAAAGTTGAATCTGGATTCCAAATGTTTACCCTAAAGCTGCGATGGTAAATAACCACACATAGATGCTCAAACAACCGAGATATAGGAGTATTTTAAAGAAAATTGCTTCACTTAAAACTCTAACTGACGTTATTGATGACGTAATGATGACGTAGATCATCAACTTCTATTAGAGTCATTCTAAGTGAAGCTATTTTCTTTAAATTCTCTAATATTGCGGGTGTTTGGGCATTCATTTTTTGGTTGAATACAATCGTAGTTTCACTAATTTGCATGGTGAAAGTTTTGAAATCAAGATTCAACTTAGTTTAGCTGAAATCGGAGGTTTATCGAAAACGAAAGAATTTCAGCAACCATCTTGAATGAAGCTAACTGCAGTTTGAGGGCCAGCTGTGGAGTGATAGTAAAGTAACCAAAGCTACCATATTTCTGTCATACTGCGATCACGGAAAATATTTATATAAGAGCAAAACCACCATTCTGTTGACAAAGCGACTGATTTCACTGATTATGACTTCGATCTGAAGATGTATCAAGAAGGCTATCAAAGATTTCACAGCAGTGAACACAACAATCATTATGCGACAGATTTATAGAAAGAGAGAGAAAGAACAGAGTTACAGTAACTCCACTAGTGTGTTGACATTTTCTTTTTAAGCGCTCTGCAAATACTCTTTTAATTGTCAAAAAGCGTGTTTGGTAAACAATAATGAAGAAATCGACAATAGTGTATGATTGTGCTAGATTTTTCTTCTATCAACAATAATAGCGATATTGGATGCCAAATTCAATATAAGGTATTGAATCAGTTTTAGGACTGCAAAATTAAGCAACAGTACCATTTAGAATAGTAAAGTGTACATAGGAACAAAGCTAAATATTTGTTAAGACTATGGGAATGCTACAAGACATAGGGACGAACATGGCTTAACCAAATATGTACCTGGGCAAGGTATTCAGATTTGTAAATAGAGATGGATTCAAATTCAGCCATTGATCTAATCTAATTTTTGTAGAAGGTGCTGTGAACAAGAACCACCCAGGTCATCATGAACAAACAGACAATGAGTTGGCACAAACAGTAAATTGGCTGAAGTTTGTCCAGCAAAGGCGAGTGATCAGACATAACATGAAAAAACATGGATACATAATTAAATAGTACGGTTGTCATCGTGTCATAAATGATGCATACAGCACGCGCAGATACAGAAGAAGATATCCCAAAAGGGAAAAAGACTCCAATGAGTTACTACTATTTGTTAGGAAATGATTATCAAAATTGTAGTGATCACGAAGTTCGTCCCATGGGTCTTATGAGGGGACTCGCAGAGAATACGTCTGCCCATGGAATTACAGAGATCTATTACTCCAAAGGTATGTATTCAAAAAAACGATTATCCATACCTATTGGATTTTGTCATCATTTATTTATTGAATGGCAGCAGATCACAACCTCCGGGATCAACCCAAATATTGTGTACATCTCAAATTCATTCTAGTGATGATTGTTCAACCCTCCGCCCCTAGTCCATTTCCATCAAACTCGAATACAATTTTCTGAGTAATGTATCTCACATTTTAGGATTTTTCAAGATAACGTGTTGGGTGTTATTGACACTAGCAGCAATAGCAGTGATGATTCTTCACATGACAACCCTGTTCATAGACTTCTATAGCTATGAGACAACCATGAGCATCTCTGTTCAGAACAAGCGTAGTCTCCCTTTTCCCGCCGTCACCATTTGTAATGTTAACCCCATCAGGGCCTCAAGACTCAGCCAGAGCACTATACTTCAGAGTACTATTGATGGGAGGGACAACATAACAGGAGCTACACGTAAGATATTCTCCTTCGTCTTAATTTCCTGGTGCATTCCGATCTATTTTCATATTCTTATTCTAAGTTTTATTGGTTAACCATGATTGAACGCAGGAATATTGTTTGTTTTTTTTCTCTCATGGTCCTACATTGGCTGAAATTATGTTAAAATTGTTGTTGAGCATGGGTGTCTATATAATCGTCAATAAACGTCCATATTGCAGGCGATGACAAACAGACTGGGCTGGGAGCCATGTCCAATGAATTCTTAATTGAAGAACTAATAGAAGAAACAATCGCAGATATTGACACCGACACCAAAATTGCAATGGGCCACCAGTATAGTGACTTTATTCTTGACTGCCAATATGATGGATACTATTGTGACGAAGGGTATGTGACATCATACGAAATAAGACTCGAACAGGAAAAAATCATGTTTGTCGGCCGTCTCTGGATAATTGTGGCCTCAGCATTGCTGCCAAGCATTTGAGCCAGGCCACAGGAAAAGGGGTCTTATCAAAGATTTTTCAATATTTTGTTTATCTTAAAAAGCACAAAAAGACCTTTCAAATGAGCCATGACTTATGTCTTAACGATTTTTCCTTGCATATACATGTATATATATCTACCAAAAAGTCTTATTTTAATTTAGCACATTTTCCTCTTAATCTTGGGCACATTTTTGGCTCTGTAGCACAATTTTAATTTTTGTGATAAGACCGGTTTTCCTATGGCCAGGCTCACTTTTTTAGTCCACTTCTACTTTCTATCGTCCACTCTTTGAAAGGTAAATCCTAATAAAATGGTCATTCCGACGAGAGTGATATTATTGGTTCATTAGTTCACATCAAGAGAAATCATGGCATTCTAATAGCTTCTCTCTAGAAGATATTATAATTTCTTATTTCAAGTCGAAGGCAGAACGATGTGATGAGTATTAGACCGATTGGTTCATAGTCTTGGGTAAATTTACTATTGATCAACATTATTCGAGGTTTAGACTAGACTTTGTTAAAGCCCTCTCCCGATGAAGGTTCACGCCATGCATAGCCATAAGCTGAGGCCCGGGTGTACTGTCATTTATAAAAATATCGGTCTTATTTTTATTCATTAAGCTTATAAAACATCAGTCTTATTCTTATACATGTAAGCAATCTAAGTAAAAGTATAATATACGTACATGTATACACCACGCATTAACAACTCAGTACACTAGCGGACTTTTTAAACATTTTTAACGTATTCCTGGGCCTCAGGCCATACGCATGATATATTTGTTCGATTCAAATTGTTGGCCCTAACACCCCAGTCACATTTCCTACGACGACCGTGCGGTCTATCATTTCTGCGGTCAGTAGCATTTCGTACGCTCGCCGTAGAATTTCTGCGGTCAGATACTTTTGCAGTCACATTTCCTACGGCAGCCACACGGCGAGTTTTTGAATTTCTGTTGATTGACGTTAATTCTTCTTTTTATTTTACCTACATCAGTACAATTTATAAATATTGCTTGTAGTGTTAGGATATAGTATCGAATAAAAGTGCAAGTGAAATATAAGTTGCTGTGGTATCAGTGACTTTACATCAAACAGTATACGTATTGTGTTGTGTTAACAGCAAATATATGACCGAAACTGATATAAAAACTGTTTCCTGAAAGGTACATTGCCCATCAAACCCTACAGTCGACGAAAGTCAACGGCAAAACCGACGTGCGGCCATCGTTGGACCTTTCTGCGGTCTGACAACGGCCTTTTGATTTCTACGGGGACCGCAAAAATGAACAAATATCATAATTCCGAGTTATAATTTCTACGGCTACATTGCGGCCTGTAAAATCTGGATACGCCGTACGGAGCCCGCAAGGCGAGCGTAGTTTCTCTACGCTCGCCGCAGAAATTCACTGATTTAATTGATCTGCGGTCGACGCACGGCCTCCGTACGACAAATGTGACTGGGGTGTTACTGTTCAGTGGTGCGATTTTCAGAGAGAATGGGTTCAGTCGGGTTTGTGGCCATTACTTACGTGAAATTGAATTTTTGATTTTCTTTTCAGAGAATTTCTTGCGTTTTATAATTACAAGTATGGAAACTGCTTCACATTCAACTCTGGTTCTAACAGCGACGTATTTCTATCTGGACGCGCAGGCCCATTGCATGGTAAGTGGCTAACGTTCAATATGTACGTTATTTTCCATCAATTGGTTTGTTATTCAACAGTCCCTGCTTTTTTCAACTTAGGGTACATCTGAATTCTTGAGACCATTTGTTTAATAGGTAAACACAACTACATATTCATAACGTGTCTCTTTGAGTGCTACATGTGTATCTAATCTCCTTGAGTATAGACTGAGCCAATATTGATGTAACTTTTCCCAGAACGAATAAAGTTTTCCCGAAGACCACGGTCAACAAGTGGAATAAATACCATTAATTGGATTTTGATTTTTGTAGACAGTATCAGTTTCTTATAATCGAGGACGCAAAGAAGGCTATATCTCCCCTAGTACATTTAATTAGTTAAACAACTTTTGACAAGGCGTGGAGAAACGAGATCTTTGATTTTTTTTATAAAACTGCAAAATTCCCTGCAAAAATCTTGGGATTACAGTATCCATTTACTTTTAGGGTTGAAACTTGTACTAGATATAGAAGCTGCTGAATATATCGGAGATATGAGTCCAGCGTATGGTGTCCGGGTACTTGTACACAGTCAAGGGGACATGCCCTTCCCAGAGGACCAAGGTATCACTATTGGTCCTGGTCAAGCAACGGTTATAGGAACTAATATGGTACGAACTACTTCCTTTTAGAGTTTACAATAACAAACAGAATTTACCAAATAGGCGGATTACACCAAACCACACCATATCCACTTTCATAATGTTGAGATCCGTTTCATTAATCCGTTTAGTTTTTTGCTCAATTAGTACTTAGTGGCAGTAGTGGCCACTAGCTGATGTGTACTCTACGGAGATAAAATAAATTGAGTTTTAAATTGTATATATTTTTGGTGTGTTTAGTTAAACATCCAGCTGGCTGGTGATAAGTACAGCGACTGTACAAACTCCAGTTTCTCTAACGTGAATATAAATGTATATGAAGAGCATTACCCAGGAACAAGCTATACTCAAACCGTAAGTAATGAGTAAAATGACAACAAAACGGACCATTTGAATCTGCGGTACTATATTGTACCATATTTCACGGTACTGTACCATATGGGGTCACCATTTGGCTTGTTTTTGGTACAGTGAACACTGTTAGACTTCTTGTGTACTATTGATGTATTAATCCTTTTTGAACAACCCCAATAATACATTTTTACTTCCGATGGGGCGAGTGGTTAAAATACGTTTACGTTAAATTTAGGTTAACAATGATTTAAAAGCAGATCTACGGGGAATGGTAAAATTGCAAGCAATCTGTACAGTTGACCTACCAATATATTTCTACAATCTCAAATATGATATCTCCTCAAAGATTCACGATATGTTATAAATTGGTGATTCAAAATGCCAAAATGGGAAAAATGTGTAAATTCTCCCTAATGATACAGGGTGAGCCAAAAAAGGTAACCCAAACAAATGTTAATAACTTAGTCTTTCAGCATGGGTTTAAAATCATAGTTTGCACCATTAAATCTTCTTCAATGGTCTTAAGAGTACCAAGTTTCATTGGTCTATTCAAAATTGTCACGATTCTATGGCCATTACAAAACAAGTTCAAAATGCCGGTCTCGCCTCTGGAGGCAAACTTGAAGGCATCGGGTGAAGTCTTTTGATTACCCGCTCACAGATATCTTGTGTAATGGCTCTTGTTTTCCCTTCTTATCTCTTAATTTAACTCTATGAGTGATGCTTCAAGGGTAGTTAATACAGAGATTATCTTTGACATTGCCCAAACGATGAAATTCTTTAGGTTCATATCGGCTGATTTTGTAATGTTTCGGCATTGGGAAACTCAGCAGAATGAAGGAAGATTGAACAAGGGTCAATTGTGCCAAATATTATTTCAAACTCATGCTGGATGACTAAGTTATTAACCTGTGAACATATGTTTTGGTTACCTTTTTGGATATCACGCTGTAAAAAATGGTAACCATATTTATAGAAAAACTTAGCATTATCGTAAAAATCGTTAGTTTTCCTTTTTATCCCTTACGTTCGTTTATTTACGTTGTAGGCATGCATGAAGACTTGTTATCAGTCACACTTACTATCGGGGTGTCAATGTGGCGACCCAAGCGTTCCCCTGGATGGGAAAGCTTTCCCGTCAGCATTCCACACCGAACCTGCAACCTCGTGCAACTCGGATAACCAGGCACAAGGTAAGTGGGTAATTAGCATTAATCACAACGAAGTTTCTTTCATACAAAGGGCCATTGTATCTGATTCTACTGTTTTCATACATATGTATCTAGACAAGATGTGTCAACTCCTTGAAAAATATTCTTTGAAGTAATTTCGCATCGAATAAAAATGTATGAAATGAATTTGAATTTGACTTGAATGCATTGTGGTTGATTCATTCCGCCCAGGCGTTGCTTTCTAAATTCTTGCTGCACAGCCATGCAAATATATTTGAAAACAATACCTTAGTTAAATGTTTCAACAACACTGCGTTGAGTCAAGGGCTTTAATCCTTATAAACATTTTATTATGATGTATCAATGATTCTTAAGAGTGACAAAGATAAATACCTTCTTAGTGTTCCATGTAGCCGTCAGAGGCCTAGTATAATGAGAAAATGATATCCTCTGTTTTCCCAGCTATATGTATGATGCGACATCTATTCAAACATTAATTGACAAATCTGGGGATATCATCGTTTCCCCAAATTGAAAAATGAGTGACTTTTGATGAAAAAAGTAATTTGTAATGATCTAAGTGTTACCTCAAATTTGGGAGCAATAAGGCATATACATTATTCTTTATTTGTTTATTTAGTTACATGTGAAGAGAATACATATGCATCGTACGTCAATGGATCGTTAAGCTGTACGTGTTATCCCGAATGCAATCAGACCACCTTCGAAGCTCACGTGTCGTCGACGTTATGGCCAACCGACCAATATATCTCTCGACTCATACAGGACCTCAGTCCTAAGTTAAACCAATACACAAACGATAGCGCTGGATTGAGGAAGAATGTTGCACATTTGCAAGTTTATTATGAGGAACTAAACTTGCAAATGATCCAAGAGCAACCTTCATATTCGGTAAATTGTCACATCAATTAGTATTTTAAAGAATCAATTGGCTGTTTTCATGGAAGGGATAGTTTTGTTTAAATAACGTTTTCATTGCATGGAACTAGCAAACTATGTCACAATTTTGTTGCAATTCAATTATACTATTACTGACTTGGAGTTAAAGCACCAGTTAAAATGAGTTTTTAGTAAAAACCTCACACAAGCTCAAAAAGCTGTAATAAGACAGTGGTTCATTTACAACTTCGACTAATAGAAATTAAGCTTGATCCAAAATACTTTTTATATTACAAAACACTTTAACGATTCCTTTGTTGCATATGAGCTGAAAAGTCATTCTTCGGAAGTTTATGATCGTTGGATGTCATCAAGTGATAGTATTAGAGAGATTGTTTGTACTGAACATTAAATTCCTGTTCCCTTTTCAGACGGTTCAGTTTGCGTCAGACGTAGGGGGAACAGTAGGACTTTATGTAGGAGCATCATTACTGACTGCATTTGAATTCGGAGAATTCTTTTTAGACTTATTAGTTTATTTCATAAGGAAACCATTCCATAAAAACAAAGTGAGCGAAGTTAAAATGGAGCAGACGAAATCGAACGTCCAGTTTAGCTGAGATGCAGCGTGATATGTGTGGATCACATTGGAGGCGCAGGTGCGTTTGAAGAAGGGCAAAACGTGCGAGAATAGATTAAACGTTGTGCATTGCCAGAAGCAGTTTTACGCTGGAGAGGAGTATTTTTGGCCAGTTTACTGTTTACGAAAAAACAATAAACACCATATTATAGTGCATATTGATTAAAAAAACACCCGAATAAGATCGCTAAATACTTTTATGAAAGGTATTCAATACATAAACATTTATGTGGACCCCAAAGTTCTCTGGCATATCCAAGTATTTCGACTCTTGACTAGAGTATTCCAATATTTTACTTAATATACTCGATAGATGTCTACTTTGTAAATACTCCTCTCCATTGTTGCCGTATTAAATTGGCAGCACAATCCCTATCCGTTGCATTCGTTCGACTTCAAAGACAGCTTCCTCGCAGATGACGACTTATATCATAGTCAATAGCCTAGTCTCTTATTTTCACTATAAAAATACATATCGTCGCATGAGAATAACTTTGTACTATCTCACATTTTTACGCAACTGAGAAATCAAGGTTTGAAAGTTTAGAGGTCTGTATCTTACTTAGTATTGCTATGTGAAACTTGATTTTTTGTATGTCACCTGGTCTCACCCTAGAGATATCTTATATGAAATGTCATACCTTGAAACAATTTACAAGATCCTTTTTTAAAACTATGGAAATGGAGTTGATACAATTTCCCACTGGAATAACAGCTTATTTCTAATTTCAAATTGTCATATCTGATATCAACTGTTTCAACCAATCAGCTCTCTAAGAATTGGTCATGTGACTTGCAAAACTTGGAGTTGTAACAATCTTATATTAAAACGAAGTATGCCAATATGCATGTTATTGTATCTAGTATGAAAAATAATGTTTTGCTTTGTAAAAAAATCTTCAAAAAAACAAAGAATATTATTTAATAAAATAAAGAAAATTCAATTTATAAAACTTTAAAATCAATTTCTCAAATAAGTACAATTATTTCTTAATTTTGGAATCTCAGGACACCCTTCAAAAAGAATTTATTGCCTTTGAAACTAAGGCAAAAGTACAATGCCTTGAAACCAATGATGCCAATACGGTCCCCCACATATTTCCCTCGGTATAAACCCTGTAGCCTAAACCTCCCACCACATTACAATGTAGGCCCTAAGGGCCGGTCCGCTGGTCATTATCAGGTTATTTTTGATACAGACCAGTTGAATCTTTCACTGGGTATAGGAGAATAACATTGCAACTGGTCCGTAATTCCATTTTGACCAGCATAGGTTTCAGATCCTTAGGGCCTAAGACATAACCAATTTTTATTACATGCACATGGAAGAAATTTGAAAATAGAAAAATAATTTCTAATTAATGTTAGATTAATGAAAGTGATGAAACCTCGATTTAGGTAATAATATTTTGTTCATTGGGATGCAGCTATCATTATCCATTCATTTTCTGTTGTTTGCTACTCTGTGGAGTACAATTGGGAATTCTCTCAGCAATTGTAGAAGTGGAGACTAAGAGTGGCTCTTTGTAAAGAAATTGAACCAATTTGTTACTTTTCCAAAGTAAAATGTAGATGATCTAAAAACAATGATCCCAAAAAATGCAAAAGAAAGGACAAATCTGAAAAACATACTAGTAAATAACTAAAAAGATCCCAGATGTTCAGTGAAAATTCCAAAGTAAATCATAGATGAAGAGAAAATAAAATAAGTGTTTTAAGGGACTATACTAACATAAAGATAACTCCTTATTGATATAGTGTATGGTCAGTAAAAGTTAAAGCTAGTTTAAATAGATTTAGCTTTTTTTCCACAAACTATAAAACATCATTTTGAAAGAGATTTCAATAGTATACAGACAGTGATTGCCTTTGAGCGATGTAGTGCAAAATATGACAGTTACTATTTGTTTTGATTACTATATCTAGTATATAACCTATTATAGTTCTATTTGAAGAAACAAATAAGTAGTCTTTCATTTTCAACATTTAATGATGACTGCTTCGTATATATGCATTTCTATTGCATTTGGCCATTCAAACCCCTATAAGACCTGGTAGCAAGGAAGATAAAGGGTACTTTTGACTGCTCACATGATCTAATTAACTGGTCATTTGTACTTTTCATCTTCCCTGGTAGCAAGGATTTAGGTTTTCGAGGAAATTAGTAATTCTATTTCATATCATGTGGCCATGAATATCAATAATCCAATGAGCATCCATAATACAAAGAGTAATTGAGGGCATATAATTTGAATATGCATGGGATTACACATACTGTATCATTTTATTTTTTGATCTACTTGTAATAGTTCTAAAACTAAAACATGAAAGGCCAGGCATGCAAACTGTCTTGGTTTTGTGTTACAAAACATTATTTCATTCTAGATACAATAACATGCATATTGGCATACTTCGTTTTAATATAAGATTGTTATAACTCCAAGTTTTGCAAGTCACATGACCAATTCTTAGAGAGTTGATTGGTTGAAACAGTTGATATCAGATATGACAATTTGAAATTAGAAATAAGCTGTTTGTCTGGAGATGGTACAATTTCACACTGAATTCTAGCTTAATGAGGGGGAATTGAGATGGGGCATGTATCTGAGATGAAAGCCTGTGTTTCAAATAGTAAAATTCCATGTCTATCTCAATTTTTTGGAAAATGGCAGTTAGTACAAAGTTATTCTCACGCGACGATATTTACATGCATATGTATAGTACCAGCTAATAAGACGAAAATATATACATTATATTTGGCCCCTAGTGTTCTTGGCTACCATTGAAATATTCTAACTTGGCCAAAATATTTAATTTATTTAATTGAGTGCCCTTAATAGATGTCTACTTTAATTCGAAAGACGACCCTTGTCCTCTTGTTTACTTTACTAACTTATTTATGATCAGAAACAAAGGAGAAGTGTAAATAATACCATTTTAAGATCAACCTGATTTTCCATTTTCTATTTCATTAATTTACATGATATGGTATTTCATTTGCCTTACCATGTTTTGTGCCCATGAGTAAAATGCTGCTTCGGTTATGATTACTTCTAATATTTTTGGACTTGTTCATGGTAATCGTCATTTACATTTACAGGGTTACACAAAAATGTTACCTGATACCTGAATTTACGTGACCTAATATACTAATATACCTTTAGGGATTAGTTCTCCTCTTAAAAATATTTACTTGTCCCATAGTGTATAGGTATAAATATGATATATTGGGTGTCCCAATAAAAACGTCACACTTTTTGACAAGAATTTTCTCAGCAATTACTACCTCAAATTTATTGAAAATTTCGATAAAGTAGCCCTAGCAAGTTGTACAAATATGATAGAAATCGGTCACACATTATGTAGGATTGACTAATTCAAAAATACATATCAAAAAATCCAATATTAGAGCTTGCACAATGACACTTTCATAGCATTTGTGCTTTCCAGTATCAGGTGATAAAATGGTCATTCTGTTGTAGTCTTAAAACATCTTGTCTGTGGGTCGTTTATTATTTGTTTCATTGTTCTCTGTTTTTTGAAATACATTCTGTCCAAAATTTCAGTATTGAGGGATAAACAATGCCTCTAAGTGATAGGCGATAAGGCTATACCATTGAAAACTGTGTTTTAAGGTGAAAGGTTTGTGTGGAAGATCAATCGTAAAAGAATTAAGGGCTGGAGTTAGAGTCATGTTACTGTAAACTTATGAGCATTCGACATTCATAAAAAGACAGTATAATTATGGAATGGGAGGCGATATCAATGGAAAAATACACAAAAGCTGTTTTTAAAAAACAGCTTTTTTCAGACTGAAACAAGTGGCAATTCCATTGATTTTTTACATGCATTTTTGAATTTGTTAATTCTCACATGATATGTAAAATATTTCTATTATACTTCTACACCTTGCTTATAATATCCTAAGGCTACTTTATAGAGCCAGTAATTGCTGAGAAAATTCTTGTCAAAAAGTGAGACGTTTTTATTGGGACACCCGATATATAAATTACCTCTTGTAGTCCATATCTTTAAAATAGTAATAGATTGATCATCTAGCACTCTTGAAAACGAAGTTAATCTGATTTAATTAAAGGTTGGTCGATATTTTTCTGAACCCACTTAGAGCACTCTGTATGAGGAAATAAACAGTTAATTAAACAGAAGAATTAATTTATTAGTATAAATTTCATATTTTACATCGTATTTTGCATAATTACATTTGTATAAATAACTAAAAGTTAACACTTCAATTAAGTTGTTGTTATAAAATGTGAGGTATTCAAAGCAGGCTTCTCATTTCAGATCAGGACCCGTATCAAAACACTGCGTGTCATTTACCTTATTTGGACTTAACAGTTTTTGTAATAATATACATATATATCATTTATATACATTTCATTCTTTTAAAAGAGCAAACAAACATGAGCATAACACGATTAACAGTGAAATGTTTGGAAAAACTACATTTCCGGTTCCTGTAGGGTCAGTTGTTTCTGGTTCAGGGCTTTGAGTAGGTAGAGTGTATACGGGCAGATCTGTAGGACAAGCCTCGTCCCACTGAATGTCCATTCCCTCATTCTGTTTCTCAAGCCACGTTATCAGTGGCTGGAAATATTCGATTATAGCTCCAGCGTCCATTGTTGTGTTCCCAGTTACTTTCTCCATGGCAACTGCCCATGGCTTAGACGAGCCTAAACTCAACATATCACTGAAACATGAAGAAATGATTTGAATTATAAATGCCAATCATACCAACATTCACAAATAGTCATATAAGTACTTTATGTGACAAGTTGGCCTCTGTAACATCAACGATGGCATGGTTCTGTTTTAATCAGTTTGTTATAGTTTAACATCAAGTCTTCATGATGGAACAGTAACCCCATATTTTTCTCGTCAAATGTAGTCGTCGGGACAATGGACTTGATTCTTAAGTTTAATTACATTGTTAATTTCTGATTTTAATGAATATGTTCGAGAAATTAATTAACAAATATTTCTACTTATATATTTCTGTTAGTATTGTTAGAAATAGTGAGTAACTTCTATATCTAGTACAAAAATATTAATAAACATCTAGGACTGTTTAAGGCCCATCATGTTGCACTCTAAAAATAATATAAAACTCTGGAAATAATATAAGACAAAGGAAAGAATTCTAAAGACAATACACAGAATTTCTGCTAGTATAAGATTACACACAGCACCAAAAGTTGACATGATGCAGGAAACCCAAAGGCATTTTGCTTGTAGACTAGTAACTGCAAGATAAGCAATTGCTTCTGGTGTAACCCCTAAATCAACAGTCGCATGTGCATTGTTAGCATCAGTGCATTCACATCCACATTGCAAACCATTTACATCCAGTTACATTACATTCAGTAAGAAAGGGGATACCAGACATGTGCCACTCATTAAACAAAATAATGGAAAGTACAACAAATATGACAACGCTGGCATACACAATCCTAATATACACGAAACATGCATGACATCAACGCACCCTAATTTTGCACCCGCTAGTTTAGATTTGTATATATCACACTTGTACAATGGACCCATATGGCCTGCATCCTTGCATAGAGCTTGGTGAAATTGAAACTGGATAATAAAGCTTACAAAATACCTGGAATAAAAAGGAGTGAGAGAATAAGTGAGAAAGAAAGTAAGGTGAAGCAATAAATACTGAAATAGGCATGTTGTTGTTAGTATTTGTCGTGTCGACCAAGGACTTGATGGTAGGTATAGCATGTTCTCATATGGCTGATGATACAAATATGATTTGTGAAGATCCTAGGTTTTTCCATTGAGGTATATTTGAGGTAGTTCCAAAACATGCAAGGACCTCTATGATAGAGTACCATGATACATGCTAGACATTCCAACATTCCTATTGTCGAAGGTAAGCAGTTTTTGATCTTGTGTTACTTTGGTTTGTTATCCATAGAAAGAAGAAAGGTATCCCAGACCATCCCTAACATCTGTGCAGCTAACAGACTAAGTAAGTACGGTCAACGAGAACGCTGAAAAGCAGGTTATACCGCAGCTTATTTAGCTAGATCGACTGATTTGTCAAGGATACAGTTGAATAGAAAACAAACTGCAAAAATCCAGTTATCACCGCCACTTGAGCCTACATGAGAAGGAGAATAGACTTCATTACATCATCTAAATTATTTTGTTAAAAGTGAAGACTTGGGACAGTACAACATATATGTTGGAATCAGGTGCACCGTTTGGAAGATGGAAAGGCCAAAGCAAATGCTTGGAACAGGTTCCCAAGACTCTCTAATTGTCTTACCCCAGCTTAGTTCCGGCGTCATTTGAATTATAAATGTCACATTTGTAGAGTGGTCCAGTTTGATTGGCTGCCTCACATAAAGCTTGGTGGAATTGAAACTGGGTGACTTCGCTTATAAAGTACCTAAGACAGCAGTGGTAAATTAATTATAAAATGCAAAATATAACTAAATGGCTGTTGGTCTATTGAGGAATCCGTGTCACCCGGGAGAAACTTCAGCCTTGGGATCAGCATTTATTAACCGCCGGGTAGGCAGGAACAGGAACACTGAAAGAAATTCAAGCAAAGCACACAATGCAGTATGTGCATATTCCCATTTCATATGTAATATTTACCTCAGCTTGTTGCCGGCCACGTGTGAATTATAAATGTCACATTTGTAGAGTGGTCCAGTTTGATTAGCTGCCTCACACAAAGCTTGGTGGAATTGGAACTGTATGACATAGCTTACAAAGTACCTAAGATAACGTGTTATTCATCAAATATGCGTCAGATACAATATTTCAACTAATTACTAAATTCTAGTTCTAACATAAAAAGTAAATCTATACATAATAAATACCATATATGATATGATATCACAACTTCGATCACAATTCAGGCCGATGAAGTTAGATCTACTCATTAGCTTCTAGTTTTCATTTCAATTGTATGTCTCACCAGTCACCATACTTGATGCTCATGAATTAATATATAATCATTAGTGTCTAATGTTAACTTCAATTGTAGATTCACACATGACTTTGGCCTTATATGATGTGTATATATAGTTTGATCTACTAATTATTAGCTCCTACTTCAAGCTACAGAAGCACAAGTTAATATAGAAAGAACATGGGTCAGCATCAAATGATGTATAATGATCCTGATTACATCCAAATCTACGAACATTATTATGATTTTTTTTCTCAGTTTATTTATTTCAATTTCCTTGATATTGATATACAAAAGTATGCCTTTGTTAACTTAATAACATTATCGGCATAGTAAATATTAAAAATATAATACAGGAAATACAAAATACAAAAACCACGTAGTATGTTCAGTCTATATGTATGCTTGCTCCCCATCCCACCCATAAGGTTCCCAAAGGAATTTAGAATGTTTCACTGGCTCTTTAAAACTGTGATTGCTGTTGAGACATAGTGAGCCACGATTTCAATAATTTTGCTATTCATCACATCACTAAGGTTGGTATCCCCATACAAAAGTGTATCTGATTTCTTAGAGATTGTTAAATTTCTGAAATCTGGCAGACATTCCAGTTCGTCGAGTCCTGCAAGAAGCAATTCCCTTTCATTTATGAGCAGTGGACATTTGATTAGAAAATGAGAAGTGGTTTGATGAGCTGCACCACATGGACATTTGGGATCATTAATTGTGGTAAAATTGTGGGCATGTAAATGGCTATTAAGCAAGAGTCCAGCTCTAAGTCTGTTGAAAGTAATTTCAGTTTGTCTTGGCATAGTGTACTCCATTTTGGATGTGGGTAAGGATACATGGCTCCTTTGCTTCCTGACTGATCTTTTAAATCTTGAGATTGGCTGCCCAACTCGGATAGTTGGTGGAAGCCCATTCCAAGCTGAGATGGCACTAAAGATTGTAGATTTTTTGGTTGAGACACTAGTATGTAATGGAATCTGATAATCTGGCTGATCTCTCAGCCTTCTAGTGTGAACAATTTCATAAGTTCTCACCACATCACAGATGAAGGGAGGTAAAGCATTAAAGCGTGCCTTAAAAATAAAATTTTTTAAGTGCTCATCTCTTCTCGATGCCAGCTTTTTCCAATTTAGAGAAGAAAGTACCTTATCAGTATTTGACCCATGAATAGCACCTGAAACTAGGCAGGCTGCTCTATAGTGCAGACTTTCGAGAGCTTGGAGCTTAAGAGCTGATGCTTTATTGTAAATTATGTCACAGTAATCTAAGTGGGGTATGAAGTAAGCATTGTAAATTGTTTCAAGATGTTTGCTTGATAACTTTTTACTAAGAGCCTTCAATGGCCTCATTAAAATTGTCAATTTGTTAATCAGTTGGTCAATGTGGGCATTAAAGTTTAAGTGTTTATCTAACACTATTCCTAAGTGCTTATGGGTATCTGTCATTGGTATTTGCTAATTTCCTAAAGTTAATGATGGTTGAGCTGCTAATTGGGTTCTTTGGCCATAAAAGGTTAGATCAGCACTTTTTTGGGCTTTAAATTGCATGCGCCAAGTGGTTGCCCATTGGTTAAGATTGTTCAGATCTTGTTGAAGGGGTTGATTTAAATTCAATAGCATGTCAGAGTTTCTGTCATAGGCATCATAAAGTGACGTATCATCAGCAAAAAATAAAAGCTTTGGAGTTTAAGTTGTCAGGTAAATCGTTAATATATATTAAAAAAAGTAGGGGACCCAAAACAGAACCTTGGGGAACACCGGCATTTATAATGTATTGGGGTTTATTGGGATTATTGACCGGATTGTTGTTGTTACCAATTAATTCAGGATCAGAGGACCAATCGGAAAGGCAGTTATTAATACGCACTTTAACCCTTCTGTCTTTAAGATAGGAGGTCATTAATAGAATAATTTCATTGCTACATCCGTATGCTTTAAGTTTTTTTATTAAGAGTTTGTGGGGTACCAAATCAAATGCAGACGTCAGGTCTAAAAATATTGAACGGACATTTTTCTGTTGATCAACATTAGTTTGTATATCATGAACAATGTTGATCAGTTGATTCACCGTATTGTGTTGTGGTAAAAAACCACTTTGAAATTTATACAAGAGATTATTATCCAGTAAATGAAGAAGGAGTCTGTTGTGGATTATTTTTTCTAATACTTTGGATAGTGAGCATAGTAATGTAACTGGTCTATATGATCATGTCTGATACTCATAAAGTTAAACTTAAAATCTTAATCATAATAGGTGTAACCTAGATGAATATGATCTACAGTGTATACAGAGAGTGCTATCCCTTTTTATAACATCACTAATTTTATCATAACTATCATAACGGTTATTTGATTACCTGATGTAAGGCGTGTTTCCAGGTATATGGTATTTGGCACCTGGATCAAAATCGTCTTCTGTTCTTTGTACAGGTGGAGAAACTCCTTGGTACTTGCATCTAGAAAAGATGAACAAGTTGATCGTGTTTGAAAATACATCACATAGAACAGCCTTCATTCTCTTCGTAAATTATTACAGCAAGTTTAATGTATATTGTCATATTTTGATTTAAGTACCTTAGATCCCACCATTTTTTATTATAATCCTCGGGTGAAGTCTCTCCATTGAACACACTCCATCTCCACTGGTCAATGAGGTATCCGAAAGGCAGGAATGCTATTTTCTTCAGAGCCTGGCTCAAAAGGAAGTTGATGTCACTTTCTAAATGGAAAAATAATTGTGTTGAATTTAATCAGCATTATGTATATTATACTGATTATGAATGTGCATGGTTATCCTTATGAATCTGAAAATACTCAGTGAACACATGGATTGTTAAAACATTTAATTATTTAGTTTGTGTTTTAGAGATCTTTGAATTGATTCAATAACATTTAATCGTTGTTGCGCTACTGTGCATACAGGTAAGTTTGATTCAAACGATGTTAAGTAAAGCATCGCCTTTTGGACCTTGTTGATTAATGTCGACAGTGCGTTTACCTTCGTCATCTACGACTTCCTCAAGAAGGCCAATTTCTTTCAGATGTTTTGGGGTTGACACAGACAAAGACATGACATCCCCCACGGCCTCATGGAAACCTATAGAAAAGTTATGAACTATATTTGACTGTTTAAAATTACATAATATCCTACTTCTTATGAATAATGGACGAGTAAGTAAATGTACTGGGTGATGTCACCCACAGTCTCGTGGAAACCCAAGCACAGAAAAGTTATGAAGTAATTGACTGTTTAAAATTACATAACATTCTACTTTTAATGAGTGAGTAAAGTATATTATTAATCAAGATGAAGTTCAGTACTTAACTTCAAGTCTGAAGTAATTGACTGTTTAAAATGACATAACATTCTACTTTTGATGAACGAGTTATAAGTATGAATAAGGATGGAGTTCAGTGCTTGAGTTCAATTGAAACAGACATTTAGTTGCATGTCATGTTATTTGATAATATAAAGATGTAGGTCATATCTGCTTGCAATTGTACACACGTTTATATAGGTCATATCTGAATTTATAGGTCAAATCTAAATATATATATTATATCTCATTGTAGATCATATCTGAATGAACATCTCAACAGACATGATATAATTTCGGCCATTTTACCAGGATTTGCTCCTCTCCTAAAGACGACAGGTAGGTTTTTATACTGCAGGTAATATTGGATGTGGCCCATCTCGTGGTGTGTTGTAATAAGGTCAGACATGGTGATGTCTGTGCACTGTTTAATCCTGAAACACATAATATTCATTAACATGTGTATTATGACCTAGTACTTTCTTTAGTGAATCATAGTTTTGGATATTGGGGGTTGGTTTTTCTTATTGATAGCTCTCTTCTATTATGTTTATGTTGTTTGGCATAATATTTGGTCTTTACTCTTTTTGCACCGTCCTGTGTTTGGACGATTGGTATTGTTGGCATATCGTTTTAATTATCTATTTTAATATTCCAAAATAAGCATATCCAGTGAAATGTACAAAAACAAATACACAAACACAACAGTGGTTAAACAGAAACCTACCCAAGAAATGAAAACATCAAAACAATATGTAATAAGACAACATCCAAATACTGAATGAGCAACCCTTTTCCAATTGAATCAATCTTCTAATCACTACCCCAAGCCCAGGCCGCGGAGTTCAGTTCCAATAGGTAAGACCAGTTACAGTTTAGCAATTCCGCTCCCCTGTCGGTGCCCGTCACATTCCTTGTCATATTCCAATACAAAGAAGCAGCGAGCAGAAAGAAACTTGTTTCAGTAATGCTTGGTCAATTTTGGGTCAAGGTTGATGGCAGAAGAAATTATCATATGCTTTGCTTAGCTCGGCTAGTTCAAAAGTTTAAGACCTATATCAAACAAATGCAGATGGTATATCTAATAGTAAATATTCTACTTCTATATTAGCTCTCACCTGAAATCTTTTTGGTTAAGGAAATCCCAAGCAGATGCGTGGCAGACGACATCTCGCCCATCATCAGGCTTTACTATCATGGAATGGTTCCAGAACTCCTCTGGCATTGGAATAAGGCCTAGTGACGTAAAAAACTCTTCCGATACTTCAAACATCTTCTGTGCTGTGTAATTCTGTAATAATACAATCACTTCAAGTTCACCGTTTCAATGGCTATAGTTATAAAGGAAAATGATTTGCTTGATCACTGAGGCAATCAAGTTATCAATTACAAGGGCGTCATTAGGACAACAGATTAAATGGGACAAACGCAAATTGTCGGTAAAAGACTAATTAAAGGGACTCCATTTCCACAATTTAGTTTCTAGGAATGAATATATTTCTTCAAAAACGTTAGCGAAGCAGTTGCTTCACCAGCCTCATGCATGGCCTAATCTCACCTGCCTCATGCCTGGCCTCACCTGCCTCATGCGTGGCTATGTCCTTAATCATGTGATTTGTCATAGAAGCATGTATAAACATAGGATCGACCAACCTGTTCTTTCAAAGCCTCTGTAACATCAACACTTGGTTTATTCTTGAATGGCTGCAGCAAGTCTGAGTAGAGATTTCCCCAACTCTGGGCCCACATGTTCCCTATAAGGGCATAACACTCTTGTTTTACAACTCAGTATAGATGATGATACAACTGAAGTCATGTATTGAAGTGAATCAGCCCTATTGTGGAAATACAATAACATACAATACAATATGTACAATACAATACAAGAGAGGAGTAGGACAAGGCTGCCCATTATCCTATTAGTTTTTCATCATTGGGGCAGAATTACCAAGCGCAGCGACTAGAAGAGACTGGTACCAAACTGAATGATCACCTGAAAACAGCAATAAGGACAGCACAATTTGCTTCTGACACTACACTACTGCTCCAAGATGAAACATCAATAGCCCCAGCAGTAAAACTACTCGAAATGTTCAGAGAAACAACTGGTATGTGCATTATCAAGGAGAAAACAGAGAAGGTAACAATTGGTAAAAACCCAAAATGAAGTACAAACCCTGTGCAAATTAAGAACTTGTTTGATTAGACAATTGGAAAACATAGGAAAAAAATAGAAGACATAGATTATCAAGAAGCTTTGGAAAACATCGAAGCCCAAATTAAAATTAAAGTGGAAGACAAGGAGTTAAAAAACAAATATAACTTATCCTAACAAACACTCGTGGAGTTAAACCGTAACGAAATTATTCTGTGTATACCCTCATCAACCCGGGGTTATCATATAGACAAAAGCTGATTGAAAGGGGAAAACTTCACTTCAAAAAGTCACCCAGAGAACTATTGCCAAAGCTCAAGTAAAACACTGTCTTATAGTATCTAAAAAATCTAAAAATGCAACCAATAAAAGCACAAGATAGGTGGCTAAATATGAATGAAGATATAACTTCAGGGAATTGGATCAAATATACACCACTACTTAAGAATAGTAATGCGAAACTAAGCTTGTTCCTCGGGAGATGCACATATTTCCCTTTGGATAAACCCTGTATCCAAAACCTCCCAGTACATAACCCTTGTATATATCATGGCTTTTATTTAACTCACCTAAGAGATGAGCTGGGATTTGTCCAGTGGAAGGAAATTTATCTTCTCCATATTTATCAATGAGCTTCCTTTTTACATAGGCATGCAAATTCAGATAGAGCGGTTTGAGCTGTTCGTATAATTTTTGGCATTCTTCACGTAGATTGTCCATGTCATACCAAGAACGCCAATATTCGCCCGTATCGGCATATCCTATAAAAACACAGGGTACTCAGGAAGTAAAGTTAGGAATGGTTTTATTTACACTGAAATTGCTAAACAACCTATATTCCTCAAATCTAATACTCTTAATTTAGCTGTTGAAAATATTTGGTAGGTCTACCCCTTTTCATTGAATTTTTAAGGGACATATTATTCTATCTAATAACAAAGTCACTGTTCCACAACTAGTTACTTTGACGGAACGTCAATGTAACAAAATGGATGGATTTCCTCTTTAAGAGTTTTCTGATTTCTCGATTTAAACTTGCTTATAAGTCAAGCTGTAGATTACAATTTGGCACAAAGCAAGAAAATATAGTCCAGTTTCAATAACTTTCTTCAATTTGGAATTTGTTTGTAAATGAAGTTGCAATTCATATATTTAGCCCCTCGCTTTTGTTACATTGACGAAAGTCCGTTATATTACCAATATGTTACTTTGACGACTAACGCCAATGCAACAAAAGCGATGGTCTAAATGCATGAATTCTAGCTTTTTTAAAAGATCAAATTCCAAACCGAGGGCATTTCTAAAAGCTAGACTATATCGTCTAACTTTGTGCCAAATGATAATCCGCAACATTACTTATACGTAAGTTTAAATCGAGAAAACAAAAAACTCGTATCCAGGAAGTTCATCCATTTTGTTACATTGACGTTCCGTCAAAGTAACTAGTTGTGGAACAGTGATAGTTCAACGTACCGTTGGCGCGTGCGGCCTCATTACTGATATTTACGAACTCCTTGTACAAATTGCGCATCTTTCTCCCGGACACATTTCTCCATCCAAACCACGCCCACAATAGTTTATCATAGTCACGTGACTCTGCTAGTATCCTAGTTAGACCTAAAAAGGCACATGTGTTTGTATTTCCTAACATTTCTAAATGCTTTCATCTTATTTATGAATATAAATTAAACTCTACTAATTTATTGTTAATATAAAAAAATGCAATAACGATACGGGGTTTTAGTTTAGTTTTACGATTATACTGTAACAGCGAAGTTTCAGGAACACCCACAAGGCTACAAGTAGTCATGCATTTAGCATATTAACGAAAATGATTGGTGCAAAGAAATGTGTCATTCTTTGATAATAAAAGCATGGCGGTTAGAGAGAAACAAAAGCAGAATAACGGCGACATTTTATTTCATTAAGGGTATGGACTACTCCCAACGCTCGTACCTGGATCAAGATTGTTGCACGTTGAATCATCATCACAAAGTTGTGCAGAGCTGTATAGACGTTCTAACTCAGATTCTATTACCTTTAACTAAACAGCAAAATGCAGGATATGAAATACTGTAATATGCAAAACTGACATATCATGCAGGCTAAAGTGACTCTATGCGTAGGGGGTTTGTACCATTTTTAGTGTTAATGTCAATAGAAGCGAAGGCGAAGGTATTCATATCACGAGATTCATTCATTTTGGGTCTTTTTTGTCTATCGCATATGCCATCTATTCATTCAAAGTTACGAAAAAACACCTTCCTGAAAAGTGTGCACGGTCTGCTAACCTGAACTTCTGAACTTCTACTGCTATTTATCACGAAAGCTAATTTTTATTACTTCAACGAATAGCTGCACAAAAGGAGCTTTGTATAGTATTCAATAAGATTTTTGTTCTACGTTTCTTCTCAGTTAATACGCATAGTGCCTCTTTAAGATTCAAAACTAAATACATGCATGTATTGTTGGACATGTGATAATTAAGTGCTATATAAAGAAACTCTGAATCACGCCTAACCATCGCGTAAGCAGGCGTCACCGTACAGCGTCAAAAAATACCGTAGTACAGTTTTCTGTACGGTGACGAAAATTAACTGAGTTGAAGCAAAAACTTTAATGAGGGTTTTAAAAAGATTAATTAGATGAAAATAAATACGATTTCGGGTGTAATGAAAACAGCATTCTCTTAGGAATGGTTTTAACTTTCTAATTATGATAAAAGTTTTTCGAGCACTGCTCGGATTTTTTCTGACTGGATCGGCCCACATAATCGACTCGAGAGAAAAAGGGTGTTTTTTCACTTTTCGTTTGGTTATTATTTTCCCTGTCGTCTGAGAGTATGGATTATTTTTATGAGAATATGTATTTGTTATCTACACATTTTTAGAACAGATGAATATTCGGCAAATAATCATTCAGTGTATTTATTTTAAAAAGATCAGAACTGTACGGTGACGCATCAGCTGAACGGTGACGCTTCCTTAGATTTTAGGAAGTGCTCTAAGCTTACTGTTCGAACAAGAGGTAATGAAACGTCAGATCTACATGTACATTATCACTGGTTAGTATCAAGCGAAGGTTACAGCCGTCACCTTCGCATTTAAGATGGCGGACAGGAAGTATTAATTTCGATATTTTTACTTTTCATGGAATTAACTATTTGAAAGTTGACGTAATGCTTTGGTATCATTTGAACTAAACCAGGCTTTTCTCATATGACTAACAAAGATAGCCTACACAGCCATCTTTACCCCATGCAAGATATTGCATCTTTCATCCTAAAAAGTCACACGTGCAAGATGAGATTTACTTGTGACATCCCTTGTTTTAAAATACAATAACATAGCAACAAGAGAGTTTTTGGTTTCATGATCTTTACCGTATCATACATTTCCAGTAACCTTCCATTAAGCTGTGGAAGATATCGTTGAACTGTAGCGCCCATGCACTATATATGAACAAATGATCATACTCCGGAGTTTCCATTTCATACAATCTTAGTCTCATTTAGTTCATCATAGCATAGCGTCACCGTACAGCTGGTGCGTCACCGTACAAATTTGATCTTTTTTAAATATACATAATGAATGGTTGTTTGCTGAATCTTCGCCCGTTCTAAAATGTGTAAGTAACAAATACATATTCTCATAAAAATAATCCATACTCTCAGACGGTAGGGAAAATAATAACCAAACAAAATGTGAAAAAACAACCTTTTTTCACTCTGGTCGATTATGTGGGCCGATTCACTCAGAAAAAATCCGAACAGTGCTCGTAAAACGTTTATCATAATCAGAAAACTGTACTCCGCTATTTTTTGACGCTGTACGGTGACGCCTGCTTACGCGATGGTAAGGCGTGTGAATCCCATATTGTCTTTGAGATGTCCATCCACATTGATTACTTAAAAAATTCACATCTTAAATTTAACAAAGCTAGTGTGAAATTGTAAGTTTCTGGCAAAGATAGTTTAGAATTAGCGACAATGCAGGTGGACTGCCTTTGCTTATACGAGTCATATCACCAAACATAATTAGAAAAGGCCAAGATTAAAACTATAATAGGATACTTGTATTTTATTCAAAGTGTGGATTATGCGCTCATATTTTTGAGCTGAGTTTACTCATCCACTATCAATACACATAAAACTATTTTTCAAATCAAAAACACTTGTTACATTTTCACTTACTACTTACATGCAAAGACTTTAGTTTAAATAAAAACAGTTGTTGTACCAGAATGAAGTGCTGTGAAGTTTGGAGGTTTTTAACCTATTCATTGTAAAACCATTACTACCAAGTAGTAAATCCCCGGAGTAAATCTAATATCTGTGACAAAACAAAATCCTTATCCTCGTTCCGTTATTGTGATTTAGTCTATTCAATCGCTATCAGCGTGGCCTTATGATTAAACTGGAACGTGAATTTTTAACATGGATGCAACAAAAATCTTATGATTTTGTGTCTCGTTGTAAAGTAATTTACCGCATAAGGCATACTTCTAAAATGCAAAACCTCCATTCTTACGCACTCCATCTTGTTACAGAATTGTAGTCGAGAGCAAAAAGGGTCACATATCAACAACATTATAGTTAGAAGTGCATTTCCTTAAACATTGAAGGCAGTATCAGATCAGTATAGGGATGAAAAATTGCAAGCAAGAATGTTGAAATTCTCTCAAATAATATAAATGGTAACCGTTAGAGAAAAATAATACATTATTGTAAAAACTTTAGTTTTACTGAAATGAAATATGCACTTTGGGGATTTTTAGAAAATAAACATGACAAGGAATGATATGAGCCAAACACATTTTAAAATTGAAATAAATTGTCGCTTGATCTGATTCACCCTTTAATTGTACCAGATATGCAATACTAATTACTACAATTTAAAAAACACAGCATAACAAGGTTGTGTTAGTTGATAAACAATTAATAGGAAGCTTTTGCATAACGGAACGTGTAGCCTTAGTCACACCGAACATCTACCTGGTTCCAAGTGAAGGCACTCATCTGGGGTACGGCAAAGCGCTGCCGTTGCATAAATTTTCCTCATGTTCGCACCCAGCTGGTTTATCTTTAAGGAATGGAGAAATTGTTTGTTAGCAAATTGATTCTAGAAAGCTTATCTGAAACAAATATGTTTGACGTATATGAGTGTGAGTGTAAGCCTCTAGTTTTATTGTATTTTATTGCGATATGATATGCAAGTCATGTCAAGCCCAAGTCAAGTAGGATGTCAAAATGAAGACGGCGTGGTACAGGGGGCTAATAAAAGAGTAAGTGTAGATTGTATAATTGCTTACAAACTTCTCAAAAGGTCGATGGTTTTATCTTCGTGTAGATGATGCATATTATTAGAAGAAGGGGTAGGAGGTATAAAATGTTGGAAGTAGTATTTCAAGAAACATGCCAGAGTTTCCCTTGTAATCCTCCATTTTATGAAAATATATCTGAGCAAATGAAGACATTTTTAGGACTAAGTTTCCATCCCTTCTACTCTCTTTAAATCTAATCTTATGAAGTGGTTGTCATCTCACAAATATTCTTACATATTTACATAGGCTTAGGTTTACACGATCACTAGAATTAAAGCGTTTGTGATTTGAATATCTAAGTATAACATAACTATATCGAATGACACTTATAAATAATTGAAGAGACGCGAGGCTAAATATACAGCGACATACCACTCATCAAATTAATGTTGTTTTTTGTTGAATATTTGTTTAGAATTAGAATGGTACATAAAATGCAAGTACTTCTTGAATAAACATACAAAATTCATTTATCAACGCGAATCAATGCTACTGTCATTTACAATTCACTAGTGGATAACAAGAGTTATCTAAAGACTTGCGCGTGTACACCCCCTACACCCAGTTCTACATCCCAGTAAAGGAAGGTCACCTTTTATGTTTGGCGATTTTAACAAAATATTTTATCATCAATCTCCAGTCTATATTGTAATTGGGGAGCAAAATAAGATTCTCACTTGTATCTAATGAGAAGCGTATGGATGGGGTTGGGGTGTTAAATTCAGGAGCACGATGTTTAAAGTGTCCGTTTACCCTAGAAACGAATTTGCATTGGATCTAAAACAGCCCTTATGTGTTTTTTATTCTATTTGAAAATTTTAAATCTTACGTGAAACAATTTAAGGCAACAGATAATGACAACTTTTATTGATTACTTATTTTGGGTTTCGTTATTTGATCTAAAGATTTCTGAATGTCGGAATGTCTAGTGATGTATGTCTGTTGAAAGAAGATGCACCAAAATAGTACTTATGTTTGCTAAACTATAGATCATATGACCCACCTACCCGTTTCTGTTTACGTTTATCTGTCAATGCGGCTGTGCCTATATCTACCAGTTTCTTAAATATTCGCTTCAGTGTAGAATTTTGGAAATTTTTCCAGTCGAAAGATGATGACCGTCTAAAATTCCCTAAATTAAAAGCTGATCTGGATAAGATGGCTTCTTGCTGAGAAAACAATAAGAAAAGGCAATTAGTAACTCATTTTATATATTGTATCAGTGTAGTATTTAGACACTGCAGGGTTCTGTTTCGAGTTCACCATCTCTTCATGTGGAATTTGTGATTCCTTCAGCAGAGTTCAGTAGTTCGCGTTTCAAAATACAAGTATCTCAAGGCAGCGCCCTACGACGAGAAAAATGATTAGTTAGTGGTAATGGTGTGTCAAATCTGGATCAGTTACTCACCTTTGTCAACCTGTCTTCGGGCAGAGAGGCCGATCCTATGTCAGAGGCCTTTTTGAAAATTCTCTTCAGAGTTTCATTTTGAAATGCAGTCCAGTTGAACCTCGATGCATTTGCAGCTACCTCCTTTTCAAATGCTGCCTCCACCAGTTTAGCTTCTACCTGTTCGATTTTACATAAAATACAATTCATGAAATACATTGTTATGAGTTGTTATGAGGAAGCAAGTTGAGTATGGAGAGGGCCATGGGGCAGCAAATACCATACCAAACACCAAGGGTATTCTAGGACTGTTGCACAGTCAGCAATATCTATCTCCTATATACCTTTAATTTGTTAGACACATTTTCACGATTAGTTTCGGTTACAGATGTCCACAAAGCACAAAATCGTAATAAAAGGTTAAACTATACTTCAAGTGACTTGAATATTGTAGAAAACAGTTAATATAAAGTTTGCATTCTTCAACCCAATTCGCTGTGCTTAGCAACATCTCGTGAAATCTCGCATTTGCTGTCAAGTAATTGACAAAATGAAGTAATCCATTACTGTTGCAAATTCACGAACGACTCAGAAAATAACGTATAATCAGATGTCACGTTTTGATCGTATGGAGAACTAAAGAACTTATCAAAATTGGTTGGTAGACTTTCGTCTAGAAACAACATTACCAAAAAAGGTTGATCTGATATGAATACAACCTACCACTCTACACTAAACCTTTGCAAAGAAAAGACCTGCCGAAATTAAAACTCGTTATTTCTAAATGAGTTATCTGTTCAAATAGAAAAGTTAATGGAGTTATGTCGGCACAGAACGCACAGAACGCCAGTGCGTTAACTATTGTTAAGAATTCAAATAAATAATTTCTCAAAAAATTTGTTTTCTTATGGCAACATACAATTATGTGTGAGGTCAATTCCAATAAATCGAAAAAAGATTATGTGGCTACTAGGTCTATACTTTGAACATATAATAGTTTCTATTTAGATGCATTCATAATCTACGGGTGGTTTTCAATTCACTTACTGGTGCCAACTTTATGACGAGTACTTAGTTCCTATTACTGTTATGTTATGATAACTACACATTGCTAAGATGCTATGGATGCCAGTTGGTTTATGTTGAAGGTGATTAATATGTGTTAGGCTGTCAACACCATGCCACCAGGCTCCGTTTTGAAAGCAATGCTGTCTTAGTATGTATATATAACACAAACACTACACAAGAAATGTACACAATTTTTTTTTATTATTTCAAGTCCAACAGATGATGAAAGTTCAAATAAAAAAATCTCATGTTGTTTCTCAGGTCTCGATAGTGTGGTGACCATGTCCATAGAAGATCTGTAACACAAATGAATGATTTAACTTCAAACAAGATATTGGTTGTTGGAATTACATCTTCAATTTTGTTATTTTCATAGCATTCCCCTCAGAGCAGTTAGTGTGGGAATATAAAGATCTGACATCAAGACATTTTGCGCACAACACAAAGAAATGCTTCGATTGGATAGCGAGGATAGTGGACATATCAAAATTGTATCTGTGCATTAAGCTGTAGAGGTGTATTTGTTTTTCTAAGTTTCCGGTATTATTTATTTGACCATCTCATCAATGAGGACAATTCCTAGAGGACCATATGTAGATTGACAATTACTAGGCCCCCATATAGCTATGGAGTCTGCTAATAATTTATAGGGTAACCCCACCATGGTCACTGCAGAGCATGCAGAAGCGATTACTTACCGACAGTTGTGAGTTATGATCCGTTAGGTTTGTGTTGTAATTCCAAGACGCCTGAATCGATTTAAAATAGACTTCCTGAGACTCATCATTCACTCTATTCACGAAAGCCCATGCTTCATTTTCATCAGTTATTAACTGACAATCTGTGCTTGCAAAAGCGACAACAACCATCAGCAACCCTATGGAAGACATGTTTAAAGATGCCTCTCTCTTGGTTACTTCTCAAACCTTCCAATCATCCGATGCATGTGCTCGTCTGTCCTTTAAGATTTTGTCAATACCGATTAATCCGTTAACTGGCAAACAAACACGTCCCTGGTCCTCACGTTGACAACTGTTAAATCAAAGTTTAAAGAGGTTTGTCGCCTCCTCCTTGAATTTACATTGGATTGGGGTTGTAAAATTTATAAATAAATTTGAACAATCACAATGACCAAGTGGCTTAAGGAAATATAGAGGTAATTCACGCCGTTTATATTTGGCTCCAATGCCGTCACATTCTCCAAATTTCAAGTTGGAATTCAATAATGTTATCGGGGATATGTTAGTCCTCGCATGCAGCATTTATCTATTCGCGTACCTTGTTGTAGAATAGTTCAGATGTTTCGATGCAGATCTAGAGTTTATCGGTCGTAATCCGATCGTGCCTCAAAAACGTTAAAAGGCGCATAACTTACTGATAGCGCTGATAGTTACGAAGTAACTTATATACCAAAAATATGCTTGGATTGTGTGCTCCCTTTCTCAAGCATTATACATGTCTGCATGTGAATAATGCGCAACCCGATCATCTACAGATTCAGATACGCAGTCAAATAGACCGGTACTATACTAGTTACAGTCTCCTTATACAACTAGTACACTCTACTCGTCGAATGATAAGATGATCTGATTTTTAATCATATTCAAAATGTTACTAAAGATGTTTAATGGCTTCTCGTCATTCTTAGTTATCAAATGTGTCTTTCAAATAATTAATGATTAATGATTTTCTTTTTTTTGGCTGTTATAAAACATAAATCCTCATCAATCGCAACAGAACAGACACACTTTTTGGATACTACTCGTTACGTTTGAGTAGAAACAGATGATTTTGTTTGGATACTGCATACTTATTTGTTGATTGATCTATGCGTGATGGAATCCACATGTTAAATATCATGCTGTTTATGTAGCTGGATTACTCCCCGTCAGGTCTAGGTAGTAGTGGTAAGTCTTGGCTTCCAACGACTTCTTCTTGTACCTATATTTCAAATGCGTAAAAATGACTTGCCATTTTTACGATTATCGACTTTTAAAATCTTTAAAGTCATAAAATTAATGTCCGACCTACCGCTGGAACAATTAAATTTCGTTAACGGGGGGGGGGGGGGCAATTTAGCTCATATATGGAGGCGAACACCACTGTTGAAGTTTAATTTCATCAGCAACTGATAAACAACATGTTTTGATCGAAAGCGTGGATTTTCCTTTTCATATCTTACCACCAAGTAACGATTCTTATGAACAAAGTGCTAAATGCGTCCGATGCGTTCGTCCCATCGTTTGAGGGACAGACATAGAGTCTAGGGAGGTAGAATAAGTCGATTTTTCACCTTAGTTACTTCAATTATTCTAAGATGGTTGAAATGTTATTTTGTTCACTTCAGTTCATTTAACCTTAGCTTGTCAGACATTATTAATTTGAAATACGGTTATTTATGGATAATTGAAAAAAGAGTTGGCGCTTCATAATTTAATTCAGATGTGTTACGCCATCTTTTTGTGGAAAAGTCGATATAACCTACGTAAACATAGGCGATTTGTTACGCCATCTTTTATGGCATAGTTGATCCAACTGATCCAAAGCAAGTACAGCAAACTTTCACTACGTATATTCCGATTTTGGACTACCAAATATGTCTTATAGTGTATTCGAACATGACTGTATTCACGCCTTCTATAAACTATGAACAAAGTCAATGCTTTAGCTGGGTTATATTCGAGATCAATGCCCAAGCTCTGTACTAGTGTTTCGTTCAGTGCACTCAATGGTCAGTTCAGGCTGTTTCGTTCTTTTCGCAAAATTTAATTTTTATATGGATATCCGCTTTGTTTCTGAGCAATATAGAATTAATTTCAAAAATTATCAATATAGTATATATTAGCACAAATGCCAAAAGGGAAGGGTGACTAAAAACTTTAAGGAAACCCAACAATGAAGAAAAGCAAACTGTAAATGTAAATCTGTCATAAGAAAAGTAGACCCTATTATCCCAAAACCATGATCTAACGTGAAAAGAAACAATGTCTAACATCCCCCTCCACCTCCAATCGAGAACCAATATCACAATCCAGGACCAAAACACCAAGGGACATTTCATTCATACTGAAGTCATTACAATACATGTTGAAGAAAAATTGACAAATCGATAGCCAATACTCATAACATCAAAAATAGTTGTAGATACTAGTACTCATAAAAGATAGAGTATTCAGTCTCAAATAATGTGGGGTAGATAAAATCCAGTCTCTAAGTCCATAGGCAATTCAAAGGGTCAACATCCGTTCGCAAAGTCATCATCATAATCCATAAAACACAACAATTCACAATGGTCATCAGGAGAAAAATATGGCTGGTAGATATGCGTGAAACCAATAAAACAGGCCGAAATGTCAATGACGTGTCGCAAAAAGGTCGCGCACGCATTGTTACACATTTCGCTTTTTAACACCACAGAATGTGACGTTTTTTGAGAAAAATGTACACATATAGAAATCCTTTCGTCCTCCACATTTGTCTCTATATCTCAAAATATTTAAGGCGAATAACTCTGATATTGTATATTATCCAATGGTTACAAGGATATATATCGAATATCAAGTGAAGATATATTTGATATGTGGATCAAGATATCATATTTTAGCAAAAAATCCCCAAACCATCGAATATCACTTCTCAAACCATCGAATATCACTTCTCAAAAGTGATATTCGATGGTTTCAAAAGTGATATTCGATGGTTTAGATTTTTTCAATAATTTTTTGTCAAATTTGTTAAAAATTTTTTTAGATTTTTTCCTTCAAAATTTTTGAAACCTTCAAAATCTTTTTTCAAAAATGTTTTCCTTCAAATTTTTTTTTCAAAAACTTTTTTCGAAATCTTTTTAAAAAAAAGTTTACCATTTTTTGGCTGGGTTAAGATTTCCCATGGGATAAACGGACAATCCTATGGTTTTTCAGAAATATCAATTATATCCACTCATGGATATCAATATCTTCACTCATTCGCTGCGCTCACTCGTAAAGATATCAATATCCACTCATGGATATAAATGATATTTTTTCAAAACCATAGGATATTCCTATAATATGTATTAACAATGGGATAGGAGCATCATGAAACACGAATCAATTGATATTTTAGGTGAAATAAATGTACGTGTTGCTGTGCTTGAAAATAGGCGAATGGCGTAAATTAGCCCTATTTTAATGAATTTTGAAAACCTTTCGTCCTCCACTTTTCCACATACAACAGAAAACACATAAGCCTACGTTTGCGAACAAAATGAACTATTTATTAATAAACTAGAGTTTAAGAGCAAAATAATCATGTATGATTTATTAAAAATTGATCTCGTATTTTTTGTTTAATGTACACCTGAAAAGTTGAAGGTAACAAAAAATGAGCAAAAAAGGTCGCTGTCAACAGATTCTATTTTTCAAACTCTATGACGTCACAATATGGGACGCTTACTAAAATTCATCCTTTGAAATAAAACTTCCATCTACCTTTATCAAGACGAAAAATAAGTATAATGGTCATATATTGTTTGAGTTATGAGCGTTTAAAGACGAAAAATAATTCAAAATGTAACGTGTCAACAGGGGATATTTGCCAGATGTTTTCGTAAAATCTTTTAAAAAAGAACGCGCAAGAATCGTGAACAGAGTGTAGTTGATCTAAAAACTTCATCGAAACAGCTTTAAAATGATATATAACTTTAATTAGAATAGTATCTTATAATCCGGGGAATCAAAGTTACATTCACGCGATAACCTTAAAAATCAAATGCGCCACCTTTTTGCGACACGTCAATAAAAAAGTCGAGGTTAGGAGGTAAGTCAACAAATTGGAACAGCCAAACGCTCAACCGGAAGTAGAAATGAAAAAGTGGAAATGAACATCGAAATTGACGATTTTGCAATAGTTCTGGCGAGTTTTCATGTTCGAATCGTAATATTAGACCTCAGTTTTCTGTACCCCGAACGAACGAAGGTCTATATTTCTTAATAGTCAATGATGTAATTATAACTAATATAGACTAATGCTAACCGTTAGACTGGAGCAATAAATTTTTTTTAAATGAACAGTGTTTGATAAGTTATACAACCCACTGTGAATGTGAGGTCCACTTTGATCTTATTTTTCAGTTGAAACTGTATAAAATATTCTCGATGTCAAAGAGTTGATGATATTTTCACTTATTTACTATCTATTAGAAAGAAATCTTCAAATACAAAAAATATTTAAAAAATGACCCCTGCGTAATCTACCCTGCGTGCAGAGTCTAGTTAAACTACACTCTGCCTAGTAGAGACCATATTACAGTTTAGTAGCCCCGCCCCCACGACGGGTACCGGTGACAGTTTGGGTAATAAATCACTTCTGACCTACGCGCTGACCTTTCTTCCACCAATCAGCGAGCTTGAAGAAACATACGCTAAATGCGTTCTAATTAAATATGCGCATGTCATTGGTCAATTCCGGGCTCAACGATGACGTCAGAAGGAATGACCATATATAGAACGTCGGTCAAATTTGGCCGACGAACACTGATTGGCGCGGTGAGTTCACAGGTTTATTTTAGTTTGAAAGAGTGAAGACGAAGCTCTCTTTTAAGAAGTGAAGTCAAACGAATGCAAAGGGTATGCGTAATCCCAAATAAATGAGAAACCGTAATGTTGTGTGATGCTCAACAAGCAATACTATGTTCAGTGATATTAAATCTACCAATACAATATATTTAAAACAGTGCTGCTTTAACAGGAGGAAGTTATTAAACTTTTGTCAATTCCTTTAGTACAGGGTGTTTCATAATGTTCATCTACAAAGTCAATTTGAGATAAGATAGACTTATAATGTATTAATCAAATAAGAATTCCTATTTCATTTTAGACCAAGAGATCTCACACGTATGATAATAAATACAGTTTAAAAGTTACAAATGGTTTGCATTTGAACGTTATTTGACATCCGACATCTGGAGATTTTTGACGAATAGCCTTTGTTATGTAACACCCTGTTTTTATACAGATGTACACGTTTACGTACAAGTTGACCAAATTACTTAATATATCGAAAGCTCTTTATTTCCAAACGAATGTTCGACTTATATACTTTTGATGTATGATGTGTATATATATTTCTATTTTGAATTTGGTTATTCACTTTCATCTGCTTATTTGCTCTCCCCAAAGCGAGGAATTTAGGATTTATGACTTACAATTCTTATTTTTAGAAAGGTTTGACATCCATCTTTACTCAAAAGCGTACGCTATCTGGCGAACAAAGTACACTGGTTAATTGCGGATACAGGGAATATCTAGACCTAATTCAATCACAGCAGCTCTAGATATAACGTATAGTTTCTCAACTTAAATTTCCACATCTCGAACTTTTTGAGACATCAAATTAATATACAATTATTCTAGCCATGGAGTTACGAATCCTTTCTTTGGTGAAACAATGGCCGAATCATTTTCTAATTATTTAGATCAAATATATGCTTGGTAATTGAAAGAACCCATTATGCATACATCAAATAAAAACACATGTGGAGAGTTTGAATTTCTTTCAATTAATTAACGATGACCTTTAATCAAACAACTGGGACTACTAAGGGTCTTGGATCTAAATGTTGAAAGATCTCATACTTTTATCCATAGCAAGACTTGAAATCATGTACACTTACTTCCCCCTCGAGTAGCCCCTGTTTACCGGTTGGAGGCGAGGGCTCGACGAAAGGTTAAATATGACGGTCTAGTGCTAAGGACAGAATGAGAATATATATATTTAAACAAACGGACTAGCAGTACTGGTCAAACACACTTGAATATTGTGCGATATTGAAGGGGTCATCTAGAGACAAATACGGATGATTGAAATCAAATCATCTGTCGTACAAACATCAAACGGTCTAACTTAATTTCTATAGTTAGGATATGAGTCTAAAAACTAAGAAAGAAAGGAAGAAACAATTGCAAACAGAGCAATCTCAATCAGCGTTACCATTGATACTGGTACAGAACGTGAATAAGATGAGTATACCAAATTCCCAGGCTTTGGACACGCCAGTGACTGAGGCGCCGTATATGAGCCTCTTCCGCTCTAGCTCGAGTTATTCCACCTCAACATCTACTAAAAATAAAGTTACGAAATCATTCTCGTCCAACCCAACCAAAGTGTCTGTAAAACATAGCGTTAAGGCCGTCAAATCGACCCCGGGTTGTTTCGACACAACATACTTGAGTCGGTCTACAAACAACAAACCACTATCAAACAGCAAGGACCCGTCATTCGAAAGTCAGTTAGTATCACGAACTGATGCGTTTTATTTGGATTCTGATACATCCCAAACTTCCATTGAAATAGGGATAGAAGTGTCGCAAAGCACCTTGGAGACTTCTCTTTCAGATACCACAGACTGGGACGATGATTGGTCACACACAGTGGTTAGTAGCACTAAATCTTCCGACATAAGACGAGGCTCTGAGAACAGTGTATTGAAAAAAGCGAAGAAAAGAGAGCGAGTTTCATCTCTAGGGACATCTTCTTTAACATCGACTAATAATGCAAAAGGTAATTGACTCCATGACACAGTAAAAATATGAATTGAAATGTATTTCAGTGAAAAATTTGAAGTGTCAGAAATGGCTCATAATATATTCAACGTTTTTTTAATTTAATATATTCTAGATACTCAAAATAATGTTTAAAACATCAAACAAACAAAAATGTATCAATGAAAAAAATCAAAGCAAATGTTGAGAACTTTTTCATCTTGAGTTTTGGTGTTTGGTGTTTAGTTTTTGCTTCTTGAAATTGATTGAAACATTGATGAGACGTGTAATTGCTCAATTCTGAAGACTGATTCTTAGAAAATTACTTAAATTACTAAAATTGACATTAAAGTGCATTACAAAAAGTGCAATACAAAAAGTGCAATATTTAACAAGAAATATGAATCATCAAACAAAGAATCGACATTGAATTGAAAAGTGAAAATCCAAACGAGAAAAATTAAACGTCAATCAAAAATTTGAAAATTATCGAAAAAGACGCTAAAAATATATTTCCTCTAATTGAAAATTAAATTTAATTTATGGTGTCAAAATTTAATTGGACAAGTAATTGACAAGCTTTTATTGATATGTCACTGTAAATCAGCAAAACTGTTATTCAGCAAAACACTATTCTACATCGATGACGTCATAAATGTGACCATACATGTGACTATCAACGTGACCATCAACACTGGCAACTAGCCAGTTTTTGCTTAACTATTTCAGCAAATTGTGCATAGTAAATTGTTATCTGAGGCATTTATGACCGCCAAGTTGTTTCTGGATCTCCAGTTACATAGGGCAACTCTAAATGCTGCATAGGATGACAATACATGCTTTGTGTAATATAATTTGTGATTGTACATTTGAAACACTTGCACCCTCATATTATTAACCAGCTCCAAATTTTATGATAATGAAAAATGTATTTTAACTCTACAGATAAAGTGAATTTTAATGTGCTCTGACCAGCTTTAATTTAAGTTAAGGGGCATGAAGTTTTATTTCTACCATTAATGATTAGTATTTAGCAAATTGTGCACAGTGAATTTTTATCTGAGGCATTTATGACCGCCAAGTTGTTTCTGGATCTCCAGTTACATAGGGCAACCCTTACTTCCTGCGAAAGCTATTTGGATTTTGATATAATAGCTTTCCCACGGAGCATTTGGACAGCTCAGTGATCGTGACCTTTGAAATCGAATTAAGTAGATCCGCGGCTTACTTTTGGTCTCTAACTGTGTCTTACATCAGTATCATCAATCCGTGTAAGTATTGGAGCGCTGGAGTACTTCTTTTTCGATCAAGACTTGTAATTGTTAGGTCGAGTGAATCGTTTTACTGCCAAATTCCAATATGGCGGTTTCTGCTCGGACATTTTCGTAAATCTCCGGAGGTTGTCCGAACCTAACTAATTCTCAAAATTCATTTCGTTCGTTGCGTATCTCGCACCTAGCAAACCGCCATATTGGAAATAGGTCTGTAAAACTTTAACTCGATGAACAATTTACAAGTCTTGATCGAAAAAGAAGTACTCCAGCGCTCCAATACTTACACGGATTGATGATACTGATGTAAGACACAGTTAGAGACCAAAAGTAAGCCGCGGATCGACTTAATTCAGTTTCAAAGGTCACTATTGATCAGCTGTTCACTTCTCCGTTTGAGAGCCATAAGTTTCAAAATCTAACATGGCTCTCGAAGTGAGTAAGGCAACCCTAAATGCAGCATAGGATAACAATGATACTTTATATAATTTGTGATTATTTTGAGATACTTACACCCTTATACACTGGTGATCCACTCGATTACGCTGGTTACCAAAACGGTTCGTTTTGGTAACAAAATGTCGGAACATCCGGAAGGTACGATTTTCTCGTTTCTTTATTTACAACGTTGTAGGCAGAATTCCCACGACATTTTTTAACACAAACGTGTATCAGTATCATATGTTTAAGAAAGTGTACATATTTGCGAACAAAAAGTTCAGAAGACAACAGAATCGTCGATTTACTTCCTCACTTAAGTTACATAAACGGTTTGGGTTAAAAGTGCAGATCTTAACTGTTTTTCGAAAAACCGTTTATGTAACTTAAGTGAGGAAGTAAATCGACGATTCTGTTGTCCTCTGGGCTATTTTTTCGCAAACATGTACATTTTCTAAAACATATGATACTGATGCACGTTGTGAGAAAAAACGTCGTGGGGGTTCTGCCTACAACGCGTGAAATAAGGAAAAAAGAAAAATCGTGCCTTCGACGTTCAGACATTTTGTTACCAAAACGGTTCGTTTTGGTAACCAGCGTAATCGAGTGGATCACCAGTGTTATAGTATTAACCATTTTCAAATCCCTGATTATGAATATGTATTTATACTGTAACTGTAAAAATATAGTGAAATAAAGGGGAAAAATTAAATATTAAAAAAAAACACTGGCAACTAGCAGCATAACATTAATGTATTTATTTTTATAAAACATCCTTATGTCAAAATTATTGATAATTGTTAGATTCTTGCCTTCACTTTTCAGCAGACAAAACGCTCTTTCAATTTTTAACGCCCCCCTCCCAGTGGCTCGCTACGCCCGTCATTTATTAACAAGATTACAGTAGCACTTTAGGCTAAATATATGATAGAGGAATAGGAATACATCTGCATGGCCTCCTGCAATCTAGAAATAAAGACAAGGAGCTAGCCTATTAGGTGGTATGTATCTGCAGATGACTTCCAAGCGTGTCAAGTAGCTGATATCTGCAATTAGATCATCTAATAAATAGGCTCAATCAGTTCCCTCTGAGATGATTGATCTTTCCCATTTCCTCGCAGATAATTACATTATACAGGTATACCTTTAGGCTGATTATGCTATAGCAATCGCAAATAATCTGGGATTATACTACAGGTATACAGGTTGTCTGTTACAATAATATGTAGAATCGATTTTGATTCGAGGCACATCGGAATTAGTGATGGCGGCAGCGGCTATGACAGGTAAAGTTGAACAATTTATAAATGAACATCAGAAAATATTATTGAGAGCTGAGAGTACAACCCCGATGGCTGTCGACCAGTAGGTGTTGATTTTTCATTTATTAAGATATTCTATAGAGAAACGAACGAGACACAGGTCAGAAGTTCCCAGTCTAAACAAAAGAGTACCTAAGCATACTTTAGCGGAACACCTCTAGAGGTGGAACAAATCTGTTGATGCTCAGAGTTCCATGGCCGACTGACTTAATGTTGAATGACCGTCCATGAGCGGGATACCTCTTAAGTGGAACATTTTTAGAGGTACCAGAGGTGTTCCACTTAGACAGGTTTACTGTTATTAAAGTGTTACTTTGATACTCATTCTTTTGAATGTTGGAATCGTTTCAGAATGGAAAAATGTTTCCAAATATGTACCAGTATAACTAAAAACAATATAATGGATCAAAGGAATTTTAGCTAATTCTCACCGTGGCATCGTATAAAATATATACCTTGTAGAGTCAGTAGTTAGTTAGTAAAATATTTATTTAAGTCTCACACTGTTTGCATTTTAGAAGAGGCAATAGAAACATCCGTTTTGGGCGATTAATTGTTATTAATTAATTTAATTACCGAATCCTTGCATATATCGTAAAAATCGAAAATCGATCTCTCTCTGTGAGCGCTTATCCGTATATATCTGATTATTGAAATAAATAGTATTAATGATTAAAAAATACATTAATTAGAACACTTTGTTGTTATTACACAAAGGCAAGAAATCAAAACAAACTTGGCTATAGCAGAGATAATTTATTTATACATGTATAATCAGCAGTAAAACATATTTTTTAGGATATAAGCAGTAGCAATGTCCTGTGTTTCCATGGAAATAATGTATAAAGAATCAATATTTTGCGGATATCATTTGTTATTGCTGAGTTCTCGAGTGTCTGATGATATACTCATCATCAATGGCGGTGTAGGAAATTATTAGAATAAAAGTACTATAAAAATGCCATGTCTCGATATTCGCAGACAAAATGGATTAAAAAAATTTCCAGATTACAGTAATTTGAAGAGGAAGGATGTAATATTCAAATACAAACAATTAATTTACATTAACACTTAGCAAAGAAGAACCAGACGCACCGAAAAGATGTTAATTTAGCTGATCCTCGATTTAACCCGTTCAAAAATATTTTTGATATTGTTGTTCAAATGTCTTGTGAAAATAATTTATATAATGAAATCAACAAAATCGAGGCATTAACGATATTTCACTTTTTTGTAAATATGGCTAATCAAGTATTATAACACTAATAGATTGTAGACCTGAGAAGAAATTCCCATAGGCGACCATTATAACGTTTTACCATATATCTAATTAGCGACCAGTATTATCTACAGTAGCTTCCTGTTACAATATTACCATGGGTTGTCCACCGAAATCTTGAGCTAAATAAACTTGAAGACAACCACCCCTTCAATCTTCCTGATATAGAAAACAAATGAAAATAGTCTGCTATGAGTAGTCTCGTCAAATCTCTCCTCTGTCAATAAAAATATATATCATTCAGTCATCCGAATCATGTTTTCAGATAGATAAGCACCTGTCCTATAAAACTGATACTAATTTAATTCACCAAACGTAAATTAGAAAGAGAAAAGTCTTTTGTTTGCGCAAAAACCGCATCACTACTCCGGACTATATTAATGGCATTATCTATCTCTAAAGTATTTTTTACAATATTTTTTCTCCAAATTACTTTCACTGGCAATACACCGCAAAATTCTGTTCATTTTCATTTATTTATTGTACAGTCGAAATGTTGAGACATGCGCAGACCTCTATTTAGTGATATTTTCATTTCAAATATGGCGGCCAATCCGATGTCTGACGACCCTTACAAACAATCTAGGCAGTTTGCATTTTTACCTCCTGTGAAATAACAAGTGGAATTTAGTCGTTGTTTTGTGTTTTATTATCATTCTGCATCGTAATTCTATGTGATGTGGTGTTGAAATGTCAGCAGAAATACATATCCATACGATAATCGAGTGAATCAGATAACAGATTTTTCGAAAACCCGTCTCGTGCTAAGAGTGTAAAAACTTGTATTAACATGCTCAAAAGTGCCAATGAGCACATCAATGTCAAGCTAAATCAGGTACCTGATCTACTCAAAACAGCTTGTCATTCACGTATACACGCTTAGCAAACACGGCGAAATGATCTGAATCTTGGAATTTCGTTTGAGAGCTAGTAATGTTTGCTCCGGTCTTCGTCATAAGTGTCATCAGACTTCACGCATGCTCGGGAGAAAAACCATCAACCAATACAAGGAGGATTGGCTCCCAGAGTGCACCACCGATATTCTGTCCCATATATGGGTATGTCGTAATACAAAATTCGAATTCAAACAGCCGCCATTTTGTTCACTTCAACATTTAAATCGTGAATTTTGGTCTTATTTCCGAACGAAAAATTCCAAAACTCACATGAAATGATCGAGATATTGGTTCGAATCTTTTGAACTGTTTATTTTGAATTTATAGTCGGTTTTAATTTCAGAAAATAACGACATTTCGACGTTTTCATTGTTGGAAAATATCGAGTTTCGATCCTGGGAGCCAATCCTCCTTGAACCAAGGGCGTTACAATACCCGGGAATTTATCGGTTCGTGCAGTACTTGTTTGTGATAGCGCCCTCTGTATGTCACCGTGCTTATAGCCTACAGTAATACGGGGTAGGATATCGGGAATTCGGTCAGTTTCTATCCGTCGATTTCGCTATGAATTGAAGCAAGTGTGACCACTTTATAATCCACTTAAACAATTTGATAATTGATTAAATCTTTAAACAAAATCGATAAACACGTTATACACTTCCTATCTCCTTAGAAATTAGCATGTATTTATGGATTGTGTTTTCGAACAAGGCTCGACCCATACCAATAAGGAAATCCTTATGCTAATTAGTATGACGTCATATTTTCCTGGGGAATCCTAGATTTCAAAGCCTCAGTCTGTTATTGTGTCAAATGTAAACGCTCTTTTGCAGACAGAAAATTGACAGATTAGCTTTTAACTTTCAGCTTTGATGTTTAAATATTCTGTATTTCTACCGGACTTCTTGCTGAATATCATATAATGTTATAACTTGATTTGGACAATTGCCTGATTGATCATTCTGAAATTTTGATTGTGATTCATGATTGATTGGCAAGAAAAATAATTCCTATTGTTTTCCAGCGAAGTCAAAATGTTACAGCATGAGTTATAATGTCGAGTTTGCATCATGTTAAATTCTGCTAGTGATTAGAAGTCCATGCACAAGCATACACATAAGAGACAAACACACCCAGGCTCCAGGCCGTGGATGGAAATATAAAACTATTTAAGGCACAAACTGGTATTAATAGACCGATATGTAGTGTCTGCCATGTATTGAAGGTAAACCAATCTGCATTATTAATGTTTCTTCTATCAATACATGGATTGTGCAATAGAAAAGCAATGGCACAATCAAAAATGTGCATATCAATCGTGAATATCTCTCGGTTCAAAGCTTATTTCCAACAGAATCGTGTCAAAATATGTGTCTGAGTAACAGTTATACATTATAAGATCGCAAACTCTTACCAATTATCAGCCGAATGGCTCATTTTCAACGAAATGTCCTTAAGACAACAGCCCTGGGTCGCGCCTGAGACCAAAAACTACTTCAAATAGCCCTCCCCTAATTATATTGGATAACCACATTTATGCGTGCGCGCGCAGCTCATCCACTGAACGAAACGCCACTTCCCGCTGAAATCACCGGGTATTGATCTTTCCCTTGCTTGAACCAATAACGATTTATAGATCAATTTTGCGCATGCGCCTTACAACGGTAAAGAAATTCCTATTTATAAACGAACCAATTTGAGATAACCCGATATCAGTCGGAGAAATCTGACGATCTACGAAACTCACTTCAAAAAATCAAATGCGGACTGACGGCGTATTCTACTATGTTTGGATCTAAGATTTTCAGTATAGATAAAGTCTTTTATGATCTTTCGAACGAGGTAAGTCTCTAGTTCGAAAGACAATCGTATCAACTTGAACAAAAGTTGAGTTTTGACGAAAAATGTTAACATGCGCAGAAGTCCCATTTTCGTTGTACCATATTGACTGTGTAGAGATATCAACATTATGTTTTTCAGGTGCCCAAGTCACAGAGGAGCAAACAAGAAATCAAAACAAGGATATGGACTCTGAGTACCACCCGCCGCCTGCAAAGAAAGAATCGCTGGAAATGGAGGATGGTGACGACGAATGCGAGTTCATGGTGGCAGCGGATCTCACCCTATATACAAACCCCATCAACAGTATTTTGGGTGCGGGAAAGAGTAGCACGAAGAAAAAGAACGATCATAAGAACGAAGAGAAAGATATGATTGCAGCGGATCTAACAAAGTACGACAGTCCCCTTGCTGCCATGGATAAGAGTCATACAGATAGACAGAGACAGAATTACGATCCTCATGGAGGGGGGCACCAGCAAGGAGAAAAACATGACAGTAAAAATTAAACCAATGGACTTCTTATGTGGTCCTTCATATAAGCTAAACCATTGATCGATTTAATAGCATCTACAATAGCTAGATATTTATAAAACTGACTATTTGAGCACTAGTTATTCCGTTGCATGCTATTGCTTCACATTTTTGTCCACCTTTCACAGTAACCACGGTAATGAACATGTTAAGGATATAAACTCATCTGTTTCATGATAAATATGCCACTATCCATTAGCTAATTAACTTATGTGGTACAATCAATTAGTAAAGTCATAATAGTGTAGAGGCAAGCGGTTTCTGAGAGAATCATATCGTTGCGGTGACACAGGCATCTGTAGCAGAGATATTTTGGGCCGTTCTCATCTGACCTTATAGCCTATTAGCAATGAACGTTTTTCCATTTCACTGGTACTCACCTAGTTACGCTGGCGAAAACTTTACACGTATCTTTCAATTGTAACAATTGGATTTTCCTCAGATATATTTGGACTGCAAGGAGGAAACAATATAAAATGTTCACAGATGATCAAATTAAACTAAAGGCTAACTATATTCTTTTGAATGCGTACTCTACGAATATATACTGCACTCAATTTCCACCCCTGATGTATTTCTTGTAAGTAATTTGAGAAATAAAATTTAGAAATTATCATTAAAACCTATTTTTGTCAACTTTGTGACAAATAAGCATGAATGGTCCAATTTATCAAAAAAAAACATTTTAAACTGACAAAGATAACGTAGAAGCAGTGAGTCGTTATTAAATGCATCTTCTGAACGGATTAGCTGTCAAATCAATACTATAATCACCCCGGGATAATCACTATCCTAAATACTTATTACTCAGAAATACATCACCACTAACAAACTTTTGACAGACTTATCATTGAAGGTATCTGTTTTCCAAATTAAGGATGCCTGATATGATACCTCAGCACACTCGCCACATAGGTCAATGCCCTGTGATGTCACGCAAAATAAATCAATGTTCATGGTTTGTTACCATGGTAAATAATTAATATTTCCTGTGTTTACTCAGTGTCCAATGAGGCAAGTGGAATCTTACCTGTATCGTACACAGCAGAGCAATTAGGACCTGCTCATCCTACTTCAAATGGCTTCATTTATTCCACAGTCAATTTCTGTTTATCACTGTGAACATCTTTGGAAAATCTTTGTTTGCAACAATGGTTCTGATTGGCTGATGATTAAGGGCTATTTGAGAGCTTGTTTTGCATAGCCCAAACAATTGTAGGCCTATAAGACAAACCAATGGCATGGTGAGAAGGACATATCCTTGGACCAAAGATGGGACCAGCTCAGCTACATCCCTTTCCTATGATTAAATCCAAAAATAAAAAACTAAACACAATCGAGGCTTCTGATTTCAAAAAATAACTGTTAATGAAAATAATACAAACAAACAAACAAACAAACAAACAAACAAACAAACAAACAGAGCTACCTGTCCCCAAAAATTCCGTTCTTTGATTTGAAAATAATTCCAAATTATGAACAAATATTCATGAGGTTTCTTGTGCAGATCGTGTTCAATGGAGCAAACAGTATTGAACTTTAGTGCATCTGAGGGATCAAGAAAAATTAATATCGAATACCAGTAGCTTTGTCTATATTGTAATAAACACGGATGCCTGATATTCATGATTATTGTTAGACCTCTCCCACGCCTAACCATCGACAACGTACAGCACTGTAAACCTGCATAGTATAAATGCGGCAGTTCGCTTGTCACTGGTAGGTAGAAAGCAACTTACTTTTTCACCCATTGGAATACATGTAAAATTGGCAAAGTTCAAATCATAATTTCTCAAATCCCAGCCCATCGAATCCTCACATCCATTCAGATCATGTAGTCCTATTCAAAAACTTCCCGTTCGGTTATATGGTGAAAAAAATATCCCACGAACGAAAAAAGATTTTGCTACATTTATAAGCGAGCATTGATTTCTGGGCCTGTAAAAAGCACGTAGGACCTGATTACCCCATTGATTTACTGAGACCGCCAAAAATTTAATTCAATTTTTTGGTTCAAAATAATAATCTGTCAGCGGTCCCTGACACTCCTACTAGCTATCACCAAACATTAATTGCCAATACATGTACACATATACGTGCCATACATCTACAAAGTAGCGAACTAGTGTATTAAGTACTACTTTTCCTATACGATGAGCAAAACAAATCTCAAGTAGGTTATATTGACCCTATTAGTGTCATGGTTGACTGAATATGCATTTTATTCAATATGAATTTTAAAGTTCGGGGTTTTATGAAGTGATATGTACATTTTTGCTCAAATCCCCTCAGCACTTTTGATTCTATAGGGTTCTCTTGACCCCTGGGGTCATTATATTTTGTGACAATTTATTCCAGACTAAATGTAGTTATTTTGTCATTAAAATATCTTATTAGAGAAACGTTCAGGAAAAGTTGCGCTATCCACAAGACTTCTTGTCACTGCACTGATAAATGTAGCAAAATAGTCAAAATAATTCAGCCTTGAGCATGAAATTTTTGAATTTTTGGACAAATTTTGGGCTATTTTGGGGGATTTTTGCCCATTACGATACTAATCTACTTAAAACAGCTGTTTAAAGTTGTACAAATTGCTTAAGTGATTTATATTCTCTCATAAGTAGGACTATTTGCTACTTTACTAAACTGAACATCATTGATTTTTCGTTTTTCATGAACTTCTGATGGCTAGTTCAAGTAGCATTGTCTTTTGTGCAGGTTTACTGAATACGTCCCTTTAAAATTGGGTCTTTCGTGGGTTTAAAGGGTCAAAATATTGGAACTTTGCACACCGTGGAACGTTTGGGGTGTGTTTCCTTTAATTTGGCAAGAACTGCATCAAATTACTTGATAAGAGAGCAGAAATGTAGCAATTTAGGCTGAAAAGTACTGTTTTCAATGAAAAAACGAAAATTGCTGACACAGCAAAATTTAGATCGTCGTCTCCAGAATTTTAGGGGTTAATTTGCAAAACTTTAAATGGTCCCATAGAAACATATGCGAAATATGGCTAAATTCGACATATTTCTCGAAATTCACTAATAAATGTGGTTGATATTAGTGTCATGGTTGACTGAATATGCATTTTATTCAATATGAATTTTAAAGTTCGGGGTTTTATGAAGTGATATGTACATTTTTGCTCAAATCCCCTCAGCACTTTTGATTCTATAGGGTTCTCTTGACCCCTGGGGTCATTATATTTTGTGACAATTTATTCCAGACTAAATGTAGTTATTTTGTCATTAAAATATCTTATTAGAGAAACGTTCAGGAAAAGTTGCGCTATCCACAAGACTTCTTGTCACTGCACTGATAAATGTAGCAAAATAGTCAAAATAATTCAGCCTTGAGCATGAAATTTTTGAATTTTTGGACAAATTTTGGGCTATTTTGGGGGATTTTTGCCCATAACGATACTAATCTACTTAAAACAGCTGTTTAAAGTTGTACAAATTGCTTAAGTGATTTATATTCTCTCATAAGTAGGACTATTTGCTACTTTACTAAACTGAACATCATTGATTTTTCGTTTTTCATGAACTTCTGATGGCTAGTTCAAGTAGCATTGTCTTTTGTGCAGGTTTACTGAATACGTCCCTTTAAAATTGGGTCTTTCGTGGGTTTAAAGGGTCAAAATATTGGAACTTTGCACACCGTGGAACGTTTGGGGTGTGTTTCCTTTAATTTGGCAAGAACTGCATCAAATTACTTGATAAGAGAGCAGAAATGTAGCAATTTAGGCTGAAAAGTACTGTTTTCAATGAAAAAACGAAAATTGCTGACACAGCAAAATTTAGATCGTCGTCTCCAGAATTTTAGGGGTTAATTTGCAAAACTTTAAATGGTCCCATAGAAACATATGCGAAATATGGCTAAATTCGACATATTTCTCGAAATTCACTAATAAATGTGGTTGATATTAGTGTCATGGTTGACTGAATATGCATTTTATTCAATATGAATTTTAAAGTTCGGGGTTTTATGAAGTGATATGTACATTTTTGCTCAAATCCCCTCAGCACTTTTGATTCTATAGGGTTCTCTTGACCCCTGGGGTCATTATATTTTGTGACAATTTATTCCAGACTAAATGTAGTTATTTTGTCATTAAAATATCTTATTAGAGAAACGTTCAGGAAAAGTTGCGCTATCCACAAGACTTCTTGTCACTGCACTGATAAATGTAGCAAAATAGTCAAAATAATTCAGCCTTGAGCATGAAATTTTTGAATTTTTGGACAAATTTTGGGCTATTTTGGGGGATTTTTGCCCATAACGATACTAATCTACTTAAAACAGCTGTTTAAAGTTGTACAAATTGCTTAAGTGATTTATATTCTCTCATAAGTAGGACTATTTGCTACTTTACTAAACTGAACATCATTGATTTTTCGTTTTTCATGAACTTCTGATGGCTAGTTCAAGTAGCATTGTCTTTTGTGCAGGTTTACTGAATACGTCCCTTTAAAATTGGGTCTTTCGTGGGTTTAAAGGGTCAAAATATTGGAACTTTGCACACCGTGGAACGTTTGGGGTGTGTTTCCTTTAATTTGGCAAGAACTGCATCAAATTACTTGATAAGAGAGCAGAAATGTAGCAATTTAGGCTGAAAAGTACTGTTTTCAATGAAAAAACGAAAATTGCTGACACAGCAAAATTTAGATCGTCGTCTCCAGAATTTTAGGGGTTAATTTGCAAAACTTTAAATGGTCCCATAGAAACATATGCGAAATATGGCTAAATTCGACATATTTCTCGAAATTCACTAATAAATGTGGTTGATATTAGTGTCATGGTTGACTGAATATGCATTTTATTCAATATGAATTTTAAAGTTCGGGGTTTTATGAAGTGATATGTACATTTTTGCTCAAATCCCCTCAGCACTTTTGATTCTATAGGGTTCTCTTGACCCCTGGGGTCATTATATTTTGTGACAATTTATTCCAGACTAAATGTAGTTATTTTGTCATTAAAATATCTTATTAGAGAAACGTTCAGGAAAAGTTGCGCTATCCACAAGACTTCTTGTCACTGCACTGATAAATGTAGCAAAATAGTCAAAATAATTCAGCCTTGAGCATGAAATTTTTGAATTTTTGGACAAATTTTGGGCTATTTTGGGGGATTTTTGCCCATAACGATACTAATCTACTTAAAACAGCTGTTTAAAGTTGTACAAATTGCTTAAGTGATTTATATTCTCTCATAAGTAGGACTATTTGCTACTTTACTAAACTGAACATCATTGATTTTTCGTTTTTCATGAACTTCTGATGGCTAGTTCAAGTAGCATTGTCTTTTGTGCAGGTTTACTGAATACGTCCCTTTAAAATTGGGTCTTTCGTGGGTTTAAAGGGTCAAAATATTGGAACTTTGCACACCGT